AGACACTGTATGTATATGCAGGCATGTCTATATCTAATCAGCTAAGGATGCTTTCAAGACTATATATATGGAATTTAGGAAGTCAACTTCAGTGCGTTACGCACTAAACAAAAAATATAGTATCCTCTGGAATTCAATACTGAACATATAATATTGAAGATGTGCTTTTGAGTTTCTTTATTATTAAAGATGGCATAAATGTTCAGGTCAATGCACACGCAACAGAGCCACCGGCATTGTAACGGAACAACCCCTAAAAACCATGAGTAGTCATCACTGAAGCGAACAGCCTGAAAACAGGTTTCGACAACATGTGTTTTAGCCCGCGCAACAGCTTCCGCTTGTCCCTACCCTGTGTTCTCTAGACTCATACCCGGTTCTAAGGTCTGAGTCTCGCTTCGTTGCGCTTGTTGATATCAGCACCTGCAGCTGCAACTTGGCAGCAGCAACAGCGGCCTTCGACCTCGTCTTGTAATTATTAATTACCTTTGACGATTAATTTTATTATTGTAATGCCTTCGTCTTTGACTCCACACAATGAACGAATTATATATATTTATATTTATTTATGTTGGTCAATTTGCCTTTCAGTCTCAATTCTTCTTATCAACCCGTTGCACAGGTACAAAAACTTTGTCATGAATTCAAAACTCTTTGACATAGACATATACAAGCCCATAAACTCCTATATGAATATTTTCGATAACATCAAAATTACTAGACATGACAACCAATTTTTGATTCCGACTATTCGCCCATGGATCCGAAGTGCCATACGAGCAATTAGTTGATTACAGATTCATGGTTTTCGCTCCAGTAATGTAAAAACAACTGTGTTCATATGGACTGACGGTAAGTAGATTTTTTCACCATATATTACTTCACACATGCAGAGCATGTTTGACTTCTTTTTGTCGCTATATTTGCATGAATGTATCTTAAAATCGTATTTACCAGAAGTTCAGATATATATGGTGACAATATTTCTGAAGTTCCAGCAAGATGTAATTTACTCCGTGAATACGTTAATCAATTAAAATGTTTGCAATTCGTATGAACAAGTATAAGCTACATTCATACAAAAAGAATTATTGACTATTTTAAAAATTAAAATTAATAGAAATGTATGTCTGGGCATATATGTAGTCCCTTAAAAATGGCTAAAAGATAAAAAGAGAAATAAAGTGATAATAAAATAATAATAAAAGTAACAGCTAGAAGGATGCAACCATGAAGTAAATACATATATTATTGTTCAGGGTATCTCATAGGCGAGTTATCTCGAGCATTCTTACTTGACTTATTTTTTTAACTATGTAAGTAGTAAGCACATAGTCGTAAATAAATAAAGAAAACAAAATATTTGAATATGTATATATAATTGTGTTTCTGATGTTTTTAAGGGTAATTTTTTTTTTTTTGAGTACAGTGATACAGTAATACAGTGTCCATTAAACTGTAATGCAATAGGTTAACAGAAAACTGTCTCAGACAGTTGGAGAAATTATGGCACCAGTGGACTAAGAGGCTCTGAAACAAGACAGTGGGTCAACACAACAGTCTAACTCAGTGATATAACAGAAATATCGTCACAAAGACAATGTTCCAAAATTTGTATGGTAATTTACAAGTAACCGCCTGCAAAGATCGATAAGAAAAATTCACGCATGCGCCTAAGTATGTTCATTGTGCTGTGTGACAAAATTTATTAGCGGTCATTTGCAATGTAAATATAAATCGTTTTTGTGGAATGTTTATTGAAGAATAGACAAATGCGTACAGATAGATAAATTACAAACCCAACGTAGTCTTTGCCATTTGGAAAAATATACATCTTTGAGATTCAGGCCAGCAGAGCGTGGCAATTAATTGTTCACTTGCGAGTATTAATTGTTTCTCAGTCGGAAAATCACGAATAGTCACTTGCAACGAAATATTATCAACGCGATTCATTTCATATACAACGGGCATAATACGAAGTTCGGCTTTCAGTTCGGCTATTTTAGAACATTTCGTTGGCTTATACCATTAGGTAGGTAACGGAACATTTACTATACTTGATATTTGTTAGTTACCGAGTTTATGCAGTCGTGTTCGTCCACTTAATGACGAAATATGATTTCTGGAAATAAAGACAATTTTGGTTTCCAAACTTACTAAGAGCATGTTAACTAAAATGTGCAATACTAAGTGGTCATCGGTTTGCCAAAAAATAATAATTTTTCTTTTTATATCCTGAACAGTTTTAAGGGAAGAATCTACTTATTGATTTAAAATAAATCTTGATATATTGATATCTCATTATTGATTGATCTCAGTACTATCAGAAGGCGCAAGCATTTTCTGAATTCATATGCGCATATTTATTTTTAATTGCTTTGTTCAAGGTAAATCGTAATCGAGCTCACTCGACTGCATTCTTCCTTCTGACTACCAGCCTGGTCGCCATATCGTGAAACTACTGAGCCGCATCGAGCGGCAGGTAATTCAGGGGTTAAAGTACTCACCCTTATTAAACACAGCTACGAGTGGCTGTTTCAGGTACAGCCTGTCCTATAACCAGCGGTCTTTGTCTAATAGTAGTTTGCAAAGGGTGTTCTAATTTTGTCACAAACTGTATACATAAAGTATATGTACATATATATATATATATATATATATATATATATATATGTACATATACTTTATGTATACAGTATACATATATATATATATATATATATTTAAAACAGAGCTCAATTTTATTCAAGAATGAAAGGTTGAACGATTTTACAATATACAATACAATTTATATATGTATACGACAGACAGAAAATACACATACCGAAGCTGACAGATACAGATTATTAAATAAAAGCACCGATCTGCAGAAAATAAACGTTGTTTGAAAAATGCTTTAATTTTTAAAACTTAAATTTATGTTTATTTTTACGCAAGATTTAATGAATACCTTTCTGATGTATGAATGCCGACGCATATGTTTCTTTCTTTTTATGAAATGTCGTAGGTAGTTAAATCCTTCGCTATGAAAAGTTCAGACTTTTTGGATTCGATCGATACTTGATTTTTGTGGATTCGATATTTAAATGGTGATTTATCTCACATTAGTTTTTTAAGTTGATTAATGTATTTATTGTTAACTCAACAGTTTAGTGACGTGGATTCAACATAAAGTGAACTTAAGTATGATGTGATCTGTGCCCAATTAAAATATCAAATATTTATAAAACAGTATATATTTATATTAAAGAAGAATCTTGAATACAAAAGTCAATTTTAGCCAGAACTTTTAATTTTTCATATACAGTATTCCGGTGTTGATCAAAGTTTATCAAAATGCTTACGTGCTGTAAGAATTAATAGTTGGACTTACTTACCTGTAACAATGATTATTTTCATTTTAAATGTACGAAGGTCGAAAAATTAGTAGACAAATGCTAAAATCATTTTACATATAAACAAATGTGCGAAAAACGATAATCTTATTTTTTTTTTTTGAATTTACCCCATTTGTTTAAATTATCAACATCAAATTCATTTTGAAAGCTTTACATACTACTACAGTATTATGTTACAAAAACCATATTCAACTATATAGTTTTTACTTATAATAAAGAAATCACTTAGCATCGCACGCAGCGCTTTTTGATATCTGGGACGACCCTACTACTACTTCAGCTACTACTATTTACTACTTACATACAGTTGTACTTCTTTATTATAGTCATTTTAAATACTTGTTGGATGATTAAAATGTGTATTATAAAATTAGCACGAAATTAATAACATTTTATATTTTACATAAGGTCGACATAGCCATGTTCGTCTACAAAACAAGTCTATTCATTCAAATAAAAATCGTTGTTTTGGCACAGTTCCATATTCTGTAGACACATGGCGAAGTCATATTGATCGAGTCACTTTATCATATAGTTCCCCAAAGACCATTTGATTGAAAATTCATTTTTTATGAGTTACAGGGTACAAAAAATCGAATCAAACGTGTATACTGTCTATTAACAACCAAGTATAAAATACACCAATGGCAGCAAGCGCCAGCGTAGGTCCTGCTAGCAAAAAAATGTTATATAGCGCGTGTTGCTGTTACACGTTATCAACAATCTCGTTTTACCAAATAACGCGTGTGCATTGGTATTGGTACAAAAAAAACAGAAAACAACAGGAATTGGAGAAGAGTGGAGGAGGGGTAGTCGTAGCACGCAAGTAAAAAGACTGCGACGTGGATTGAGGGAGTGGTCGCATGTGGATCGCCTGTCTATAGAGCAAGTGGGAAATTGGTAACACGAATAAATGCGACTTCACTAGGTTGGTGGTTGTTGCTGGTTGGCCAAAAAACGACGTCGGGCCAGTTGTTAGCTATTATTACTACTACTACTACCAACGACAGTCGCTGATGACGACAGCAAATAGCACATAACTACCCCTAGACCCTCTCTCTGTCATCATTTGTGTGAATGTATCTGTGTGCATATGTTGCTAGCAGGTGTATGTGTGAGTCGGTAACAACTCGGTTTGGCTTTAAAGTTTTGTGCGGCAGCAAATAAAATTTCAGTTAGTCACATGTCGTCGCCAAGGATACGCCAACGTTCCGTTTTGTTTGTTGTGCATTGAACGCGACCTGCGAGTTGTCACTGGCAACCAGCTACAGGACTAACCAACTAAAAGACTCTCACTATTGCACTCTCTCAACACCAGTGGCTATGTTAGTGTGTAAGTCATTTGCTAGCCTAGCGACTATTTAAAGGTATACGAGCTATACATTCGCTTTAGCTGTGGTGCCGCACCTGCGGCCAAACAAGGACAGCCGCTTACCACCTAGCACCTGTCTAGATCTAGAAATATTAACAGTTTCCGGCAGCGCTGCCTGGCGCTGACGTTTACAAGCACGTTACATAGCTGTAAATTCAAATTTGAACTTCAGTCAAGTGTCAAAGCTCAAAGGATTAACATGTGCTTCGGCTCATGATAACTGGTCACCTGCTTAGTGACAAAAAGCAAAGTGTACTCCTCAACATAAATTTGACAAAAAAAATATATAAGCAAAACCCCAAATTGTTGTTATCATAAAGCCTAAAAAGTTACACATCAAACATAGAAAATTTAATCAAGTGAATATCAATAAATAAAAAAAGTGTACTAAAGGTAAGTCTAGAAATGATCAACTCACTGAAAAATATTGTGGAAAGCTACTGCCATTACATCTTGGCACTGGGAGAATTCACAGTTGGTTATATAATATTCTGTGGTTCTGCGGGTGCCAAACTGTAATGTGTGGACATAGAAACAACCTGAAAAACGCAACATATCAAATAATTTAAAATATTATGCCGTCTTTTTCTTGGATTGATAAAACACTTATTTCTTCAATAGAGGTACCAAGTTTTAAATGTATGTTTTTATATAGCATACACAAATAAAAAAATATCTCTTTGTATATTATTTGTATATTATCGTTTTATGTATTCTTAATCCGAAAATAAATCAAAATAATCCAAATTCCAGTCGGTCTTGAAACGAACACAAATTAAATTGAATTTTTCAACATAAATCTCACTTACACAATAATAGTCAATATAAATTTCCATATCAATTATCCTAGCGTTTCTTCAATAATATTGCCTTAGAAAGTTGAAATTTTGCATCAAAATTGTTATGGTTATTTGTCACAGAAGAATATATAAAAGGAATACATTCCAATCTAACTGAATGGATTGCTTTATTAATTGTGTTTTAGTTTTCGGATCAAAACATGATTATCACTTTCTTGTGTGTAATTACAGTTAGCACATCTAAAAATATATATATACATGCATGAATCAAGTAAAGTTAATATGCAATTTAACATACAATTAAAAAAAATTCAAAAATCGTTTAATTTATAACCTATATAAAAACGACAATGTCACGCATCGAGATAATTATCCTGATTTGTTGTCCAAAGGACCATTTACATTTCAGCTTATCTTCATTCAACTTTTATTTTGTACTGAATGTTTGCATTTCTAACAAAATGTAATGAAAAGTTACATTGATAAATATAGGATCTGTGGTAAAAGAGTAGTAGTCGCGACCACGACGACATTTATAGATTTTATAAAAAACCAAATGGTATATAGCCAAATTTGTTGTCCTGTGAATTTCAGCTTAAAATAAGAATTTTCTTTTAGTGTGATAACAACCCGAAGCATACAGCACCAAACGAAAGTCACTCATTGCGGTACAACATTAACTATCCCCAAGAATATTTTTGTAATTTACTTTTGCGAAATTCCCTCAAAATAACATATTGAAGGATGTTTTAATAATGGAATGCTTACTTGCTTACTTGCTTACTTGTGTGATTTAGTGTTCATGTCCTAGCGCAAAACATTTAAATTTGCAACTATTCTTTTTTCAAGCGAAACTAGTTCCAAAAGAATTCTTTAAATCATTTACATATGAAATCCCATTTATATATAAATTTAACGTTTTTTTTGTCACTTTCATATTTCACTCCCGAACTACAACGCATAAAGCGAAAAAATATTATTTACATTGGTTGCCTTCACAATTCTTTAACAAGAACATGCTGTAGTTTTTTGATGCAGAAGAATTAACTTCTTATTTTTAAGCAAAGTTGCACGTAGCTATAATAAGCTCCAATTATTTAAGTTGCATTTAATCATTCCATCATACCTTATTAGTCACCGAACTACCATTCGAACTTACATGAATTTAATCGCATCCTTTGTCGTGTATTGCACCTTTAACGCAAGATTTTTAACATTTGTGTTTGAAAATTTACGTTTACGCTACATGAGTAAAGTGGATTTTTCTTACATTTAATATACTCTATAATGTTGCTGAATGGTGTACAGGTGTACTATGTTAATATTTTGGATATAACATAAAGCTGCCATAAAAACTAACGGTTAAAAAATGGTTTCTTATATGCAATTCATCTTTGTTTACCCAGATAGTCGGACTAAATGCACTTGTTACTTGAGTTGTGTTCCTAAAAAAATATAATCAATATTCGACTACCATATAAATGTCCTCTTGGAACAGTCGAAAAGATAAAATAAAAAATCTAATAAGCTGTTTTTTCTAGTTTTTTGAGTGGCTAGATTTTTCATTTAAAATTGGCTAAAATTTCCAGATAGAATATCAAGAAAAAAAATTGTTCGATAAAAATTAAATAAAGAAAAGGTCAAGAAATGCTATAGTTGGTACCCGGCATTAAATAAAATGAAAATGATAACAATAAAGTTTGTGAATATATATTGTTTTTTAATCTCACAATAAAGCAGTCGTTTTTGCGTGTATTTTTATACCAATATACATAGGATTTGAAAGCATGGTAATGCTGCTATGCATTGTGAAACTTCCTGCATAATTTATTTAATCGCTCACAGCAAATCTAAATTGATCGTTAGGTGTAGGCGTCTATACACCATCAACCACCACAATAACATGCTGTATAACAGCCATTTTGCGTGCTTATAGAAATCAAAATATACCTAGCCTCTATATACATATGAACGTATGTACCCCACCCATTAACGTGTACATAAATACTATAATTACAAATGGGTTTTACTTGCCTTTTCATTGCAGTGCCAATTAGCAAGACGATTCCGGTGAAATGGCGCCACAACAACAGCAGCAACACCACCAACAAAACTCAACATTCATTAATGACAATTCTGACACATGTCCATCGCTTTTGAATTTGCCTGATAGCCCAATACTGCCGCTCAAACATCAACATTATCGCCAATATCCAGACAACACTAACAACAATAGGCTAAGTGCTGAGCATTGGATGAATACAGAAGTAACAACTCCAACTGCAGTAAGAAATGAGCCACACAAGGATTCCAGTCGCCGCCCTAACCACCGTTCCATATCTCTATATGGCGCTAACAGTACTAGGGTAAGTGCCCTACCAACCATTAGTAGTAGTAGCGGTCGTGGGCTTCTAGTAAAATCAATCAAATTACCTTATTAGGCGGAGCTTGGTAACACTTGTTTTATTTGGGAAATGAAAATTGAGTTTTACCAATGCAAAGGAGATACCATAGTTAAAATGCGCCGACTAGGAGATATATTTACGTACCTTACATAATTTCTAATCACATCATCAACATAACATGTACACACAGAAAGAAACACATGCCTGTGTTACTTTTTGTCTAAGCACCCCACTTTGGCAAATTGATTCTTAAAATTAAATTGTCTTGATCGCGAGAATTCTTATATACATGCTTCAAGATATGCTGATAAGCGCTGTTTGAGTATCAATTTTAATATATTTTGTTAGAAAACAATTGGCGAAATTAATAACTTGTTCTGCACATGGTTACAGGAGCCTAACCAAAAATAGTTTCTTTAGCTAATCTCTGAGATCGTCGCATTCAAACGTATGGACCGATAGTCGTTTAGTGACAACTTTTTTAAATGGAAACAATTAATAAATTAAACCTTCTTTATAAGTAGAATATTCCTATATAAACCCTTAAAGGGCGCTTACCAAATAGTCAAACTGAATCTGGTAAACCAATTCACTTATTCCCGGCACCAGCAGAAACAATGTAATAAGGAATTGCCTATTTGGCTAAACAATAATGAACTGCGCTATGTATCAGGCGTAACATACAAAACCACATGCAATGATATAATCAAAGCGTTGATTGATGACCAGTTTGGAATTAGTAATGCGCACAATTCCAATATCAACAAAAAATTACCTAATGACATCAACGAAAAGTTAGGTGAGTTTAAATCTATAAAACAAAAATCAGAAACGTACTAAAAACTTGTACTAACAAGTAAAATAGTTCAGTAGGACTAGTGGAATCGAGATTACTTACATACTTACCTAATCGATTATATGCAGATACATACAGAAACATAACCGTTCTTCATCAACGCCAAAACATACTACTTAACATACTAGCAACGTTTAAATTCAATCTTTTTACAATTTTCTGACTTTCAATTATTTGCAATGTCAAATATACACAAAACCAAGTAAACCAAAAAAAAAACATTTTTGCTAAGAGCGGTGGAAAGTCTTAGATAATGAAAAATTGCATATAGAAATATTTATCGATTTTGAAAATCCTTAATTTCTAAGATTAATGTTACTTAGTAATTTATGAGTTAAGTTGGTTTGGAAAAAAGAACTTAACTCAAAAATTATATTTTGTGCAATATGACCTGCGAGAATGTGGACTCCGGTCTATAAACCTATGTAATCTTCGGCGTACCGAAAGTTTCTTTTCTACCCTGTAACAACTATTTATTGTTTCTTTTCGTGTATTTTTTATGTTTGTTATGCCCGAAAAAAATGCGACCATGGTTCAGCAGCAGAATTGCGTGACTACAATCATTATGTTATAACGGAACGTTGGCGTGGTATCGAGCGTGGCTACGATGGCAATATGGCCATTTTGCCCGTTTGGCGAGCTTGGAGCCGTGTGCACAATGAGGTAATATTCGATAAACCCACACCCAAGCATAAAATCCTATCCACATGCCGTGCAAAAGCAGGAACCAAGGCTGCAACTAAATTCGACAGTGATTGCATAATAGGCGTTTTTTTAGTGTCTGCTCGTCCGTCTGGCGCCACACGCAATAAAAAATTTGAAATACTCTTTTAGAACCGACCAACTTCCGACAAACAGTCACGCCTCCGTACATACATTTGCCTCGGTATGTATGTATACATATATACAAATGTTCATATGCATTTGTAAGAATATATGAGTGTACTATAAAACAATAAACAAATACATGAGCAACGTTGATATATGCTTATTGAATATTGAACCCTTGTACATTGTATTTTAATTTTATCGCATGTATCAAAGTCAGGGAAGGAACCGAAGAAAAATCAGCTTTCCCACAACTGCAAGCTTGGTACGCCGAAATTTAACTGCCCTTGTAGACCGGAGCTAACGTTCTGTCATCTAAATTTTGGGTCGTAGCTCGAAATATTATTATATTTTCGTACGTTAACAAATAAACTTATGTAGCAAATGTGAATCTAATGCTTGCAATGTAACAATCTGGCAACCCTTATTTAGCTTATCTTAAGTTTTGCATTGTCCCCTCGTTCGCATGGACTCAAATATTAATTTCACAATAGTTCTGTACCCACTCCGTTTTAGACTGCCGAATGAGTCGCGTCATTAGACTAATAAAATCTTTGATTCCTCAATATCGTTATCTTGCTTGTATACGCTGTGAAACTGTGCGATCGGATCTAGCAAATCCAACAACTTATTTATAAGTTATCTATTTCTCTATGTATGTATGTATGTCTTTGCTGTAGCGAGTTAATCAAAGATCGGCCAATAATATTCATGATAACGCTGCCCCTAGGCACTATCCATATTTTAAAAGCTAAGGTCAACAAATCATGAAGCCACCAGATTACTTCCTACAGTAAAGTACTTCATTGTTGTTTACTTACGTCGACGGCACTCCAACAACAAACAGACAAAAAGATATTATATAGCTTCCACGGGAACAACCAAGAAGTACTATGTATTGTGTGAGATTAAGATGTAAGCAAATTTTGTTCACCTGTTTTTTTTGGTTTGTTCCCGGGTTTGGGGATTATTTTGCTGCTTGTGCACTAACTTTATTTTTATACTCGAAAATGTTTAGTTATTTGAGTCTTTTTTTCAATTTGGGTTAGTAATTTATTTAAATTTAATTATCAATTTATATTAACTTAGATTCACTTATATTTTGTTATTTCTCTTTTCTGTAGTTGCGTCTATCATTAAAACATCGTCAAAAGATCAACGAATCGACATCCACGCAATTTATGGAACTTACTCGACCTGCGCCGGACAGTTTTTCTATTTTCAAATGGCTCAAAAGAATTTTTTATTTTGGCAACAAATCAAAGCTCAAAACCAATGACAAAACTCGCACAAAATCAGTCAAAGCTGTCAATAAAATTAAAGAGAAATGTTTACCAGCCAAAATAAAGGAAGAAAGGTCAGATAAACTGCTGCGGGTTATACTACCTGATCAGCATTACGAAGATCCACAGACCAACAAAAATATCAAGGCTGAGTTAAAACACATGATGAAAGCCAAGGCAACACAGCGGGAACATGCCCAACAAGGAAAACTTATCAATAGTAATTGCATTAGACATCATCGTAAGAATGCTCCTTTGCGAAATAGTTTGCGAAACAAACTGGCAACACTCCACACTGAGATGAATATGAGATACAACAGGGAATATAAACTTACGCGGCAGCTAACTGCGATGTACAAGCATTACACACTGCAAAACAAGCAATATTTGTGTACAAAAATGGAACTTTCCGTGGGTCATCTACAGCATAACATTGAAGGCTATGCTGTGGATATTATTAAAACGGAACGCGAGCTTCTCGAGCTAAGAAACGAAATCAAACGACATATATCGTTGATACACAACATGAAGCGAATGACGATAGAACAGTACTGTGGTATAAAGCCTACAACAATAAAAATGAGTGATTGCACAGTAGGAGTGCTGACTGAGAATTCTCCAGGTATACCTCAAGATGCTAAAATTATATGCGAAACACCGTTAGCTAATAACATTCATGAATTTTACGATAATAATCCAAGCATGTTACTTTAATTTTATTGATTCTGAAACCTTTTAGCTATTTAAGCTCGCATTATAAATATTCACTATTATTCATACTGTTAATATTATTCATACTATTAATATTTCTCATAGTATTAATATTACTATTGCTACTATTCATTTAAGATAATTGGCTCAAAATATCACTTTGGCACTACCAGCTCCTAGATAGCTGTAGTGTGCTAATAAAAAATGTAAGTTATTTAAAAATATATATATAATGTTTATTAAATATGAGGCTTGCGATCTTAGTCTTTTAACAAACCGAAAAACGAGACCGACAATAACTATTGAACTGCAGCCGGCAGATATACAAGGGCTTCTTGTAGAGCGAACGAAACTCAAGGACGGCACTTTTATGTGGAATATAAGTGTGCGCAAAGTACTAAGCTAAATTGAACAATTTTGGAGTCGTCGAACAGGTTTGCTACCAATTAGCTGGTGAGTTGTACCACTAAGCAGACAACACAGTGCTTAGTGATTGTACTAAGCTATACGAAGACACATTCAGCCGTTTGTAATTCTAAGTCGACACCAGTGTAAGTCACACATGAGTTAAGTCTGAAGTCGTTCTTGTCTAAGACGCAAACCTTTGTTGATCAGTGCCCTTATTAAATTTCTGATCTTTGGGATCCGAAATGGAATAGCGCATAATAATAATGTTTTCGTTCGTGAATCGATATGCGGGGAATCAAGCATGAGTATGAGAATGCGAAACCTTTCCACAATCTGGATGACGTTGTGCCATTAATCAGACAATACATGTTAAAAATGTGATTCTTTTTATTTAATACTGTATTTACTGTATTTTATATAAATTTGATTTTCAATTTTTTTTAAGGAAAAACGGTTTGCCTTTAATTGCATTTCTCGGAGTGTATACAAAATCAACAATCAACATGCGCAATAAATTGATTATTTATGATTTTCCAAAAATGTCCATACAACAATAAAGTCATTGTCTGTACTGCATTTAAATTTACATTGTTAATGGCAAAAGTGAATTTATTATTTTGGAGATCTGCGCATTATTAAGGGTTAAAAATTAATTGTGCTGCAAAACAGTGATCAAACAGATGTAAGTACACCAATCTTGAAAACACATTATTAAGTATCCTCCTTGTGGCTTTTCCTGAAGTAAATATAAATAAATATATATATAAATATAAATAACACATTAACTGTAGAACTATGGAGTGATATCATAGGGTGATAGGGCGCGGCTGATAACCGTGAAAAGGCAGATGCTCAACTTCTTTCGGATGAACTTCCCCTACTGATGCAATCTAGGGATGCAATTTTAGCTGAATACATATTCGAGCAGAATTTCACAGCTAATATGAATAGCAAAAGGGAATGGGCGAGTCTAGATGAAATCCAAACCGCACACCATAAAATGGTACACCGATGGATCGCTCACCAATCAGGGCACGGGCCTGGTGGTGGGCCCTAGGGATGCTCACCAGCATATTTCAAGTTGAGGTGCGTGCGATAGAGAGATGTACGGAGTTCAACCTGCAACGTAACTATCGGAATACGGATTTATCCATCCTATCCGATAGTCAAACAGCAATAAATGATATAATGGAGACGAAGATCACATCAAAAGTAGTCCAAGAGGTACAATCCAAATTTGACCAGCTCGTCCAAGCCGACTGTACCTAACTAAACTAGGAATTTATAGTAGCGAGCGATGCAGGTTTTGTGAAAGCGAGGAAGAATCCTCTATACACCTCCTAGCAGAGTGAGTTAACTAAAGGAGATGCAGCATCCTAGGGACGGATGCAATGAGTATCAAAGATGTAGAAGCCCTCAACCCAGAAAAGATCGAGTAGGTCATAGTGCAGGTATCCCAATAGTAAAAATAATACACCCTTTATTTACCTCACAATCAAACTGGCAAACTATATGTTACAAAAATTGATATACATATTTTGACAACACACAATGCTTATGCTGAATTCATACAGAGCGACATTAATCATAAATTTTTATGATGGTCCGCAAGGCAGCACCCTTCTGCGTTCGCCGGGGATGACCTCAAATCATTTTGTTGCATTCAATATTCAGTATTTTTCAATCATTTCGGTTATCCACTAAAAATATTTGGCAGTCGCTGCAAATATGTAAATAAACCCAGATTAAGGTTTTGAAATTACAATATAAAAGTGGCCGGCAATCAAGAATGTAAGTATAAAATATTATTTTTAAGTTTATTATATTTATTTATATCCGTTTGCCTCTCAATTTTGGCTATTTTGTTCATATATTGCGTGTGTGGACCTCTGCATATTCTGTATATTTGAATTGAGAAAGTCTCTAATATTGTATTCTTGCTCGCCTACTTCAATCAAAATATTGAAGACGCCTCCTCCTTAAAAGGCAGATGGAAGCATCTCCGACCCTATAAAGTATATATATTCTTAATCATGATCAACAGCCAAGGCGTTATAGCCATGTCTGTATGTCTGTCCGTTCGTATATACGTTTGCAGACATTTTGGTGCAAAACTTTTAAGTGAAAATTTTCTAATAAGACTAGAATATATTTAACAACTAGGTTCAGGGTATATCCTAGTCGAGCTCACTCGTCTACAGAACTCTTGTTTTTTGGTTATTTGTTGTCGGTTGAACAATTATTCGTTTTCACCCAATTACCAACAGATGCACATTCTATTTAACCCTTCCCTTCTATCTTCAATGATAAACAGATCTTGCCAAATTTCCTTAAAATTCTTTTTGAATTTATTTTTTGTGGAACAATTTTTCCATCAACCAACAGCTACAACTGTAGATTTTTCCGGGCCCATCAGTGATTTGTAGTTGGCTCTCACTGACTGATGCATAAAAAATAATTAATTACCGCATTTAACAAAATGTAAAATTGGGAAACGTACTCTAATGGTGTGTATTTCTTTGGAATGTACATTATTATTTAGCTGCAACATATTTAAACTCCTTAGTGTTGTGCATAACTGCAAAACGTACAGCTCGCCCGTCGACTGTTTACAAAAAACATTAATCTGCGGAATTATTCCGATTATTTAGCAAAACCCGTTTTTGTTTCAATGTATTCAAAAGAAAGTATGACACAATTCTATCGAATATTAAAATAATAATACCGATGATTATGTACTATCGATTATTAATAGTGCCATCACTACACAAAATTTAACACAACAAAATTAGAGGCCTCAATTCCTAATATCATAAAAAAAAACCTGCATCACAAAAATTAAAGTCTAAAAAAAGGTGACCAATTTCGGGTATTAAAAAGAATTCGTGTTCCCTCATATCTAAAAGCTTGAAACAACTGCGTTTTGCGTCCAATAGCGCAATATAAAATTAAAATTTAGGTGAGGCATAACCAGCGTGCTCGCTGAATTTGCAAATGTAAAATGAATGGTTAAATATGGCGTGGCAATATCTGTATATGTACCCTGCCGTCTCACGGTTGTTTTTATTTATGATTAATGTCTATATATAAAACGTGTTTTTTAACTATTATCTGTACGTTCGCACAAGCGAAAGAGAAAGTATATATTTCACAATATTCTACTACTACTGCAGATGTTAGCCAAATATGTGTTTTTTGTTTCGATGCGATGTATACATTTTAATAAAACAAAAATGAACGTAGACTTATTAATGATAGTAACATATAATACAAATAATAATTTGTTACTTCAGACGCCTTATCAACTATATGGTAAAGATTTTAAGCTTTTAAATTTTCAGGGTTAAATACAGACGTATTGCGTTAAAATGGCACGCGGTCATCAAAAAATACAATCGCAGGCAAAGGCTGCCGACAAACAGGCAAAAATGAAAAAGCAGCAGGGCCACAGTGCCAACGATCAAAAGAAGGCGGCCCAAAAAGCACTAGTGCATGTGTGCGTCCTGTGCAAGGTGAGACAAATACAAGAAAGAGGGGACACATTAATTTAAGTGAAACTTAAATCTGTTTCAGTCACAAATGCCGGATCCTAAAACTTACAAGCAGCATTTCGAAAACAAGCATCCAAAAAATGACATGCCTGAGGAGCTAAAAGACTTGTAAGCTTTGGGGCAGTTTCAATTGTAACATGAAAATGTCATCAACGAAACGAATTGCCTACCTGTACAAAAAAATAATGCAACAATAAAAATATAAACAATCAATATTTTGAAATGAAAAAAAGAATTGCTACTTTGACCCCGCAAGATTAATTTTTTTTATAAAATACATTAAATTGATTTTATTAAGAATAAATATTCCATTTGGATTTATTAACAATTCAGATATGATATAGTTTCATACATAAAAAAATGGTGAATTGGTTTTTGTACTATGTATAAAAAACGAAATCGATGTTAATGGGCATTTATTAATCAATAAACAAACAAAAATTGAACTTTGTTAAAAACATGAGCGTGTCATTTTATTGCTAATAATAAATGCTAAGTCATTGCAATGTTTGTGCTGTCTCTTGGGCTCGTGGTTCAGTCAGTTGCATGAAAACTAAATCTTCTCGTGCGGGAAAATCTGTAAGCACTGTTATACCAATATTATTATCGGGCAACTGTGCCGTTTCTTCATGATAGCCAAACCAATAGATAATGATGCCAGGTCCAAAGCTAATCGAAAATAAATGTATGTAAATAAATAATTAAATGTGATTTAGGAATCAATACCAAACAATTACCGATTGCAATAGCTATACAACTGTTGTTGTATGTTCAATTTGTGACTTTTCGGATCTCCGAAATTAGCCTTGCTCTCTATCCAATTTACCACAAATCCCTTGTAGAGGAATGGCAATATCATCTTTATATCGGGTGTCTTGTCATATCCCATGCGGCGCAAATCATGCTCATCATAGAAGTGTATGCCTGCTTTCCTGGCCAAGTGCTTCAGCTTTAACTCATACTCTTCACCAACTAAGCGTCTTCGTAGATCCGTTATAGATCCCTCTTGATTATCACTGTACAAGCACTGTTGTACGTTGGCTGCCAGAAGTGAATCGTTGATCAAATATGGATGTTTTAAGAGTCGCGAAACTTGAGGTCTTTGCTTCAGATCGTATTTTTCTTGCAGTAACAGACGGCACAAAGCTATTGGATTTATGGCCTCCACACATGCCATACGTATTAGCAGAGAGTTATCGCTATACAAGTGGCACTGATCTTCATAGCTAAACAGACAAAAATAGACCATATGCAGACATAAGTGAAATATGTTCATAAAGATTAATACATACGTTTTCAACAGGTTTTTGGCGCGTTGTTCCTGGCGCCAATGCTGGCCCCGAGCTTTGTTAATAATCTCGAATTGCAAAATGCAACTCAGAGCCAAAGGATCGACGTCCGTAAAGAAACGATGTACCATTTCCAACTCACAGTCCATTGGAAGGCCGCCATTAAATCCGTTAATAAATTGACAAATGCGTGCATATTCAACGTTACTTAGTATCTTTTTCTTAGTTGTGTCACTTTTGTCCATTATTTTAATTTTTTAAATTTAACTTAACTCACAAATTCGATCAGCGTATTTCATGAGTGAACTGCTCAAAAAGCAGTTGTCCACCAAATTAAGCTAATTTTATTGCATCGGAATTCATTTTCTTTTCATGTCTGGGTAAGCTATAACAGGTGAAAATTAATAATGAATTTTTGTGGAGACAAACACACCTTTTCATTTGTATTTCTTTGATGAACTTTTGTCTGTATAAGCGATCTCTTTTTTTCTAAGTTCAAGCTAATATATATTCTTTGCATTAATGATTATCTTCCCTAATTAGCAAACCGAGGACCATAAAGTAGCAACATTTTGTATCTACATTAATAGTCAAATACTTGTTGTTAGTTTAAAAAAAAAAGTGTGTTTAATTGATACATATTCGTCATTTAAATCTGGGATGTTCTTATGGCTGTGAGAACCTCTCGAATCGGCCACTTAAAATGTGAGCCAGTGGACTCCGGTCTTTAAGGGTATGTAATATTTGCCTAAGATAGCTTTCACAAAACGTATTCCACAATGAAGCAAAAATCCGACCTTAAGAGATGTTCATATTGTGAAACAAGGTCCTCTTTAGCCTTTCGTAAAATGTGGGAACCTGAATAATCATTTTTTAATAACCACGAGCTATACTTTATATTCAGTAACTAAAACTTTGCTAGGGGTTTTGAAAAACTCATCTTAAGTTGACTTTTTTCGATTTTATTCCAGCAACCAAATGTATGCGTCGATGTAAATTTATGCACAAGAGGGCGAGTAGGGTTAACACTATGCCTATCGGATTAATGATGATGCGCTTAACTGATATATCCCAATGTGTTTTTATATTTTTTTATTTCTATACGTATATTACTTATGATTATGAGTGATACTGTTTTCTAAAATAAATTAGTGATGCACGGCTATAGATAGATTTTAATCACCGAAAGATCCGATGTATATCGATACTTTTTGTGCCATATGTAAGTGCATCCTTTATACAAAAACTAATATAAAATCTTTAGCCAATAATTAGAATCATATGCAACAATTATTTTGAAATTGGATCGATTTTTTTTTTGCAGAAGCATCCACCAAAGTGAATATTTATTTAAATACGCTTATAATCAAAAAATGGGTTTCTACATAAGGTTTGTATGCAAATATCGATATGTTCATTGGGTTTTTAACGACACCGACAAATTGAAATTATTATTAAATATTTCGTCAGACAAACTAAGTTTAAAATGGAATGTGAAATCGGAACTGTTACTCTTCATATTCAGTAACTGTATGTCACGATATTTGTCAGTCACAACGACTCGGTCACAGCTACGTCAACGTTGCTCAACTCTATTGAATGCAGACACGTCAGAACACATTTCAATCTTGAAGTTATTTACACAATTGCTTTCGTCTTTGAAAATCAGTCGGAAGTAAACACTCCAAAAACCAACAACCATGAAGTTGGTACAGGTGCATGTCGTGCTGACGTTTGCCCTGGCAGTGTCAGTAGTCAGAGCTTTACCTGTGACGCAGAACAAAAAGGAGGAAAAGGTGAAGGAACCAGCACCTACAGCAGATGTGGGGGAAAAACTGGAGTATGAACGTTATTTGCGCGAAGTTGTAGAGGCGCTAGAAGCTGATCCCGAGTTTAGGAAGAAGCTGGACCAAGCGCCTGAGGCCGACATACGTGTAAGTAATTCAATGAGCTGGCGAAATAGTTTTTCACTCTTAGAAATCTATTCCACTAGAGTGGCAAAATTGCACAAGAGCTCGACTATGTGAATCATCACGTGCGCACAAAGCTGGACGAGATTAAGCGACGTGAATTGGAACGTTTACGTGACTTGGCCAATAAGGCATTCGATCTGAGCAATGACATTGATCGGAATCATTTAAAAGTTCCACAACATCTGGATCACGGCAATGAGCACACTTTTGAAATAGACGATTTGCGCAAGCTGATACAAAAAACATCCGACGATTTGGCTGAGGCGGATCGTAGGCGTCGCGGCGAGTTTAAGGAGTATGAAATGCAAAAGGAATTTGAACGCGAGGCTCTAAAGAACGAAATGGATGAGAAGTCACGAAAGAAATTCGAAGCAGAGATAAAAGAAAAGGATGATAAGCACAAGCAGCACGCGAAAGTGCATCACCCAGGCAACAAGGCACACCTAGAGGAAGTTTGGGAGAAACAGGATCACATGGACAAGGACGATTTTAATCCGAAAACCTTTTTTTCCATTCATGACGTTGATAGCAACGGCTATTGGGACGAGGCTGAAGTAAAGGCGCTTTTCGTCAAGGAGCTGGACAAGGTGTACCAGAGCAATCTTCCCGAGGATGATATGCGCGAGCGCGCCGAGGAAATGGAACGCATGCGAGAACACTATTTCCAGGTATTGTTTTTACTTATGACATTTTTAGTTACTATACAAAAATGTTGCATAAAACTCATTCACATTGCTTTGATGGTCAACAAAGGAAGAGGTTGTATACGCGAAAGTTTATTTTATGTTTGATTTGTCTAAAATTACTTTTAGGAAACGGACACCAACCATGATGGCCTTATAAGCATAGAGGAGTTTATGCAGCAAGCCACAAAAGAGGAGTTCCAAAAAGATCCGGAGTGGGAAACCATTGATCAACAACCGCAGTATTCGCACGAAGAATTTTTGGAGTTTCAACGAAGACGAAAAGAAGAAGTAGAGCGCATGGTTGCCCTCGGACAACTGCCACCGCATCCTAATATGCCGCAAGGCTATTACGCAGCGCCACCGCCAGGTGGCGTGACTTATCACGCGGTCACGCCAGGCCCTCAACTGCACTACCAGAATCCAAATCAGTTGCACGCGCAACAGCAGCAACAATATGCCCATCAACAACAACAATACGCCCAACAGCAACAGCAGTATAATGAACCGTACCAACATCAGCAGAATGCACAGCCACAGCCCGTTCAATTGAACCCAAATCAAGTGTATGAGCATGCTAAACAGACACCAGAAGGACTCCAGGTGAATCAGCAACCGATACAAATGCAGCAAAAGCAACAACAGCAGCCTGTGCAACAGCAGCCTCTGCAACAGCAGCAACACACCGAGGGTCAAAATCAAGTGAATTTGCAACAGGCCAACAATCAATCAACTCCATTTGTGCAAAACAAACAACCTCAACAAATACCTGAGGCCCAGCACCATTAGACTAACTAATAATAAAAGCCACAAAATAAACAACATTCCTGTCGCATTTTGTGCTAAAAAAATAATCATATAAACTCTCGGGAAAAAAAAGTATGCAAAACAACTCAAGATTTGCTTGTCATTGCAGAACTATTTATCCATTACAGCATTTTCTTGCGTGTTTATATATTCCATTAACACTTTGTACATAAAACGATTATTTAGAAATTTATTTCCACTCGTTCATTTCATACAATAAAAATGACCGAATGATTATTTTTATGTGTAATTGCTCTTTTGCAAAAATTATTTAAATTTGATTGATGATTTTTAGCAGACCGAACCACGCCTCCTAGAGACGAGAGAAACATCGAAGACTTTGTGTTTCCCACATTTTCGAATGTGGATACAACAAGCAACGTTATTACACAGCTATCAGAGCCAGAGCTCTTACCTGTTTAAATTCAATATATCAGTAGTGAAGAAAGCACGCCGTGCAGATTCCTTGTATCTTCTTATAAATTGCATAAAATACAATGCAAAAACCCAAACGAATTCAAACTCTCCGCTGTCACAGAAATTTCGGGTTGGTTTGAAATTTGCAGTATATTTATAAAATATTGAGTAATTACTATTCTGTAAACAAATTTTTCAATAAAAAAGGCTAAAGTAATGGAGCGTTATTGTTCTTTTGTGTAATCTACATTTATGATTTATTTGTTTATATTTATTCCCTTGGAGTATTGATTTCAAATTAAAGGAGTCTTCTCCTACCCTATAAAGAATATATGTATATTCTTGATCAGCATCTCTAACCAATTTGATTCTGCCATATCAGTCTGTCTGAATTATTTAGCCAAAGAAATATTTCCCGAAGTCTGTACAATGGTCGTAAATGACATTGCGTCCGAAAAATCTGTTTTAAATGAAGAACATTTGTTACAAAAATATAATAATATTTCGAACTCCAAAAAAACCGTTCTCGGGGGTTTCGGAATATTCGATCAGAAAGGTCGGAAATTGCTGTGAAAGTCTGTGATAAATGGACAGTTCAAGGTTGCATAAATGAAAGTTTAATTAAAAACTGGAAAACCCGAGAAAGTGGGGGCGATAGTGAAACTACCTTTTCTTCTACTAACTTTTCAGCCAATGTACCCTATCCTTATCTTGTTCAAAGATCTATTGCATTTGTGGTCCTGTGATCACTGAATAGAAACTTCTTGGCGACCCACATTCAATCAAGCCTGGGTATTCGCCAGGTCCAGTTGGAGTTCCGGGATGTGTACTCAAGTACTGCTATAAGTCTCTTTGTAAACCTTTACTTAAATTATTTACTTTGTCTGTTGCTACTTGTTCTTTTCTCGCTATTTGGAAACAGTGCTTTATTACTCCTTTCCATAAAACTGGCTCAAAGTCTGATGTAAAAAACTTACAGGAGTATTTCCAAATTGTCCGCAATATCTAAGGCATTTGTGAAAATAGTAACAACTCAATTACAACACTTATGTAGGTCTATCATTTCACCTTTCCAGCATAGTTGTGTGAAATGTAGGTGTACTACCACTAATATTCTTGAATGTTCTTCCCTTGTGATCAAAGGATTTCAGAATAAAATGCAAACTGATGTCGTTTATGCAGACTTTAGTAAGGCCTTTGATTCTGTTAACAATCGTCTCCTTCTTCATAAACTAAACCTTATTAGATTTCCTACTAACCTTCTTGCATGTATTTCTGGTTATCTGAGTAACAGATCTCAAAAAGTTGTGCTCAAAACATTACGTTCAAAACCTATCCTAGGGTACCTCTGGGGTACCCTAGCGTAGTCACCTGGGTCCAAAGCTTTTTCATCTATTTACTAATGACATTCCTAAAGTACTAATGTATGCAGGCGGACTTACTTCCATTTGAACTGCTGTGTAAGAACATGTCATTTTATCGTATCTCTCCTCATATTGTTAGTTACACGCGATGGGAGGCCACGATGGGAGGCCACTTGATAGACTGAATGATGTAAATGATATAGGTTTACTTCTTGATCATCGGTTAAAATTTGATGGTCATATGAAATTCATTGTCAACAAAGCATTTCAAGTTCTTGGATTAATTAAGCATTGGTTAAAGGAATTTGATGATCCTTATTTGACTAAGATACTCTTCACTTCTCTTGTACGTCCCATTCTGATATATGGATCTTGTGTGTGGACTCCGCAATATCATATTCAAATAGATTGGAATCTGTGCAGAAGAGTTTCTTACTTTTTGCTCTTCGTCGCTTTGACTGGGGTGTACTGCCTCCTTATACCAATATACTGCTCCTTATTAACCTTCCCTCCTTAACTAATCGTCGTGTTATGCAAGGTGTTACGTTTGTAGTTAAATTACTTAATAGTGAAATCGAGTCAGCTGCGTTGATGAGCCAAATAAATTTTTCTGTTCCCTCTAGACCGTCACGTTCCTTTATCCCACTTTATCTTAGTCGTTGTACAGATTGTTCCTTGCCAGAAGCGATTCGAGTACTCTGTAATGATTACAACAGAATCTATCACGTAATCAATTCATAGTCTTCAATTTCTAAAATTAATAACTCAATTTTAAACGCCCTATATCGTAAATAACTTTCTTGCGTGTATCTGTGGTGGAACTTAACTAATTCATACTAAATATTTTTTGGTCTAATTGGGTTTTTTTCTGGGTTTTCCTCAATTCACGCAACAAATATTGGACCATTTTGCATTTAAATACCCCCAGAAATATTATGAATATTTCTTATTTTTTAATTTTAAATTTTATAATACATATAAGTTAATTTAATTTTTTCTTACTTGTTGTATTTTGTGTTTCGATTGAATTTAGTTGACATTAAATAAATAAATAAATAAAGACACATTCGCCAAATTTGGATATGTAATTAAGACTAACAATAAGTTATTTATATTAGACCACGCAGGGCTCTAAATTCAAACATGTTAACAACTCATAATCAATTAAAGTTCTTTGCTACTGCTGCCAACACCCACCCTGTTCTGTGGCACCTGTCATCAGATAGTATGACTTATGAAAAATACAACGCAATTAAAAATTTGATCAAATAGAATTCGTCACCAGTTCAATATTAAGTTCGTCGTTGTTAAGTTGTGTCTTCTATGAGATCCACGTGTTGATCGATTGCAGAAAGTTTAGATTTGTATGATTTGCGAACCTGGTCTAAGAACTTGTGGGATGGTTCGGATGGGGCTGAGCTGAGGCCACCAGGCGGGTCGCGGGTTGCGGATAGCGAACGGCCTCCCCTCGGGGAGGTTAGCTGCGAATAATACGGGTGCGATAATGTTGATCGTACCGACAAGGCGCTTGTGTTGCCGCCTTCCAAAGTATAGCCTCACACATCCCCCCTATCTCCCCACATAGTTTCCCATCACATCCTATCCCTTCACCTCACTCCGTACCGGACTAAGGCGTCATTCGAACCGTGCCGAGAGTCAGTCTGGCTGGGGGCCCGGATCAAAAACTAGCCCAGTCTCTAACGGTGAGCTCAGGCAAATGGCGACCGCCTGTTCTAATTTAGCCTTACCCGGGTATTGCGGATCTCTGCCCGGGCGGACACATATTTCTCCGCAGCTCGTGGGATTCCATGAAAAAAGTACACTATGCCAAAATACCGCAGGATCTCCCTGCGGAGCTTGTCGCAAGACAGTTGGAAGGTCATGCCCCTGATGGGGAACGACCCTCTTGTGTGGTAGACCATCCTCCACACCGTGCTGCTCCAGCAACAAACAGGAGAGTGCCACAGGCACAAGGAACTCCGGCTGTGAGGCATGGGAGACCGATGGCTGGTACACCCAGACCACCGCTCCCAGCACCGAACGCCGCGAAGCAAGGCGCCCAGCGCTCAAAAAGGAAAGGAGAGTTCCTGCCACCAAGGGGTCAACCCGGTGGGCTGGATGACCCAAACCGGAGAAATCTCTGCGGTTCTAGGGTCAAGTGGTACCTTCGGTATCTCCAGCAGGGACTCACCCCTGATGAAGCCCTGAAAAAGACCAAAGAGCCCAGGGAGGACGTTGCAGCACCTATGTCAGCTCTGAAAAGGCGTAGCAACAATCTCACACCACCGATGGCCACCCCCAAGAGGATGTGCCCGGAGGTTGTGGGCGTTGCCCGCGGTTCGGCAGCAGCAAAGGTACTGAAGAACAATGGGGCAGGAAATTTGGACCTGCGCCCAAGCACATCGCGTGCAGCGGCCACCGAGCCTCGCCTGTCTTACGCAGATATGGCCAAGAAGGTAAAGGTGGCCGTGTTGCCCGTGGATTTCCCACGGGTCATGCTCAGTCACGGAGATTTATCTGTGTTGGAAGAGGCCATCATTGACGAAATCATTGCGTCTGGTGGAGATGTCGTGGTCTCATTTGCGGGCATTCACTTCCGGGTTGGATTCCTGGTAATTGAGTGCTTCGATGAGACCTCGGCCGATTGGCTGAGGACCGCAACGCCGAGGCTACAATCGTGGAAGGGCGTGCCCCTTGAGTGCAAGGTGGGGGACGACATACCGTCGCCCCACTGCATCACGTTGTACTGTCCCAGGAGTGCAGATCGGTCCACCGAATCCCTGTTGGTTCTGCTGAGGAGCCAGAACGGGATCGAGACCGACACCTGGAAGGTGATCTCCAGGAGGAACGAGGGAGGAGGAGCCCTCCTGGTGATCGGGATAGATGAGCTATCCAGGAGCATAATTGTGCAGAAGGGACACCAGGTCTTCTTTCGCTACGGGACCATCCCCGTAAGTGGACTGAAGACAAAGAAGACCAGGGAAAAGCCTCAACCTGCTCCAACGGGCAAGGAGGACGTCTCAGTGGGCAACATCACCACATCGGACACTCCCGCCCCGGAGCAGGGCAGTCCGACTGCGCAGCCCACCGACCCGTCGGAGGACCTCGCTGACGACGAAGAACTGGCAGATGCGACGCTCTGCCAGGAGGAGATGCTGGGGGACGATGACATCCCCATGTCCTCGCAGGAGCTGGAGGAGGAGCTGCTGGATGCAGCTGCAGCTGACGTCGCTATGGCGAGCAGCGGTGACGGGGACGGCTCCGGGCCCCATTCACCGTGTCAGCTGGAGCCTCCCCAGAAGTAGATGTCAAGGGGCATCAACACAGGGCTGGCTCAGGTAAACATCCACCGAGCTAAGGCAGCCTCGGCGGTCTTAGCAAGGATGTTTACCAACAAACACCTTGGGCTGGCCCTGGTACAGGAGCCGTGGGTGAACAATGGCATCAAGGGCCTGTTCACAGCCGACTCAAAGGTAATCTGGGATCGGAGAGATCCAGCACCCAGAGCTTGTATCATGGTAAGGAAAAGTATTAACTTCACTATCCTTTCAGAATTCATGACTAGAGACTGCGTCCCCATACTGGTGTACACCAAGGGCAGCGCGGTCTCTATGGTTATCGTATCCGCATACACCACCAGAGATGGAGAAGCTGGTGGAGTACTGCAGGAAAGAGAAGATGCGGATCATCGGATGCGATGCCAATGCGCACCATACTATATGAGGCAGCAGTGACATCAATCTAAGGGGTGAGTGCCTAACTGATTTTATTTTCAAATATAATCTAGAACTAGGTAATGTCGGATCTACACCGACATTTGTCACAAGGATCAGGGAAGAGGTGCTAGACATCACCCTGATCAATCGATCCCTAAAGCCTCACCTTAAAAACTGGCATGTTTCCCAAGACGAATCCATGTCTGATCATAGGACTATCTTATTTAATTTAAAATTAAATACGGATAGTAGCACACCAAGTCGCAACCCTAGAAAAACCAACTGAGTAGGGTACAAGTCGACCCTAGGACTTTCCCTAGCCAACGGGCTGTCTGGTATACCCAGAAGGCCGCTAGAGCTTGATAGGGCTATTGGTGACCTCAATAAATGCATAACCAAGGCATTTGAGGATAACTGCCCGGTAGGGAAAAAGTACATGGAAAAAGATGCCCCATGGTGGAACGACAGCCTAGAAAGGCTGCGCGTGACCACACGTCGCCTCTTCAATAAGGCAAAGAGGGACGGAATATGGGAGCAGTACCGTGAGAGCCTGACCTCCTATAATAAGGAGATAAGGAAGGCCAAACGGAAGAATTACAGAAACTTCTGTGAAGGCATAGTTAGCACAAGCGAAGGCGCCAGGCTTCATAGAGCACTGGCGAAACGAGCGCCTGATGCGAACTTAGCACTGAAGCGTGGGGATAACTCCTTTACGAGCAGTGATCTGCAGAAACTAGCATTACTCTTCGAGACACACTTCCCAGGAAGTACACCCGTGCAGGAAGAGGCTATCGAGAGGGAAAGTAGATACAGGCCGTCAACTGACGACTGGGCATGCGCCAAGTCGACAGTCTCAAGGGAGAGACTTAATTGGGCAGTTGGAACATTCCAACCCTATAAGTCCCCTGGAATGGACGACATATCGCCAGCCTTCCTTCAAACGGGACAGGAAATACTTCTCTCCCGTATTAGGAAAGCATTAGTAAGTAGCCTAGCCCTCGGATACATACCGGGCGCATGGAGAAGAGCTAGGGTAGTCTTCATCTCCAAGGCAGGGAAGAAAGACATTACCAGCCTAAAGTCCTTCAGACCCATCAGCTTAACACCGTTTTTACTGAAAACGTTGGAAAAGCTGGTGGACTTAAAATCAAAAGCACTTTGCTTAAACAAAGGCCGCTGCATCCAACGCAGCATGCATACAGAGTAGGCAGGTCCACGGACACAGCACTTTATCAGCTGCGACGTACTTTGAGTGCGGCAATTGATAATAAGGAAGTAGCACTGTGCGCCTTCTTAGATATAGAAGGTGCCTTTGATAACACCTTCTTGGATATAGAAGGTGCCTTTGATAACACATCTCACGATGCAATCAATGCTACTCTTGAAAGAAGAGGCCTGGACCATACCACCAGCAGATGGATACTGGCACTGCTACGGTCCAGACAAGCCACGGCATCATTACATGATAGAACTGTAACAGTCCTAACCACCAAAGGCTGTCCCCAAGGGGGGTGTTGTCTTCGCTACTCTGGAGTCTGTTAGTAGACGAACTACTAAACAGACTTGCCAACAGTGGTATTCAATGTCAAGGTTATGCCGATGACATTGTTATCATAGCGCGAGGCAAATTTGAAGAATCACTCTGTGACATAGTCCAGTCAGGGATAAGGATAACGTATGACTGGTGTAGGGAGGTTGGACTCAGAGGTCAGAGGCAGTAGGACTCCGACACGCCAGATATCTCCTTGGTGGTTATAATCTTGTACGTTTTAAACAGATTATAACCATGGGAAAGAACAACCTTAGGATACTTACCGGTCTATTGACAGGACACTGTAGACTAAGGAGTCACCTGACAAAATTGGGTATATATAGTAGCGATCTCTGCAGGTTTTGTGAAAGAGAGGAGGAATCCTCGATGCACATCCTGGCAGATTGTGTCGCCTTAATTAGAAGAAGAAGAAGCATCCTAGGGGCGCATGTTTTGAATTGCAAAGACATAGTAGACCTCAACCCAACAAAGATCCTCACGTTCGTAAGAGAGTTGGGGCTGATGGAAGAGCTATAGGCTCAGAAAGGGGGCACAATAGATCAAATAGGTCGCGGTGCAGCTTCCCCCCTAATAATAATAATAATGATTCGCGAAACTGATAAGAAATGAATTATCCATTTTGGTGACAATTGTTCCAATTTTCAGATTGAGCAACAAAAGTTTAAAATACAATCACAAGGAGAAATCTCTTTACACCCATGTATTGGTATCGGTAAAAGCCTAGTTGTAGTCTCTCAGTAAAATACCAAACTTAGCAATTACGAATATTATTATAATTCTAAGATCTCGTCTATCAGCTGTATAGCAGTAAGTAAATATGCCAGAATTGACGGATAACAATATAAATAAAATATAAAAAAAATCCTTTGAATTAAGCTTGTTTACTTAATATAGGATACATACACATATTTATTAGTTTCATTTTGTGAATTGATATACATTTTGTTAGTTGTATGAGTGTAATTGTAAATTGATTGTACAGTCAATAAATTATGCTTCTGTGTATGGGTTTCAAAGTTCGTCGGTTTCTAGTAGTACATCCTCGTTGTTGATCATCATTTCATCATCGTCTGAGCACAACAGCGGATCATAAATTTCGTGCTCCACACTTACTCCAGACGGCGGCAAACCTTGATCTGATGTAATTGTGTTGTAGAACTAGTTTAGGCATGCAATTGCTTTTCTTCTCCAATTGGTAGTTTATACTGCGTGACTTTGCATTTGCTGAAATAGCTGGAATTGGTTGATGAGCCAAGTTTTTCCGAAAATTGTCTTATCCATTAACATTCAAAAATATCGTCAGAATATCGTTGGTAACCACCCATTTGTATTGCAACACTGGAAGCATGACAATCCGTAGGGAAAAGTGGCGACATTTTCATGTCGCCTCGTGGGTACGCTCCGTGCAACAGCCGCTTAATGTGAAAGCGTTTGTCATATATGAGTATGTCCAGCTGCGCATTCTCAATAAAAGTCGGCATCTGGGGCAACTGCAAAATTGTTTGAATCATAGATTGCAAGCCAAAACGTAATTTGCCGCAGCGAGCAAATAATGAATGCAGGTACAAGGGATTGTGATTATATAATGTGTAACTGCGGCTACAATTCGATGAGTGCAACAGCTCCTCAGGCACTCACAGCAAAAACATGGCCTGAGCATCATAAAATTCTTTTTAGTCCGGACCACAAGAGCTCTCAACAAATACATACATGTATGTCGAAATAGAGTTTAGCAAACTTAGTGCAAAATGCCACGCTTTCACTATTAGGGAGATATAAGTGTTGCTCTTCAGACTTTTATTTATTTATTTATTTAATGTCAACTAAAGTCAGTCGACACAAAAAATACAACAACTAAAAAAAAAATGCAATTCAAAGTAAGATACATTTATAAATTATACATATAAATTAAAAAATAAGAAATGTTCATAATATTTCTGGGGGTATTTAAATGCAAAATGGTCCAATATTTGTTGCGTGAATTGGGGAAAACCCAGAAAAAACCCAATTATACCAAAAAATATTTAGTATAAATTAGTTAAGTTCCACCACAGATACACGCAAGAAAGTTATTCACGATATAGGGCGTTTAAAATTGAGTTATTAATTTTAGAAATTGAAGACTATGAATTGATTACGTGATAGATTCTGTTGTAATCATTACAGAGTACTCGAATCGCTTCTGGCAAGGAACAATCTGTACAACGACTAAGAGAAAGTGGGATAAAGGAACGTGACGGTCTAGAGGGAACAGAAAAATTTATTTGGCTCATCAACGCAGCTGAATCGATTTCACCATTAAGTAATTTAACTACAAACGTAACACCTTGCATAACACGACGATTAGTTAAGAAGGGAAGGTTAATAAGGAGCAGTATATTGGTATAAGGAGGCAATACACCCCAGTCAAAGCGACGAAGAGCAAAAAGTAAGAAACTCTTCTGCACAGATTCCAATCTATTTGAATATGATATTGCGGAGTCCACACACAAGATCCATATATTAGAATGGGACGTACAAGAGAAATGAAGAGTATCTTAGTCAAATAAGGATCATCAAATTCCTTTAACCAATGCTTAATTAATCCAAGAACTTGAAATGCTTTGTTGACAATGAATTTCATATGACCATCAAATTTTAACCGATGATCAAGAAGTAAACCTATATCATTTACATCATTCAGTCTATCAAGTGGCCTCCCATCGAGCGTGTAACTAACAATATGAGGAGAGACACGATAAAATGACATGTTATTACACTTACAGCAGTTCAAATGGAAGTAAGTCCGCCTGCATACATTAGTACTTTAGGAATGTCATTAGTAAATAGATGAAAAAGCTTTGGACCCAGGTGACTACGCTAGGGTACCCCAGAGGTAACTAGGATAGGTTTTGAACGTAATGTTTTGAGTACAACTTTTTGAGATCTGTTACTCAGATAACCAGAAATACATGCAAGAAGGTTAGTAGGAAATCTAATAAGGTTTAGTTTATGAAGAAGGAGACAATTGTTAACAGAATCAAAGGCCTTACTAAAGTCTGCATAAACGACATCAGTTTGCATTTTATTCTGAAATCCTTTGATCACAAGGGAAGAAAATTCAAGAATATTAGTGGTAGTACACCTACATTTCACACAACTATGCTGGAAAGGTGAAATGATAGACCTACATAAGTGTTGTAATTGAGTTGTTACTATTTTCTCAAATGCCTTAGATATTGCGGACAATTTGGAAATACTCCTGTAGTTTTTTACATCAGACTTTGAGCCAGTTTTATGGAAAAGAGTAATAAAGCACTGTTTCCAAATAGCAGGAAAAGAACAAGTAGCAACAGACAAAGTAAATAATTTAAGTAAAGGTTTACAAAGGGACTTATAGCAGTACTTGAGAACACATCCCGGAACTCCATCTGAACCTGGCGAATATCCAGGCTTGATTAAGTGTAGGTTGACAAGAACTGACTTTTCAGTTACCACAGGACCAAAAATGCAATTAAACCTTTGAAAAAGGTAAGTCTAAGGTAGACTGGGTGAACAATTAGAAGAGGAATAGGTAGATTGAAAATACTCGGCAAACAGATCGGCTGCAGCCTGGTAAATCGTTGCTTTAGTATCTTTATAAAAAACGGAATTCTGTAATGAAGACGATTTACGTTTCATATTTACAAAGTTATAGAACTGCCATTTATATGCACTTGTGTCAAAATGCCGCCAGTGGATTGCCTGAAATATCCAAAGTCTCTAAGCGCATGTTTCTCAAGTTATTGACTCCATTATATCCTGTTTATGATTTACACCTACATATAAGGTCTGTAACGCAAGCATATTAGGACGTGCAAGATTATAACTCAGTGTACACAAAAAATGTCCCAGTAATTGGAGAACGCGCAAATGTGAAAACTCTTGAGAAATCATATGAAGAATTTGCTGCAGCAATGGCAATGCATGTAGTGCAACCAATTGGTCTACGAGCTCTGGGATGACATGAAAGCGCGATAAATTGAGCGTTTGACTTTCAGCATCGAACGCCGCCTTCATTAGGGCCAGCAATTCATGGGTTAAGTGCGATTGCGATAACAAATTTGGCGGAAGACCCTGCTCCACATTTATATCAATATTTTGGGTGCTAAACAGCAAACACTCAAACTTTGCCATTTATTCGCTTCAAGCGATTGGCCATCAACTTATTGTCTACAAAGAATTGACCACGAGAACCGTCGTGGCTGCGCTTAAAATCGAACAGATGTACCTTCAGTGGCAAAATGGCGTATTTCAAAGCCAGTACAATGGAGCTACTTGGCAACTCCTTGCAGTTGGATATGGTCACAGTGTACCAGCCGGTGACATTAACCATTTTGGTTGCCTCTTTGCGCTCCCGCTCATATCGCCAAGCTAAAGACCCACACATTCCGTAAACTTTTTGGGGCCGAGGTTTTTGTGATTAATTTGTAATATATCTGTGAGTCGACGAGCTTTCATGTTATAGCGACGGCCATTATTTCCATAGTCGTTCTCCTTTATCTTGGGTTCGGAAGCAGTTGGGATGACATTAACAAGGAGAGAGGGGCAGAGAGTGCATCAGCGAATCAATATAGAGCATTGCATGAAAAGTAATCTTAGACTATGATATATATTTATTAAATACATAAACTTAGTAAAAAAAAAAGTGAATTAAAAAAACTCTGTTCTGAAGAACTTATGGGTTTGGAGGCGACTGAGCTGAAGCTACCAGGCGAGTCGCGGCTTGCGAATAGTAAACATTACTCGCACACACGGTACTGACAATCAAGAGCACAGCCACAATTGCCTAATTATATCTTATGTTCCTATTGCCAGCTGGAATACGTTGTCACTCGAGGCAGCTTGGCTGGGAACCCATTATTCTCCTCGATTCCTGTGAACGGTATGAAGAATGGCAGAAAAAGTATTCAACTGCCGCAGGATCTCCCTACATCAATCGTCGCTAGAAAACTGGAGGACCGCATCATTCCCGTGTGCTACACCACCCCTAATACCGAACAGTAGACGCGGCTAGACTACCATCAACGGGTGGCCAGGTAAGGAAGCACTGTCCGACCATACCGACCGCTGTAACCTGTACATAGCACTGTCTGGCAAATGTGCCAAAGACACAGGAAGAAGGAGGAATTTCTGTCACCTCGTGACAACATGTAATCTGACTGACTCAAATTAGCAGAAATTTTGATGCTCTTAAATTAAATGCTACATTAGCTATCCAGCAACTATTGACATCTGCAAAAGCGCAGGAATTATGAGTGACGGCAGCCGGCTCCATAGAGCAAATATAGTCCGGAAACGAAAATATAGAACATTTACGAGTAGTAACATGGAAAAGTTGGAGCTCTCGTACGAGACGTACTTTCCAGGGAGCATCGTCTTAGATACAGTTGAAATTTTCCTTCATATCCTTTGCCATGCTACTTCTTAGAAGACGCCGTTTGAAAATTTTGCATAAGTCGCAGCGTGAAGTCAGAGGATCCTGCATACAGCATGTCAGGTTGTATGTCATCTGCTCCCTGCGACTAGCAGACCTTGAGAACTTTAACAGCCCTAACAAGGACCTTTATAACATCCACAAGCATCCCTTAGTATAGCCTAGAAGCGGCCTCGAATTCGAATTTTACGAGTCTAAAAATTTTACTCATTTGAATCAGATGCAGAGTGCGAAAGTAAGCATCGTGTCTGCAGGTTTGATCACAGACTACACGAATCCTAAACAGTGCTCATAAAAGTTGCGAGGGCCGTCTTGCTTGTAATTGCTCATGGTAGGGAGAATGAGCAAGCACTGTGCCTCTTGATCAAGAAAAATAAAATCAATAGTATAGGTGAGTGCCTGCTAAACTATGCAGAAAACAAGGTCACAACAGGAGAACCACTTCTGGACCATCAATGTCAGATAATAGACACATTTTGTGCAACATAAAGGAACGCACCTCTTTTAATAGAAAGAAAGAAGGGATAAATCAAACAGTATTATTATATTGTTGGGTAATGTATGCACTGCGACATGCTAGATCTATTGTGAACACTTCTGAGCCTATAGCCTTTCCACCAACCCAAGTTGTTCCACGAATTCAAGAATCTTTGTTGGGTTGAAAGTTTCTATGTCGTTAGAGCTCAGAAAATGCATACATACATCGATACTACATCTTTTCCTAGTTAATGCGACACAATCTGCTAGGATGTACTTTGAGGATGCCTCTTCGATTTCACAAAAGCGGCATAGTTCGCTAATATAGATAACCAGTTTAGATATGTGACTTCTTAGTCTACAGTGTGCTGTCAATAAAACGGTGAGTGTCGTAAACCTATTCATCCCCATGTTAATTGCCTGCTTAAATCGTTTATGATTATAGCCCCTCAAAAAAGATTTGGCTTGACGAAGGCCTGGTGCCTCCTAGCTCCGTTGTCGCCTTAGTCTTTCTTCGTTCCTAAGTTCCAGTCGTATTGTGTGTCTTCCTATGCCACAAACGGTTCTGGCCATCTATCTGAGCATCTCTCTGGCTTAGGATATGATTGCCCCCAACTTTTTCTGCCGACATCCTTAGAAGCGAAGCATTTTATTGGAGCCTTATGAAATAATGAACTTACTATTATGTTTTCCAGTAGACTTTCTAAATCTATTCTCTTTATCCCCTTCGTAATTTTTGCTGAATTAACACTAAAAGGTCACTTTCATGTATTATTTATTTTTTTACTTCATAGCCTAACTCGACAAATTAAAGTTTCCTCTCCTCTTTTATTTAATAAATTTTCTGTCTTTCAATTTTATATGAGTTGAAGGCCTAGGTTAGTACTATTTAATGAGACATTATGCTTAGTAATTATTTCTAAATAATTTTACATATTGTTGTGCTTTTACCTAATCTATTATAATTTGTACAGTCATAAAGTCTGTAAAACATTGAAGAAGACACGTCGAATTATTTTAAAATACATTTTCTCTTGGTTTGCACCGATAGCCAACTCGATAAATGTCTGTCTGTCAGTTATAGATCAGTTATTGGATAAACCAATTTTTCGTTAACGAGTGTTATAAATGTTCGTTTATATAAAATTAAACATACAGAATCCAGCTAAAACAAAAATCGTATTTGTTATTTAAATGTTAATTAATGTATTTTTGTTGTTAGCGCGAATTGATAAACAATATTAAGACCCGAATTATTTTTGAAAATTCGTACTGGGTGACTAATTTATAACTTTCTTATTTTTTTAAAATTAAAAATTATTTCGTATTTTATATTATTTAAATTAGTGCCACTTTTAGCCCGAACCATGCATTACACAGAACAGCAATTATATTTTATACAAATTATTCAGATTTTTAACATGCTTTATTATTAATATTTTGAATGAGCTTTTTTGTTACATATAATCAATTACTGCATATTTTATGTGGTCTGGCCACTACGCTGAATCTAGCGTTATAAATATTATAGTATGTATATTTATTTGATTTCAACTACAGCAAGTAACGTTCATATAATTGTTATTTGTTCTTTAGCATAATTTATAAAAATATACACCAATAGTTCCCGTTTCTTTAATAAACGGTTTTTCATGGAGGTTTTGTTTTTCAATTAAGGCAAAGTGTGTTTTTGATTCGGTGTAGGGTATGTTTTGTTCACATAAGTTGACTTTGCTTTCAACTAAATGCAAAATTCGTAATTGTTACTTATCTTTAACATAGTGTTGCAAAACATTTAATATAAAGTATGTAAGGGAAGAGGAGTATACACGTACAAAAAATATTTAAAGCGAGCACAAAACGCAAAAATCTTTAGGTTAAGGGAGTAATTACAAATCAAACATTTTTAATTTATTTGGTCGTATCATTCGACTCAACGCCTCACTATGGTAGAGGGTCGCGGTAATCCACTGCGTTTCATTTGTGTTGGCTGCCGTAGACCCGATGGTTTCGGTATGCCCGTTGCACCGGTTGTAACTTGTGTCAGCTTCAAGCTAAGCGCATGTGTATCAAACGGGTCATTTTGTTTTACATCTTTACAATGCAGACTGCAACGCGACGATGCCGAAGAAAGGCTCTATTTGAAAATTTGTTTAAAAATTAATCACTCTTTTCAATATTTTGATTATTAATTCACCTCAGGAGTTTCGGATTCCCCAGCTGCTTTCACACTCAGACTATAAAAACCGGACGATGGACGGGCAAGCCCATTAGCTGTGGCTCTCTTGGCACCTGCTGTCAACGGTGCACGCAAACCGCTGATCGACTTGGGTACTTTGAATACGGAACTTTTATCCTGATAAATAAAAATGAAATTAGCTTGTACCAAACCAGTATAACCTACATTATATGCACCTCCTTTTCTTGCATGGCTTTTGGTCCACTGATGAGCTTGTTGGCCTGAATGCTGGGTCGTCTTATGGCTCCACCAACACTGGGTCGGGATACCAATGCAGTTGTACACCCACTAGCTCCCCCATAGTGGCCTAGGTTGGATGAAAGGTTGTGGAACGACTTCGATTTAATGCCCATCGGACTTGTTAACCCTCCGAAGTCTCCAAATGTGGGCACAACTTCCGCCGCTGTTGTCGTTACGTTAACTGCTGTGGTTGCATTCAGACCAGCGCCAGCGGATGCTGCCTTACTCACACTGGTGAGCTTTTGCAGATCGCCGATATAACGTGGTCGAGACAGCGAACGCGGCTGTGTTGACTTATTCTGATCAGATTCGGGAAGATTCTGTCGTTGACGCACCATCCATGATGTCTCCTTAGGCTTTTTGTAAGTCAAGTAATTGTTGCTAGCTTTGGCATTGCGCGCTGACTCGTTCATATTATTGAACGATGTCTGATCATGACGTGAAAGTCGCGTAGGTGGCGATTGTTGTCCCTGATCTTGTTCTACTGTACCCAATGTCTGATGATGGTGCCTTTCATCATCAATACAAGGAACTATAATGTCGCTTAACTGCTCATTGCGAGCCCGCATTTCCTCAGTTATTTTAATTGTCTTGAAGCGATCGCGATCTCTGTTTCGACGCCCGGCCACCTTATAGCCTGAAGATTCTGTGTCTGTAGCCACCTGCTGCTGCACATCGACCTCGTGCTCCGCAGTCTCCTCTAATGACGTGCCAACCTGCGATATATTGGGCGGATCTTCCTCCCGTCGATGAACAATAAATGATGTTGAATTGCAACTGACGGTACTGCCATTACTGTTTTGCATTGCGCTCAGATTGACATCGTCATATAGGCGACTCCGTCGACTCAGCAAACGTTCACCGCTGGATTGGATATTGCTATGACTGTGGGTGCTCACTAGTTGTGGCGATGTGGGCGTTACATGATCAATATCCTCGACTGGTTGTTGCTGCTCACCCTGTGTGGTATGCTCCTCATCTTTTTGAAAACGCCGCTTGATGCTGTCAAGTGATTTTTGCATTTTCAGCTGCTCCGCATTGAGTACGTTTACTTTCCCGAGCTCAGCAAGCATGTGCTCAAACAGCTCTTCATCATCTTGCTGTGCAATGAACTCTACATCTACCTTCGCCAGTTCCACAACGCACTGATTTTGCTTATTTTCCACGGACATATTGTAGGTGGCATCTAACAAAGGTTGCTCGATTTGTTCCAGCAGTTCCATTTTGCTTAGCACAAAATTTTGGTTGTCAAAACCATCGCGTTCACCATCAAGCTGCAATTCTTTAAATACTTCAGTGAGTGGTTCAAATGTATGATTAAGCAGTTGCCGGCTATTGAAGTTGTTGTGTGGCGTTGTGCTCACGATTGGCGATATGTTAATTATTTCGCCATGACTTTTCGGCGTATGGTTAAACTGCTTATGATGATTATTATTGTTGTTATAGTTTTGAACACGTGCGCTTGTTGTGGTTAATGGCGTGGATTGCATATGTATGGATGACAATTTTTTCTCAACATTTTCTGGCGTCTCGCAGTGTGCAGCCTCAGGGGTTAGACATCCTTCTGAGAAGGTGTTGTTCACATTTCGCCCCGTCAATAACTGTGTCTCATTTAGCAGTGGAGTCTGTACTGCCGTTGGCCGTTTAAATGTCGCATTTTTCTCCCACTCACCAGGAAATTCTGTTGTGGGCGATGTCAAACTCTCCACCAGGCTGACTGTGGTATCGCCAATCATCTCCTCGCACAACACCATCGTTTTGCCCAAGGGCGGCTGCGTTTTGACTTGTGCCAGCATCTGCTGTTCATTTGACATTGACACGCTGTCGGTGCTGTTGTCCATTGTGCTGCAGGCCGAAGTGGTTTTACTTAGTGTCGTCAGCGATATGTCATCGATCTGGCCAATATGCGAATCCTTGATTAATGTGCCATCACCGGACATGCTGAGTGATTCGAGAGCTTTGCGATCTCTGATCATGTCACTAAGCGTGTAGCCTCCATCATTCATCAGCGCTGTCGTCGTTGTCAAATTGTGGTGCGTTATACCAGTGCCATCGATTGTTTCCATACTGTTGATCGATTGCAGAAAGTTAAGATTTGTGAAATCTGCGGAAGTGATAAGCGAATTGTTCATGTGACCGTTGTTCATCGATGAGCAAATGGACGATGGTGGCGAGGTGTCCTGCAAAAAGGATTTGTGCATATTGGTGACAAGTCCACCAATTTCAAGACTGAGCATTCCTGAATTTGAAGTGGCCATCGTGTTATTTTGTGATTGAGCCAAATGCGTCTGCAATTCAAATTCGAAATGAAAAATCAAATTATAAATCGTTCTTATACCCATATATTTATTGCTAAAGTCTTTAATTTCTTGATCGGTAAGAAACGAGCTAACATAACCTTGTCTATCGCTTTATCTCTTTATATACATATACTTAAAAAAAGAAGTTAAAAAAAGGTAATGGTTTTGTTACAAGAAGAAGATTGCACCGACATATATATATGATATATATATACAGTGTCTCACAGTTCAAAAGACCCAGTGTCTAGCAAAAAATTTAAAGTGCTATAAAGTTTAAATAAAGAAACAAACGCAAAATGTTTAAATTCCAATTTGTTTTATGTTATATCACGTTTGAAAAATAAACTTTAGTTTTTATTAAAATATTAATTAATTAATTAAAATTAGTCAAAAACTGAAAACATGTCCAAAATACATGTCAAAGCTCATTTGGCCCAGTCTTAGAAAAGTAACATATTTGGCGTATAAAAACTTAAATAAGGATGTTAATACTTAGTATGATATCCTTTAGCCTTAATAACTTCCCTTAACCTATTATTCATGGAAGATACCAGCTTCCAGGTTGTTTCTGGACTGATTTTGCTCCACTCAGCCAGCCGAGCATTTTTGAGATCGGATCTGTGATTCCGGGTGTTATTTTCCAGCAGAGCCCACAAATTTTAAATAACATTTAAATCTGGAGACTGGGCCTGTGGAATTATCATGTGGGGGCAGTTCCAGATATGCCAGGACTGTACTAATCCGGACTTATGCTTGGCTGTTGTCCTGGTCGTTGTCGTGGTAGATCTTGAAAGTACGCCGGATTCCTAGCTTCTCGGCAGTTTGGAGTAAATTGTCCTTTAATATATTGAAATACACATTCTTGTCCATTGTTGCTTCAATGAATTTGGGCTCATCTTCAAATATGAATGTGTTCCAGAACTCCAAATCCTTGTCCAAGTCGATTTTGACGAATGTCATCCTAGTCCCTTTCTTTTTTGCGCTTATAAAGGGCTTCTTCCGTGGTACTCGGGCATTAAAGTCATGGTTGCGCAGAACCCGGCGCACAGTTTCCACAATGCACTTTTTCCCCCATTTCATCCTGCACCTGTTGAGTCAGCTTTGAAGCCGATAGCTTGGGATTTTCCCTTATTTTCCTGATGATCCTCCGCTCCTCCTGTTCGGTGAAAATCTTGTTTTGTGCATTTCTGCCCTTGTCCTAAATCCGATTTTCGTCGACGAAGCGCCGAATGATGTTGAATACAGTTGTGGTGCTTAGATTTACCATTTTAGCTATTTGGCGATGTGAATATCCAATTTTGAAGTGTTCCAGGATGAGATTCCGTTGTTCAATGGTAGTCCGTTTGTCCATAGTCCTTATTGGCTGGTTGCACCCGAGATGCAGGATATAACTAAACTGACTACGAAGAATTGGTCTATTGATACCGAAAATAATCAACCTGACGTAAAAAATTCGGGTTTTATGGCACCCAGGTGTCCATAACGCGCCTGGTCCAAATTTTATGTGACCATAAATTAAGGTACTATTTTACATAACCCGACCTATATATATATATATATATATGCTATACATATTCTTCATCAGCATCAAACGCCAACTCGATATAGCTTAGTTCGTCTGGCTCTCGACACGTCTGCATGAACAGATCTCAGAAACTTTTAGAACTATAGATTTCAAATTTAAATAATATGTTCTTGGATATCCCAGGCAGATAAAGCCCAAAACTTCGTTTTATCGATAACTGCCTCCGTTTCGCGAATATCGATACATAGCGATTTCCCATAGGCAGCGGATTCGAATAAATAATTGGTCAACAGGACAAATTTCATCACCATCGGATAAGAAATATCTATAACTTAGAAATCGCATTCTCATATTTAACTTATCACCATCAACAGGAGCATAACTCCTGTATGTGTGAGAATCGACGCGAACGTATATATTTTTGCGTTTTTTTTCGATTGCATGTATATATGTTTATACAGTTCATGCTTGTGAAAATATATATTCGTTGCCTTCGATTGTTACTTTTCAGTGGCTGTGCTTGCTATAAGAAATTAGAGCACTTGTAAACCTTCTTATATTTAAGTGTGCAAATCTTTTAAAATTATATTTTAGAATAAATCTAGAATAAATTCAACAACTGTTTTGTTGTTTTTTTATAGATATTTAAATATACCATTTTTAAAATGACGGTAACAGTCTCCAAAATCCTAAATCAGATTATTATATCTCCAATTTCAAATCTCTTCCATTTTATGTTTTGCTACATAACATTTATTTTTTGAATAGATTTTTACTTTTGTACTTACAAATTGTGTCTCCAGACTTGTTGCCGCCTGTGATCTGCGTTTGGGTCGTGTGAACGTCTTCGAATTAAGTTTGTATGCTTAATAAATGGAATACATGTATATGTATTAGCTTTAATTGGTATATTTGCCTTAAAATAATTTATATGAGTTATATGAATTTGTAAATTATTTGTATTTAGTTAGTTCGGTGTTAGCTTCTGTGTGGGTTTCAATGCAACACTGGACGCATGACAATCTGTCGTTCCATACAACAGCCGCTTAATGTGAAGATGCGAAAGTGGTTGTCATATGTGACTGCGCATTCTCAATAAAAGTCGGCATCTCGGGCAACTGCAAAATTGTTTGAATCATAGATTGCAAGCCAAAACGTAATTTGCCGCAGCGAGCAAATAGTGAATGCAGGTGGAAGTGATTGCGATTATATAGTGTGTAGCTGCGGCTACAATTCGAGGAGTGCAACAGTTTCTCAGGCACACACAGCGAAAACATGGCCAAGATCTCTGTTGAATATGTCGAAATTAAGACTTGCCGACTCCACATTTATATCGATATTTTAGATGTATTATGCATATATTTTGAGAGCATTAAGTTCTTAAGACGACTTGCTTAAATTGCTGCTCGACTCCAGCTCTGCATATGTGTAAAAAATCAATAGTCACCGTTTTTTAATTTTCTAAATAAAACCTATATGTGCCTTATAATTAAGTTTTTTTATTAATTCGAAATGAGAAATTTTCAAATGACAGAACGCATTTTCCACAACTTTGGACAAATTGTAACTAAATGTCCGTCTTGCGGCTGCTTGCTATTTGACTCTTCTTGTTCAAATTGGCAATCAGATCTGACGAAACAGTGTAAGCAAGTAAGAGTAAAGGATAGTTCCTGCTCGAAATAAAAGTTTGTGTTTAAATTGGTTGCACAATTATATTAGAAGGTTTTAACACTGTTTGAGTGAAAAATTATAATGTGTTCATATTTTACGAAAATCAAAAGATCAATAAATCGAATTAAACATAAAAATTTAACAACAAAAATCGAATTTTAGCAGACAAGTGTGTTTCGAAGGATTTCAGAGGTCACTACTTTTTACGCGATTAAAATAATATTAGAGGGAGCTTGCAAAACCATTGCAGTTTTTTCTTTAATCTAACATATATGTCACAGATATTGTGACATAGATGTCACAAATATTATGACACAGATGTCACAGATATTTAAGAATGCAAAAAAAAATAACGGTACCGGTTCGCTACCCGTCCGTAATGGTCCATTACAGAACTTTGAAAAACTGTGTGAGAACGTTCCGGACTGTGAAATACTCTGATACCATTTGAGCACAAATTTGATCAATATCGGGCAAATATTTCATATATAGCTCGGCTGCTTTTTAAATTTACAATGAAATTGAGGTGTAAAATGTGAACTGAGGTCTCCAATGTCAGTTATATTCGGCGTGCCTAAAATGCAATTTTAATTTTAAAATTTAAATTTACATCCTGACTTCTATTCCGATTTTGATTTTTAATCGAAAAACAAGAGGTTGTGATTAAAACTCTGGGATACACCTTATTAAGAAGTACATTTTTGAGGGCAAACCTTGCAGGAAAATACAAAACATAATAGATTATTCTGAAACTATAATTTGGAAGCAAACCTACCAAAAATAATGTAGAGAATTACTACATTGTTAAAGTCGAAGAAAAGGGCAATAATATCACATTTTCACAAAGAACATTAATTGGACAGGTGAGCAACGCAAGAATATGATGTGATCAATTGAATCAAAAACAGTTATGATCTGTAAATATGGGTAATGAAAAAGACTAACAAACAGTTTGGTTAATCCCAGATCGAGGAAAATGTCATCATAAAAATGGAGAGTATATTTCTTGTCATGGGTACCTTTGATGCACCTCAAAAAATTTAGTCACCAAATACTCGCCAACCAATATTCACCAACTTTGGTGAGTAATTTGACGTTCTTGAGCAGCAGTTTGACGTTCTTAAAACTCAATCCCTGTACAAAGTTTCTAAAAAAATCGTTCGTGATCGTTGCGTACCTGTTTTTGAAAGCAAAGTAGCAAACTATTCAAAATAGTGTCATATCCCAATAGCTCCATATTCTAAATAATTTATACACTTGCTAAGTTTAATTGATAATTTTAATAGCCAATAAGATATGTACTCCTATTATTTTAAGCAAACATTTCTTGGAGACGTAAACTAAATATTTGCTACATCTTAAGTGTAAGTTACTAAAAGCACTGCTATTATTTTGAGTATATATGTACGTCTTGTGCGTTTTATATTTATATTATAAAGTTTAGTTATGCAAAATAGCACAAATTTTTAAGCAATTTTAATTTGTCAACAAAGTATGAACTGAAGCATAATCAGAAAAGGCATATTTATTTATTTACCGCAATAATGTATGCATTGATTACTTCAATAACATTAGCCAAATATAGCAAGAGCAACAGTTGGGCCAATGGACATGGGGGCTACACAAGATGGTAATCGGATTGGTCTGCCTACACGCATCGCAAGAGTATATAAATATTAACATCATTGCCGTCGGTTTAACCCGCTACAATGTGGCTATTAAGGCTTCAAGTGCGCAACACTGTCTGTGTTAAGATAAATGCACTGTTTTTGTGTGTTGGTATGTACCACGATTCGCCATACATAAGTATGTGCATGTGCTACATTGAATGATGCATTTACGTACCTTGTTCATTTGTGGGTTGCTGCGACTGCGACTGCTCTTGATTATTTGTTTTCCATTGCTGAAGTATGTTCGATATGTCATCGTTCGTTTTATCTGCGAGAAAACTATAGATTTCAAGGAAACAGATGGCGTATTTTTAGCATAAAAAATAATTACAAAAGCAAACGCGAACGTGAACGTCACTTACATATATGAATCATCCTTTAATGCTTCGTCAATGTCCAGTATATCCATGTCCTGTTGCAGTGACAGAATTAAATTTACACTTAAACTTTTACTTCAATTTTATTTACGCCCAGGGAACAGATAATAAATAAATAAAACTTTCAGTCTCGCATCTATTTGTCGGCTATATACCCATGGACAAATTATCTTTTCTTCAATTGTAGTACGGCTGCACGACTTGACAGCAACTCAAGCGAAAAACATAGTGTTTTTTGTTTACTCTTTAATATTCACATACTCAATAATCATTGTTATAATATTAAAGCAATTTCTTGACAAATACTTACAATTACTCAGTTTTTATAAATAAATAGACGGCCGCTCTGAGCAGTAGAGCTGGCGAACAATCGATTACACTATCGATAGTTTCTCGTCAACATCGGTTACGTTTAATATCAATAATGTGACCAATACCAAAATAATACAAAACTATCAAATCAGCAAGCACCAGTATAAAAATTTAACATTTTTGCAATCCAAAATTGCTTAAGCGAATGACGTTGCCATATCTGGGCGATATTACCAAATTCCAAAGAATAGATGTATACTGAGGATATTCACAACCTTTCAGTTTTGGACTTGTGCACAAAGGCAATCGCAAACGCGGTACAGAAATTGTTCAGTAAAGCTTGTTTGAAATTGCATCCCCCATTTCCATTTCCACTTCAAAGTTCAAGTTAACAGCTTTGGAATAGCAGATATGTTTGTAATAACTCTGTAATTTGAAACGTGAGACTTACTAATTTTTTTGTGGTGTGGAAGGGGGGAAATTCCAAAAATATATAGATAGATCGAAAGAAACTGCTCGACTTTTCTATTTCAAGAAAAAAATAAGAACGCATATTCAACAATTTCGACTTCGAAATAAATAAATTTCTATGGAAACATTAGGATACTGTTATGCATTGCCTGTCGTAGGTACCAATATATCGCTCAGCCGGCTAGCTATCGGCTCAGGGGTAGTTCGACCGCGATATATTGGGCGGCAAGTTAACTAAATATTTGTATTCTTTTATAAATAAAAAAAAAAACAAATATTTCCATCTAACCAGTCCGCTCGCTGCTGTGTTGGCTGTGTGGATGTTGTACAGCCTGCGTGTCCCTCCCTTCCTAGTGATTCCTCTAAATTTCCTGGAGAAAATCCCTTTCACAATTCTTCCTTTCTCGCTGGTTTCTTATGCCCTCATCTCACCCAATCACATCGTGGTCCCTAACATTTTGTTGGCCAACACTAATTCGCTTAATACAATTTCATCTATCTACTTAATTTAAAGCTTACAAAATATTTATGATTTTTCTTTTCTTTTTTTATTTGGCTTCAAGAGTGCGCATCACTGAGTGACAAAATGAGCATCACTATTGCATGGGTTAGGGCCGATCAGCTGTCTTTGGCTCACTCTGCCGTAGTTAGGCGGGAACAAACTCACAGGTGTGCTGATATAACCGAGGCGTCTCAGGGTCTCCGGGTTTCGACTTCCTGGTTCCTGAGTCCAGTTGTCCCCGGCGATTTTCTCCTTGATGGCGGCGATGGATAGTTCCGCCTGTTGCTGCCGCAGATTTGTATGTTTTTTGTTTTATTTTTATTTATTATTTTTACTTTTGCTTTATATTTATTTATTTTACATTATTTTATTTTCTATATAATTACTTCATAATTTATTCACAATTAATTTCTTTGAATTTATTTTTAAATCAATCTTTTCGCAGCGCACGCGCGTGCGGTCTCTCTTCCTCTCCTTTTGTTTTCTCTCTCTTCTCTCTTTTTTCTTCCCTATTTTTCTGAAGATGGTCCCCATCGATATCCCTCGCCTATCGATCTATCTGCCGACCACAACACCACACTACGGTTTCGAGGTTCATTTCAGCGAAAGAGGAGTGCAAAAGGAGGCTATATTTGTCCAACGTAGGCCATCGCCCACACCCTGGGATTAGGTGCCTCATGTTCAACTGACTGAGCCAGCCGGGCTTACACTGCTATTATTTCAAGTCCTTTGCATGGAATACCCCAATCCTGATTCCTTGGAGGGTCTCCAGCTCGTAGAGACTGTTTCCAATTGGTTTAACGACTCGACATTTGACATACTTCGGACAAAACTTGCCATTAATCCGATTCTTGAAATCACTTAGCACGAAATTCCGTTTGAAAACTTCTTGCCCCGAAACATAGTGGATTTCCCGCGTTTTTAAATTATAAGTCTTAGCCTCTCTCTCATATGCTCTATGCAGATTCTTCTGGACTTCCTAGCGGGTGATTTGTTGCTGGTCCTGTCTGGAAAGATGTTGGACTTCGGCATCCGTTAAGGCTCCTAGTTTGCGAGCGAGTTTGTAATCCTTTCCGCTTGTAAACATATGCTGTCCAAACAGCACAAAATATGGCGAGGTTTCAATGCTATGGTGTATAGCGCTTCAAGCCGCACCTTGGATGTCGGGCAGTCTCTCGTCCCAACGTGTGTGGTCGTCTCCAACATATGTCCTTATCGCCGCTAGGATAGTTTGGTTGACCCTTTCCTCTGCGTTTGCCTGTGGTGCGTAATTTCCAGATCGCATGTGGGTTATTTCTCGCCGACTTCAGAAATTTGTAAACTCCTCTGATGTGAACTGTCTGCCGTTATCCGTATGAACGATTTCTGGAACCCCAAACATGGAAAATATCTCGCTGTGCAGAAATCGGATCACCGCCTTTGCCGTCGCTTTTGGCATTGCTTTCAACCAAATGAACTTTGACATATGATCAAGGACTACCAGAATAACCGCATTACCACTTCGCGACCTTGGGTATGGTCCCAAAAAATCCATATACAGTTTTTGCATGGGTCTATCCGTCATTGTCTCTCCTCCCATGGCTGGTCTATTCGTCTGCGTCGAGTTTTTGGTCTCCTTACACGTGTCGCAGTTCGCAATGTAAGCCTTCACTTGCATTGCCATTCTCAGCCAGAAATACATTTGTTTGAGCCTACCTATGGTCCTTGCGCATCCACCATGCATATTCGCGTCGCCATCATGTGCCTCTTTGATCAGTGTGTCCGTTAGTGCTTCTGGAATCCATAGTTTACAATGGAACTCTTCCATATCTGGCTGAATAAAATGTGTTTTTTTAAACAATAATCCATCCTCCACACGCAAATCAGGAAACTTTTCCTCGTTCTGCTGTACCAGCTCGATACGATCTAGGTATGTCTGTACCTCAAAGGCGGTCGTTTCGAATTGAAAGAAGTCAGCCTCCTCTGCATCGAAAGGACGAGAAAGCATGTCGGCAACTACATTATCTCCACCCTTTCTATGCTCCATCTGGAAGTCATACGCCTGAAGTGTTAATGACCATCTCGCTCGCCTACCATCCAGTGCTTTGAATGACATTAACCATTGGAGACTTGCATGGTCCGTTATGATGGTGAACGGCATGAGTTCCACATATGCTCTGAATTTCTCCACTGCTCTCACTGCGGCCATGCATTCTTTTTCTGGGACACTGTAGTTTAATTGGGCTCCTCACAATTTCGCGGAAAAGAAGGCAATTGGGTGCTCGGCGTTCTCCTCGTCGAGCTGTAATAGGACGGCTCCAATACCTATATGACTTGCATCGCACTATATAAAAAATGGCTTCTTAGAGTCGGGATGGATCAAAAGTGGTGCACTGGTGAGTGCCTTTTTCAACTTTGTGAAAGCCTCCAGCGCGTTCTCTGTCATTTTAAACGGATCTTTTCCTTTCAGGCAATCCGTAAGCGGTGCTAAGGCTGAAAAATTCCGGATGAAGCGGCGATACCATCCAGCGGTACCTAAAAACCGACGTAACTGACGTACACTTTTCGGAACGGGTATCTCCGTAATTGCTTGTACCTTTTCTGGATCAGTCCGTAGTGCACCATCGCCAACTACATATCCCAGATATTTTAAATATTTATAGCAAAACTTAGATATCTTTATACCGATTGTTAAGTTTGCTGCTTCCAGACAGTCTCCTAGTTCGGATAATAGATGGCAATGTTCTTCAAATGTGCGCGAAATCACTAGCAGATCATCTAGATAAACGAAAACATGACTTCGGAGCCTTTGTGGAATCACCTTATCCATTAGACGACAAAGTCATTGCGCTGCAAAGACCAAACGGCATAGATTTGAACTGATACAGTGGTCTCCCGGGTACCTAAAAACCGACGTAACTGACGTACACTTTTCGGAACGGATATCTCCGTAATTGCTTGTACCTTTTCTGGATCAGTCCGTAGTGCACCATCGCCAACTACATATCCCAGATATTTTAAATATTTATAGCAAAACTTAGATATCTTTATACCGATTGTTAAGTTTGCTGCTTCCAGACAGTCTCCTACTTCGGATAATAGATGGCAATGTTATTCAAATGTGCGCGAAATCACTAGCAGATCATCTAGATAAACGAAAACATGACTTCGGAGCCTTTGTGGAATCACCTTATCCATTAGACGGCAAAGTCGTTGCGCTGCAAAGACCAAACGGCATAGATTTGAACTGATATAATGGTCTCCCGGGTATGGTGAAGGCTATATACGGTCTACTTTCTGCCTCCAATTCAATCTGCCAAAAGGCATGTTTTAGGTCGATACTGCTGATGAAAACCGTATCTTCTACTCGGCTAAGGATCGACTCTATGCACTGCAGTGGATACGCGTCCTTGATTGTCACCTTATTCAGCTTGCGAGCATCCAGACAGAGACGATTTTTTCCTTCGTCAACCTCAGCAAAGAGTAATTCATGTATCGCTGGTGAAACTGGATAGAAGCGTTCTTCCACCGGTACTGTATCCTTGAAAATTAAATTTCGTGCTTTTCCAGCGATGTCCTGCCTAGACCGAGTTCAGCGAACGATTTAAATTTGGCCTTAACCCGTTCCAGTTGCTCCTGTTGTTCCCGTGATAAGGGAACAGATCTACGTCCTTGGTGATTCCATTATAGGTCATGGCGGTCCGTATCTTTCCCATGATGCGGTGAGGAGATCCTCCAGCGGTTTGTACAGTTGAGCAAGCTTTGTGTAACTCTAATCCCAACTCCTTTACCAGATTAGCACCACCGTGTCCCAGCAAACTCACCGAAGCCCCTGTGTCTAACAGGCCATTGAGTTCCTTGTGACCGATCCATACCTTGGCGAACGGCCTGCAATCGGTGCGCATCGCCGATCTTATGGCTGCACACAAACTGTTTCGTCTCGCCTTTCGTTGTTGGAATGTTGATCGTGCTCGCTGAACTTTATAGTGTGTCTTCCCACTCATCTCCTGACATGCATCTTTAAATATCCTTTCCTTCGCTTGAGCATACTCCGCTTGTCTCTGCTCTGGGGATTTATGTTGTGACCATCTGGTGTTTGGTAAGTCAATACTATGGTTTATTTGATTAACTTTTGCAATAATATTAATTATTTCCTTATCCTTACTTACAGGCTTATAATTACTAACCGAGGCGGTGTCCATGGGAGGTGATTGCTTTTCGCCGAATTGGAACGCGACTCCTCCGCTTGTATCGTGTTCTGACCCGTGTTTCCCGGTCGGCACTTTGGGCATTTGGGCAACACTACGCCAGAATGTCCACATTTATAGCAAAATATATTCCATATTGGTGCCTCACATTCAAAGAATGTATGTCCTATCTGCTTGCAATTCCAGCAGGTCGATAAATAACTTCTAGGGCTTATAGTGGTTCGGTCCCTGGATCCTGTTCCGTCGCAGCTATCTCGTGTACCCTTGCTTGTTCTCGGGACCGAGCATAGTCTTGACTCGCTGACGTTCTAGCCCATCGCGTTGACAGCATCTTTTCCGCGTCTTGGCACTCCTCGCGCAGTTTCTGGAGGTTGGCTATCGGCATCGGGTAAATTATCCTTGATAGCTGATCGGCATCGGGTAAATTATCCTTGATAGCTGATCTCTGACATCACTTTGATTACGTCGTAGTCCGAGAAACAGCTGGATAGCCGCGATCTTAGCACCAACATGGCCTGAATGTATTCATCCGTGCTTTCTCCATGCTGTTGCTTGCGTTCTCTCAGTTCCTGTTCTCTCTCAAATTCAGTTCGCCTTATTTGGAACTGCTGCTGTAGGCCATATCTGAGATTTGGCCAATCTGGAACTCCAGAGGTACGCACATACATCCAGTACCAGTCTTTAGCCTGCCCGTTCACTAATCCATGGAAATCCCTCAGTACATCTGACCACGGAACTTGATGATGAAGATGAATTCCGCCACCGGCATTCCCTTCGGGTCTCCGTCGAAGATCAGGCTCCACCTTCGGATGTGATTACTCTCCTGCCTCGCATCCCCGATGCTCGTGCGGTTTCTTTGATAGTGTCCACTACATTACTCGTTTGTTGCATCCAGCACGATACGGGAACTTGTTGTTGTTCAGCTTGTTTCAACAATACTTATAAATTAAACACGTCCTGCATTCTATTGTGAATTCAACTGATCAGAAACAACAGAAGATCGAGCATAAGATCTACGAAATTATGCTCATTTTAAGATTTACCATACGATTTTTTGGGAGATTAAAGATTAAGAATCTTCTTTAGTACAAGATATGTTGCATATAAACTTTAATTTCAAAAGAAGGTGAGATGTATAAATACCTAATAAAGATTGAATTTAATGGGTGAAAGTGACTTGAACGATGGTTTCTGTAAGCAATTAGTAAGCCGCCATCTACGAGTCGATATAGATGTACGATTTTTTAAGCTTAGACATAACACGTCTTACACTCTGGAATTGAATGTCAGAACAAACAAACGATTTTTGTTTGTTTCATCTTAAATGTTGTGTGTGGAGCAATTAAATGAGGAAATTATCTGGAAATTTGCTCATTATATCAGTGGCTAAGGATTCGCAAGTGTGAGAGGTAAGCCTGGATACAAAAACTTAATTGCTTAGGGGTAATTATTTCTAACTAAACATGCAAAATTAAATTTTAAAATGTATCCTCTCAAAATTTGTACTTACTAGACCCATTAAAATGGGTCGTGTATGTGATTGTAACAGGCATGTCCGTCTGTCTTAAAGACTTCAAATTTAGGGATATAAGTTTTCGCGTATCATACGCAGATCAAGTTGATTGTATTTGATCAATAATTGCCGTTTTACGAATTTCGATACAAATCGATTTCCGACAGCAATAAAATACACAATAGTGAATAATAATGAACTGTATAAATATTATTAAGATCAGAAAAAAACACAGATTTTGTTATAAAACTGATATCCACTAGACTTCTATTATTAATACAGCATAATAGTAACTTCAATCCTTTGACACCGATTCTTCTCGATTTAAGTTTAAACTACTTAAATTCAGTGCAATTTTGTCAACTTTCTATATACGGTAATAGTTTAACATGTCTTTAAGAACTTTTCAAATAGATCTTTTAAAAAAGACAACGGGTGCTCAAGTTTATAATTTGTTGATTTATTGCATCTTGCAAGCTTCAAGCGAAGCTTGACAATTAATTACACATAAGCTTAATTAGCATTTAAGCTTTCAATAAATGCAGCTTGACAGGTTTCTGATAGTTACGATATTTTATTTCTCAGAAGCTGTGTGCAATGAAATATTGTGTTGCAATTGTATTATAATAAATGCAACTGCATCATGGGATGGCAAATTTTGTTATGTTTTTTTTCTATTTCGCTTTTAATCAAATGCCAAAAAAGTGTGGCATACAAAATACCAATCGTGGATATAGAAATGTTAAACGATCGTGGATTTAAGGTTTCAATACCTGGTAAGTCAGCGTGACGAGTTACAAGGTCAGCATTGTAATTGAACCAATTATAGATGAAATGGGCATGCAACGCGTCTTCTATATGCTGCAGGTGGATGACAAATGCCCAGCTCATATGGACTACATAACACAAGCAACAAATGGCACCTGGAGCAGCACACAACAAATCAGTTTACACAATAATGACAAGCTTCATATCGCATTGTTGGTGCAGTACAACGATTTGATCTATGAGAAGAGCGAGACACGCGTGATACTGAACACCCGCCTGCTGACCACTCAACACCGCTTATCCCGCAATATCAGCTATCCCAGCAACCAAGAAGAGTGCCAGGTTTATCTAACGTCAAAAACGCCAATCACAACTTGCAAACCAGCCATCAGCATAGTGAGCAACAAGCAAGGTACTTGCCAAGGTGAACTGCTCTTCGAAGACAATTTTAGTGAGGCGCAACTTAATCGTAGTGTTTGGACGCATGACATACGTCAACGCATGTATAATGTGGAAGAGGAACTTGTGGCCTTCGACGACTCACCACGCAATTCATACGTGAAGGATGGGTACCTATACATTGTTCCAACAGTGGCAAGCGAGGTGAATCAGGGCGTTTATCAACTGGGCGATCGCTGTACGGCTGTGGAAAGTCCGCAGCTGGAGTGTAACATTGCCCGAGGAAGCTACTATAAGATTAATCCGCCGGTATATTCGGCTCAGTTGCATACACGTAAAACCTTTAGTTTCAAATATGGAAAAATTGTGGTTCGTGCTAAACTGCCTATAGGCGATTGGCTATTTCCATGTAAGTTGTTTTTATGTGTTATTCTGCTTCTATATTTTACTCTCACTACAAGCAACATTTTCATAGATGTGATGCTTCAGCCAGTTTCAACGCATGTGGAATCGCATTATGTCAAACAGCTTCGTAAGTATAGTTGTCCTCACAATAACAGTGTCTTAGCACATTATGAAACGTTCAAGATTAATTATCCTTGCAAAGACAGACCAATTTCAAATATAGTTATTAATTTTAATAAATCGATAAGAAAGCACTGGTGTTTTTAACACACCACATATTGAATACCCTTGTAGACCGGACATTTAACTACATCTAACTTACCTTTAGACCCATTGTTCTTACGGCAGTTATATTATTTGACTGTAGCCAAATGTGGGGAACCTAATTGCAAGAATATTTTGTGAGTTTGATCAGGATACTATCGTAAAATGTAATTCCTTTAATGCGAACCAAGGACTTCGACTGATTTTTTGTAAAACAGCTCTAAAATAAAGAGGCTCCGTCGACCGAATTAAAACACTGATGTATATTTACTTTCAAAGAGATAGCTTTTAAGCTGAGTGAGTTCTGCGCATATATATAGATATATTGACCAATAATGCTAGCAATATACATATATACTTTATGGGGTCGAAGCCGATTCCTATTGGTGTCGGCGTCATAGGCTTCAATGTGTCATAAGCGTAACGACAATATCTTCTGCAAGGAAATAAGCAAGCGAGCTCCAATTTTTTTAACTTTTCCGTTAACTTTTTTAACACAAATCTTCTGTTAAAAAACAACAAAAATTTAAAGAATTTCGTTACTATTTTGCTTTCAGTATTAAAAATAATTTATATATGTATATATATATGTATATATATATAAACTGTTTTTGACATTGGTATTGCAATACTTTTCATAACATCGAAACGAATTAGTCGAATTTCTAAATTTCACAACATACCATACGAATTTAGAAAGTATTTTATGTTGCCTTAACTTTATATTCTCTATATACAATCAAAAATTTATGTAATTTAGTTACCGAAATAAGGCTTTGTGATATGCTTAAAATTAAGAGACCGATTCAACTTTGAGAATTTCTTCCATTCTCGAAAGTTTAAAGGATTCAATCGAGAAAAAAAAAAAAAAAATCTGAATGTACGAAATGTTGGGCGTCGAGCAAACCGGCTATTAGAGATTACAAATATTGACAGACGAGCATCTCTACATCAGTTCGGCTTAAGAATCTGATATAGATCCAATATTCTTTTAATATGCTGCCTGCGTACCCTGCGTACGCACTTGAATGTATATAAATTGTTTTTATAAATATCACTATTTACGGTTCTATGATTAATCTATTTAAACTTAATAAACTACAGGCATCGCGTTTGCTCGGGGCAACTCTCACTTGCGCAGCACTCAGCAGGAGGACATATCGGGTAGTCGCTTATATGGCGGCATGGTTGTTTGGAATCATGGACGCGCTGTGCAATTTTTAAAAAATCGACTTAACAAGAATCATTATGGTAATGACTTTCATAATTACACAATGATCTGGCAACAGGATAAGTTAATTCTCATGGTGGACGAAAAGATTTACGGAGAGCTTTACGACGGCTTGCCCTTTTTCAACGAAAAATGTTTCATCATTTTTGGCGTTACAGTGGGCGGTTTTCTCAACTTTGATGATGAAATTGTATCTAATGACGTAAAACCATATAAGAATAGTGAGCCACGCGCCGCTCTCTCATTTTGGCTACAGCGTGATACGTGGGCTCCCACTTGGGAAAAGAGCAGCGCGATGATTATTGATTATGTTCGTGTCTATGCTGAGTAGTATCGATATATTAATGTGATTAGTCATAGAACTTAAATTATGTTTGCTTTGTTTTTCAGAAAATGAAATTTATAAATGTTATTAAATGTATTTTGCTTATTAAATATAAATTTCTATTTTATTTTCTCTTTATCTTTAGCTTTGACATACATACCTCATTAAATTTCAACATTTAAATATAGAACAAAGCTCTACAACGAAAACAACGAAATTGAATAATTTAAAATCCATTACCGTCGTTTTTCCTCGTATTTGACCATTATTTTCGAATTAAACACTCTTAATGCAATGGAATACGTTCAAATTTTAAATTTCAAACTGCTCCTCAACAATTTTTGAAATGAACAAAACAAATAATCAAAACATCAAACTCATGCAAACCGAATTAATAAATCTGTGCATATGCATGCCAAATTGAGTTGAATTAATAAAAGAGTTGGCAAGTTGAACGAGCGTAATCTAATTGAGAATAGAGGAGCGCTCGACCAACTTTAAAATTTAAAAACGATCTTTTACTTTCCACCCAAATCACGAACCATGCCTTGTACATAAGTAATATATTTATGCACGTATGTATATGATTATATGTAAAGGAGTATATAAGTTATCGATAAATTTTAATCAGATGCAGTGTTGCCAATTATAGATGTCAAAAATCGAACAGATTAATTAGAGTAAAATGAAAAAAAAGGAACAAACATCTTAAAAGGTTGGAAAACATGCTACATTTGGCTCTCATCAGACTTTTCTATTTCTTGGCTTTACGATATATAATTTCTGAGTTTCCTGAGTGATTTTTTTTTCGATCTGAAAATATAGCCACAAGACTTCTGCAATATTGGCAGCATGCCTTATTGTGATCGCTGCTATGTCGCCCTTTGAAATCTGTCTAGTTTATCCGAGGTTGACGAAAGTTTTGCATGCACAATTCTCTAGTCATCTTTTAATATACATTGAAGAGTACAGCAAATTACCATTTATTTTTAATTGGTCCATTTGACAATAACCCGACCGATAGTTGAGACCGATTAACAACGTTCATTTCAGAAAAGGTGCATTGCTAATATATCACATTTTTATACTAAAACAAACAAATATGAACTTGCTGAAAAAATGCTTGGTTTCCATACAGGTGACAGATTTTTCGGATAAAAGGCCAGCACGACTACATTACCTGGTTCCCTTAGAATCTAAGCTCAGAGATTCACGCGCGTATACAGAGAGAGGGACAGACATGCCATACATGCATGTTACATAAATAATCTCAACTTATACACGTTTTTGAAGTTTAAAATACATATGTAAATATTATAAAAACAAGCGGAAACCGGTTTGAGAGAGCTCCTGACCTAATCTGTAAGTTGGAGTCGGACAAAATATGTTAGGTTAGTCATGTCTGTAGACGGTAGTTTACAGAGAGAGAAGCTGCTGCTGCGGCTGCTACTTTGTATGTGGATTGTTGAAGTACGATGCTACAAGGTGCCTGCTGCCATAGTGGAGCCATTGGAAAACGGGTTTCGTGTTTTCATACCAGGTGAGCAGTTAACCCAAGAAATATAACAACCAGTTTGACTTGCCGAAATTCATTTACAGACGAACGTGGCGTCAAAAGAGTTGACTTTAATGTAAACCGTAATCGCAATTTCACAGACTTTGAGGAGGGCGAGTTTAAAGCTCAGGTTCGTAAGCCTCAGGATGGACGCTGGCAACATGATTTTGTTAGAGCACCTTTGAGAGCACATGATACGGTCTACATTTGGACGAATGTGCAACATGGCAATGCCATATATCGTGATCAGGCTTTACCGCAGCAAGTTTGTCAATTGGCTGGCGATTATTTGCCAGCTAACTGCACTTTAAGAATATCAACACCCAGAAGCAACCTAGTACATGTCACATCGCCGTCTTTGCCTTGCGGTGAGGAAAGCGAAACTGTGGTGTCACCTCCACCAACCAATCCGACTTGCAAGGGTAAATTGATATTCGAGGAAGATTTTGATACTCTCAATGAAAGTCTTTGGCTACACGAAGTTCGAGCACCACTTGACAATGCAGACGCTGAGTTTGTGCTTTACGATGGCAAGGCACGCATTCGAAGTGGTCAACTAATCATCGAGCCTAAGCTGTGGTCCAGCTATCGACCAGACTTGCATATAACAAATGCTCATCTGGATTTGTCAGACCGTTGCACTGGGACTCACAATAGGCAAAAGGAGTGTGTGCTGCTCACAAGTGGACCTCTTATATTGCCCCCTGTGGTGGTGCCACGCTTGAGCACTAAGGAATCTTTTGGCTTTAAATTTGGACGTGTGGAGATTCGTGCTAAGCTTCCCAAAGGCGATTGGCTGGTACCTCTGTTGCTGCTGGAGCCGCTCATGGAATCGTATGGCCAAACTGGCTACGAATCTGGTCCGCTTACTTGCATTATTTACCTTATATTTATAAGTACTGATAACATTTTATAGGTCAGTTGCGCGTTGCCATGACCCGTGGTAATGATCAACTACGTCTGCCCCATGGCAAACTCATCGATGGTCGGACTTTATATGCTGGAGCCGTGCTGTCAACTGAGGCGTCTCAGCGTGAAGACTTCTTTGTCCAACAACGGCGGAGTACCCACTTTGGGGATGACTTCCACGTTTACGGCCTGATATGGACCAGCCAAAGTTTGCGGTTTTCAATTGATGGTCAGGATTATGGCGAACTGTTAAGGGGCTTTGCGGAATCGGACCTAAATGCCAGCTGGCGTCGAGGTGGGCCGATGGCGCCCTTTGATCGCATGGTAACACTCTTTTAACTCATCTTCTATTTTAAACCCACTCTTATACTCTGTTTCCATTACAAATTACGACAATTGCTGGTCAATTGCGTTGTTCTTGCAGGCAATAAGAACCTAAAATGATGTGCAATTTTTACAAACACTTTTCTAAGAAAGTAGCTATTGATAATGAAACAGTATTGTAATTGCTTTCGACAATCAGATTTTTTTGGATCAATATATCCATGCCCGTCAATCGTTCAATTTCTTATATTAGTATACTCTGATGCCCCTCGTATAAGAGTAAATTGGTTTTGCACAATGTCCTACTTGCTGTCTGTCTGTCCGTGTGAGCGCAATTTTCTTCCACATCGTTAAAGTTTGAAACTTGATATACTCGTCTGGGCCCTTGTTAGGAAATGCGTAAGAATTGTTGTGCTATATTCATGGGGGAATCGACATAACTGGGCTATATCTCCTCTGCGCTATTGACTCCACCCTTAAAAATGTAAAATATTCTATTCCAAGACCGTTATACTTGATGGTGAAAATCGATACAAAAATATCTCTCAGTCAATTTAAAAGCTAGTCACCAAATATGAAATTTATATTACTAGTAGCATCCTTCAAAAATCCGCCCACGCTTGACACTCTTGTTTTCCGATATATATTTATTTTTCGCTCACTTCCATAGTTACCTAGAGCCAAAGATAAATGATTTTAGCTCGTAAAGAATGGTGAGTTTTCGCTGACATAACCTGATAACCTGATAACCTCATATTAACCGTTTGGTGTAATGTGGTACAGAACAACATGTATATACAAAATCAAATCAAATATATATTTTTCAATTCAGTTTTACATCACACTGGGCCTTTCAGTTGGCGGCTTTGGAGACTTTGTTGATGAGTTACGTACTGCTAATTTTGAGAAGCCATGGATTAATAAACATCCACAAGCGAAGCTTAAATTTTGGCAGAGCCAGGATCAATGGCTACCTACTTGGAAGAAGCCAAAGTTGATTGTCGATTATGTTCGTGTTTATGCAATTTAGATAATAATGACCTCTTCAACCTAAATCAAACGTAATTCAGTTAAGAATTATGTCCACATAAACTCATTATGTTTAATCAATATCATATCACACTCATTTTTATAAATAACGCTGTAAAATTGAGATTTCCTGAATGCTGTACAATCATCAACAGTGGGAAACTGATACGAAATGTTTAATTTTTGGAATAAATTAATATTATGATTTGTTACATTTATTTATTTTTTTCAACAAGAAATTTAGTTTTCATCGGGATGCGTTGTGTAAACACGCACATAGTCAATTACCAACTTGGGGTGTTCCCATTTTGTTGAATTTCCTGATATGTCTTCGAAAAACAGCACCGGAGCCTTGGGATTGGACATTTTAAAGTCAATGTTATCTGGATAAGCAAAATATTCATCCCTAAAATTTATTGTTCCTCCTGCAGTCAAACCAATTACGATATAGTGCTGTGAAAAAAAAAAGCATATTTGTTAAAAAATTCATTGTTACTATAAATGTATACCTCATTTTTATTAATATCATCGATAATCATTTTATCCGTTATCGTGCCATAGGTAACACCATCTACTTTGAAAATAATGCGATCTCTATGTTTGATCACAGTGTAGATGTGAAAAGCTTCCCCATAATGTGATTCATGTGGCTTGGTATACAAATACTCGAGTAAAAAATCATTGGCTGTATTACTGAAAATGCTGCCAAAAAGCATATTTCCTCCAATTTCGTTGAGGGCATAATCGCGTAGTTTTGGATTTCCTCGCACATAGGCAACACGAATGTGTGGTTGATTATCAAACTCAACTTCTGTGTTGTTCGGTTGTAACAGTAAGTCTGTGCAGATTATAGTAGTGTCATAGGCGTATTTAAATTACTATTAAGATATGTACTTACAGGGAAACAACCAATCGCCAATTGGCATTTTAGCGCGTATCTCGATCCGACCATACTTAAATGAGAAACTGCCTCTAGTGTGTAGTTTTGCCGAGTGCATAGGTGGCAGCGGTAATGCAAAGCTGTAGCGTAGTGGTCCGCAATTCTCTCTGCGCTTGTCAACTCCTGAATATGTGCAATTAGGAATTACGAAGTCGGGCCTATCAATGTCGGCCAATGTGGCTTCTAAATGCAAATTGTTATCCTCTATATAGCAATTTTTTTTATCATGCAAAAATGCCGAAAATTCATGCTTTGCGTGTAACGACGAGTACACTGCATGAGTCCAATTCGACAGATTCTCGTCCGTAAAGTTTTCTTCAAAAATTATACGTCCGCTACAACCCTTAGAATCAGAATCAGTCTCTTCTAGAAAACATTTCTGGTTTTCACTGCAAACCTCTGGTGCTTGCTCATCTTCAATCCTGTAATAATTTACGATTGATTTATCTTCTTTGTTGATGACAGTTGAAAATTGTAGCTCTCGCTTTTCGTTGATTTCCAGTGTAATGTTTTTATTGACGTCGCTTTCAAACCTGTAGTATAATTTGCACTCATCGTCGCTTTGTATCAGTGAGAAAACTGACTTGATTTTATCTGCGAATGTTAAATGTATTCGTTCTTGGGTGTAATTGAAATTATAGTTTTGAATATAGACTGATACCTGACACTTTGATAGTAACATTACTTTCTTTTCGTTCAATCTTAATTTCATTTTGTTCACAACCGCATAGGATAGCTGCAGAGCATCCGATTGAAAACAGCAAAATTAGCAGTCGCATCATGGAATAATTTGACGAGTAATGAGCTTCTGCACTGAATTGACAATTTTGTGAAGTTCCACGTATTCAGTGGTCTGACACAAATTGATAAGAAAATTTCTTTTAATGAACTGAAAAAAATTTCTCTATATCAGTTCGTAAATTCGACTAAGTAGAATAAGTATTCACTAGATAAAGCTCAAATATAGATGCATTAAAAAACAATTGATGAATTAGAAATTTCTTTATATTTTAATTTTATAAAAACTAAACTTTGAGAGACTTATTGTGAGTTTCAAAAATTGTTTTATTAAATTAAATAATGACAACACTTTCCGGATCCAAGGAGAGGCATATACTTTGTATTTTCTGCGTTCAATTTGTCAGTTCAGTTTTGGAATTCAACCTGCAAAGATTTAAGTAACTCTATAGATTAAAAATACAAGAAAAAGTGACATTGTGTACTTTTGTGATAACCTTTCGCATATAATGAAAATTCAAATGAGATGTGTTCTATTTATATTTTCTTGTTTTATTGGTCTAGGCGCTCATGGCATTAACATTAATAACATTAATATAACTGTTTACTTAGATGGAGATGCAGTAGCAATACGCTTGGATGGTATAAATATAGTTATATTACAAAAACTATCGGTCTACCAATAAAGTAATTTAAATTAAATTATACATTTGCAGATAATACTGAAGTCAACTCAGCATTCTTTTCCGCAGAAATATGCTATGGATCCTCCTCAGATTACATATTTTTTCATACAAGGAACAAAAACGACACATTTCTTTCTAAGGCGAATAACCAAAGAAATATTCAAATCAACGACATACTACGAATTATCGCTGTTTTTGAAAAAGATGGTCAAGGAATAACGAAACCTTACGAATTTAAGATTAATGAGCATAAAAAAGTTGTCAAAAATAAAAAGCCAGAGTGCGATTGCTTGCAATCTGAACCGCAACAGGATTACAAGAATCTTAATTGTAGCGGCACTCTTATCTTTGAGGAAAATTTCAACAATCAGAGCCTATCCAATTGGACTTATGAATTACGCTCACTAGTTTTAGCAGCAGAGCCAGAACAAGAATTCGTTGCCTATGTGGACAAAAAAAAAAATATTTGGTTGAAAGATAACATTTTGTACTTAAATGCAACCCGGGAACAATGTAAAGAATCATTTGAGCAAAAGAACTGTACAAGCAAAAAAAAAAATTTTCAGCGCGAAAACGAATGTGGACCTATAAAATGCCATCGAGGGGGTACTCCACCTGTATTTTCGGCTAAACTGCATACTAAGAACCATTTTCACTTTAAATATGGCCGAGTGGAAATACGTGCTAAGATGCCCATTGGCGATTGGCTATTCCCATGTACGTATTGCTGTAACGCTTAATCTATTAATAGAATCAGTTTTTAAAATTAATATTTCAGATCTAATCCTTCAACCGGTAAACACAGAAAGCGAACAGAAATACGTCAACCACATACGAATTGCTTACGCACGAGGTAACAAGAAATTGCAAGATAAAAGCTCAATGCCAATCGGTGGAAAAGTGTTGTTTGGAAGTGCCGTGCTTTGGCCCAATGATACAACGCACACAGAGTATATGAACACAATGCGAAATCCTCAAGATGAATTGTATGGCGAACGGTTTTACAACTATACATTGATTTGGCATGAGGATCGCATAATATTTAAGGTGGATGGCTACAAGTACGGGACAATAACAAATAAGGATGTTCTGAGGACTTTCAAGGAGAATGACGTAAATAAATTCATACATTTTTAGAAGTTTTGTATTTACACCTGAAAGTGGCTTCTTCATTTTGATTGAACCCTTTTGAAATTTTACGACTAGAAGAAGCAATTTTTAATTTATTTTTTCATAAATTCAGTTTTATTGCTCACTCACGTTCTCAAAATCAAATAATGAACAGCATTGCAGCATTCTAACTCTTGTAGGTTGGTCCTGCTCCAACTTTTGGCTGGAAAAGTTCTGCAGCGAGTTCCCTATGCACATACATGCTTACTTGATTTGACTTGTGAAAAAATATTGCGACTCATTGAAGCAGTAACGTTTCAAAATGGTTATGATATATACACATGCTTATTTTATGCTTGCATTGTGTTGCATGCCTGCTGTATTTATTATAAGTAATTGTTGTTCCGTATCGATCGGCAAGTCATTTTGCAGCTTGTTATCCCAATAACCATTTTAAGTGTGCAGAACTAATCAATTTAATGAGATATAATACTTTTTGTATTATAGAAATGTTACTTTGCAATATATCATTTATATCTTCTTTATAGTGCTTCATTGTATTGGGTCTGACAGCAGGCGGCGGTCTCAACTTTGCAGATGATTACTTATTGCGTGGGATGAGGAATTATAGTTATGGCGACGTTAAGGCTGTAACCAAATTTGTTGAATCAAACCCATTCCCGACCTGGAAACAACCAAGCCTGATGATTGACTATGTGAAAGTTTACACTACTCATGCAAATGAAGAATAAATTATTTTATGTATGTGCATAGGTATAAAGGTGTACATCAGGTGTAAATGACAGCATATTAAAAAGTTTTTCCATTATTCTTTTTTGATCCATTATTACGTGAGCTCTGTGTAGATTTTTTTTTGCGCTTATCAGAAGACCAGTCCACGTCGTCTTCGTCGTCAGTACCACCAGTATTACCACCTGATTGCAAATAAGTTGATGTTGAGCTTGTGCTGGCACTAGATCCTTCCTTGGTTGCCAATCGTCGACTAGCGATGCGAGATGAGATGCGGCCCATACCCATGCATTTCTCCAAGTGTGGTGCAAATCTGGCTGCAGCCACTAATCTATCACAATTTGGGCAGGTGCAGTCCATCTGCTTTTTGGCGGTCGATATGCCAAAAATGTCCAAATTTGGCATCTCACAAATGTGAAACGCAGACTCTAGATTCTCCTCGCCGACTCCATCAAGCGCTGCCAGATTGCCGGTCTTACGCAAATGATGTGTTTCTATAAAAATGCCGGCCACAACATCATCTAGTAGTGCCTGGTACAAATAGTTGGAGGCCTCGTCCAATTCTTTTGGTTCCTTGATTAGTTCTCGGAAATTGATCGCAATGGTGGAGGCTGCTGTGTGATTTAATGCCGTTATGAACGTTTGAGATGTAGTCGCACCCAATGGATGCAACTGATTTGTATTCGAATTGGCCATGTTTCCTTTAGTATATAATTTATAAATATTTATTTTTGCAAAATAAGCAGCCGGTTGATGTTCACTATTGATATAAAAACATCGATGATTTTTTAGCGAAAACAGAAAACATACATTCTTCATCGATATCTCTTGCTGCTGTTTTTATGATTTGCTGTTTTTAGATTTGGTCATAATGTTAGAAATGAAGAGTGAGGAGTGCGTAGCTGTGAATAACTTTGCTCACAGAGCAACGAACAATATGTGACATACCTAGACGAGTTGTGAAAGCTATTTCTCAATTTAAATAAATAATTAATTAAGGACTTTCACAGGCTATATTTAAGAAAATAGATTGATTTTTTCAGTTTGCACATACATATGTACATGATATTTTTTATTTCACGCAGCTGCTAAAGCAAGTTTGAAAACTTATTTCGCCAGCCGAAGTTTTTTCTTGCTTGTTTAATTTAGGAAACATGTAATTCGATATAAGATAGTTGAGGGCTATTTTTAAAATGTATTTCTATTCCTTGCTCTCGGCTTCTGTACAATTTCGCAGTGAACCTCCATTTTTTTGTGGTAGACCAAAAATATTTATTTTGACATTGAATCTTCAAAAACGAAATATCGAAGGAGATTTTATGTTATTTGCGGTAAAAATGTATAAATGATTTTGTATAGATGGTTTTATATCGATGATTTTATATCGATGGCTTTACATCGATAGTGCACGTCAACTGTGCATATTTTGCAAAAATAAAAATTTATAAATTATATACTAAAGGAAACATGGCCAATTCCAATACAAATCAGTTGCATCCATTGGGTGCGACTACATCTCAAACGTTCACAACGGCATTAAATCACACAGCAGCCTCCACCATTGCGATCAATTTCCGAGAACTAATCAAGGAACCAAAAGAATTGGACGAGGCCTCCAACTATTTGTACCAGGCACTACTAGATGATGTTGTGGCCGGCATTTTTATAGAAACACATCATTTGCGTAAGACCGGCAATCTGGCAGCGCTTGATGGAGTCGGCGAGGAGAATCTAGAGTCTGCGTTTCACATTTGTGAGATGCCAAATTTGGACATTTTTGGCATATCGACCGCCAAAAAGCAGATGGACTGCACCTGCCCAAATTGTGATAGATTAGTGGCTGCAGCCAGATTTGCACCACACTTGGAGAAATGCATGGGTATGGGCCGCATCTCATCTCGCATCGCTAGTCGACGATTGGCAACCAAGGAAGGCTCTAGTGCCAGCACAAGCTCAACATCAACTTATTTGCAATCAGGTGGTAATACTGGTGGTACTGACGACGAAGACGACGTGGACTGGTCTTCTGATAAGCGCAAAAAAAAATCTACACAGAGCTCACGTAATAATGGATCAAAAAAGAATAATGGAAAAACTTTTTAATATGCTGTCATTTACACCTTTATACCTATGCACATACATAAAATAATTTATTCTTCATTTGCATGAGTAGTGTAAACTTTCACATAGTCAATCATCAGGCTTGGTTGTTCCCAGGACGTGAATGAGTTTGATTCAACAAATTTGGTTACAGCTTTAACGTCGCCATAACTATAATTCCTCATCCCACGCAATAAGTAATCATCTGCAAAGTTGAGACCGCCGCCTGCTGTCAGACCCAGTACAATGAAGCACTATAAAGAAGATATAAATGATATATTGCAAAGTAACATTTCTATAATACAAAAAGTATTATATCTCATTAAATTGATTAGTTCTGCAAACTTAAAATGGTTATTGGGATAACAAGCTGCAAAATGACTTGCCGATCGATACGGAACAACAATTACTTATAATAAATACAACAAGCATGCAACACAATGCAAGCATAAAATAAGCATGTGTATATATCATAACCATTTTGAAACGTTACTGCTTCAATGAGTCGCAATATTTTTTCACAAGTCAAATCAAGTAAGCATGTATGTGCATAGGGAACTCGCTGCAGAACTTTTCCAGCCAAAAGTTGGAGCAGGACCAACCAACAAGAGTTAGAATGCTGCAATGCTGTTCATTATTTGATTTTGAGAACGTGAGTGAGCAATTAAACGGAATTTTATTGCACTGCTTTGTGTTTTATTTGAATTTTTGAAAATCAATATTAAGGATTTAAGATAATTTTCAGAGATACATATGTTGATTTCTTATGGAAATTCCAAGATTTGGATGCCATTATTAAATTTTGCAGGATTGTCTTAAAATTCATTTGTTGAGTTCTACCTAAAGATGTGTTGATCTTGCTTTATGTTTAATTTTGTGAAATTTCGGAGAGCACGAGCGATAAACTATTGTGTCAAACTTTTTTGGCGTGTTTCAATAGATCAACTTAAATTACCTTACACATATCTTCTGAAATACACTTAACGGCTGAATTCACTTTATTTTTCTTAAACACATCTGAAGCAGATAAAGTTAACATTTCCAACGATTTCCTTGATGACCGTTAAAACTTTTGGCCCATGGAAACTGTGCACATAGTAATTCGAGAATATATAATTGATTACTTCAATACACAATAGCTTCTTCTAGTCGTGCAATTTCTAAGGTGCCGTATCAAAATGCAGACGCCTCTTCGGGGTATATTTATTGATTTGCATTAAGTTTTTATCTAGAAACATATTCCTGTTGCTTCGTATGTAGGCAATATATTAACAGATGTAAATATTAATATATGAAGCTTTACGACAATTCTCACATGGGAATCGCCAATTGGCATTTTGACTCGAAATTTCACTCGTCCATATTTTAATTTTATATTTTTCTTAGTATTCAGTTTAGCCAAAAACACAGGTGGGAAACCCCAGTCAAATTAGTCAGTTGAACAAAGAGTTAAACTAGTCGGCGGCACAAAATAATTAGAGCTATGCTGGTCTATGCTTTCTGTTTGATCCGGAAAGTGTTGCCAGAGTCCAACATATTATATTGCTAGCATCCAATTTTAAATTATTCAGAGTTTAAAAAAAATGTATGTATATTTATGATCACAAAAGCTAAAACTAAGTTTTTTTTATTTTATTTTAAATCTTTTGTTTCTCTTAAATGTGGAATATATATACTCAGTCGCTTGTTTGGTGGCGGCAAACGAAAACGAACAGCATGATCAATCACCAACCCGAATTCTATAAATGTTGTGTTTCTGGCCACACATACTATTTGTAGTATGAGGACATCTTGTTATGAAGTTTGCCACGGCAAGTTCCACACGTAAGCAAATTAATTTTTTTATAGTATATCGATAAAGAGATATGTAAATTATATACAGTACAAATAGTATACGCTCATTAGTGTATTTAGCTTTCGAAGCCCAAAATGAGTTAATTTTTTCCGAATTGAACACTGACTTGCAGTATAAATATCCTACAAGTTTATGTGCCCCTTCTGAGACTATAGCTCTTCCATCAACCCCATCTCCCGTACGAATGCGAGAATCTTTGTTGGGTTGAGGGCTTCTATATGTCTGAAAACTATAACATGCATCAATAGAATTCTGCATCTTTTTCTACACACTCTGCCAGAATGTGTATCGAGGATTCTTCCTCGACTTCACAAAACCTGCACAGTTCGCTGCTTTAGATACCTAACTTAGTTAGGTGACTTCTTAGTCTACAATATCCTGTCAGTAGAGCGGTAAGTATCCTAAGGCTTTTCTTTCCCATGGTTATAACTTGCTTAAATCGTTTAAGATTATAGCCACCCAGGAGACATTTGGCTTGTCGGAGTCCTAATGCCTCTGACCAGCTCTGTTGTCTCCTCTGTCTCTCTTCCTTTCTAAGTTCCAGTCGTGTTGTGTGTCTTCCTATGCCACAATACGGCTCTGGTCCTGTTAGGGGCCACGCTGCACCCATTCTCGCTTGCTTATCAGTCGCTTCGTTCCCCTCTATGTTCATGTGGCGTGGGACCCATCTTAGGGTAAGCCTATTGTGAGCCCGGTCTAGCTTGGAACGAACCTCATGGACTACTTTTGATGTTATTTTTGCCCCCATTATAGCGATTAATGCTTCATCTAGAGCTGTCCATTCCTTTTTGCTAATCATATGAGCGGTGAAATTTCGCTCGAATTCGTCTAAAATTTCATCCCTAAGTTGCGTCAGAAGGGGAAGTTCATCCGAAAGAAGTTGGACATCTTTATGAATTAGGAAGTGATTGCTCCCAACACCTTCTGCTGACATCCAAAAAAACGTAACGTTCTGCTGGAGCCTTATGGTATGGTGGAGTAACGAGAGCTCCATTAATGCGTCCAGGGCCATTGTTGGATATGCCATTCTTTGCAACTTTTGCAATTGTCGATTCACGGTGATCAGCCGCGCCCTGCCACCCCATGCGATCATCCCATAGGTCAGCATGGGTCTTACTACCATTAGGTGTAGCCATCTCATCATCTTTGGTGACGTTTCATGACTTTCCGTCTATGCTAGGACATGTATAAAGCGCTCTGCGGCTTTTTAATATCGTATTCTGTACCAAAGTGGGTGCCAAAGTTTAATTTACTGTCAAATGTGACTCCCAGGTATTTTACGTCCCTACTTGTTTCTGGTAGGGTTCCTGGAAGCCATATTTGCCTCATGCTCTGTAAATTGTGTAGTCTAGTGAAGGGGACGATGACTGTTTTCGTAGAGTGTAGGTTGAAACCAAGCTCCTTACAGCAGTCACTCGATATCTTCAGCCTTGACTGGACTATGTCACAGAACGATTCTTAAAATTTGCCTTGGGCTATGATAACGATGTTATCGACATAACCCTGATATTGAATACCCTGTTTGCAAGTTTGTTAAGTACTTCATCTACTAACAGGCTCCAGAGTAGCATGAACAATACACCCCATTGAGGACTGCCGTTAGCGGTTAGGACTGTTACAGTGCTATCATGTGTTGATGCCGTGGCTTACTTGGACCGCAGCAATGCGAGTGTCCACCTGCCTGCTGGTAGTTGGGTCCAGGCCCATCCTCGAGAGGATGGCCTTAATCGCATAATGTGATGTGTTATCAGAAGGCGCCTTCTATATCTAAGAAGGCGCATATTGCTACTTCTTTGTTATCAACTACCACACTCAAAGTCGCAGTTGATAAAGTGCAATATACGTGGACCTGCCTACTCTGCGTTCGATGCAGCGGACTTTGCTTTAGCAAAGTGCTTCTAATTTTATAGTCCACCAGCTTGTCCAACGTTTTCAGTAAAAGCGTTGTTAACCTGATGGTGCTTTGGATTGAAGATGTCTTTCTTCCTTGCTTTGGGGATGAAGACCACCCTAGCTCTCCTCCATGAGCTCGGTTCCGCTATGTCCACGGGCTTAATAGTGTTTCCTGTGTCCTGACCATTTGTAGGAAAACTGGCGATATTCTTTCCATTCCGGGAGATTTATAGACCTGGAATATACCAATTGCTCAATTTAGCCTCTCCGCTGTGACTGCCGACTTGGCGCATGTTCAGTCGTCAGTCGACGGTCTATATTTACTCTCACTTCGATAGCGTCTTCCTACAGGGGTACACTACCTGGAACGTGCGTTTCGAAAAGGAGTTAAAATTTCTACTGCTCGTAAAGGACTTATCCTTACATTTCAGTACTAAGTTTGCAGCAGGCGTTCGCTTTATCAATGCTCCAAGGAGCCTGGCGCCTTCACTTGTGCTCACTATACTTTCGCAGAAATTTCTGTAATTTCTTCCGTTATATCTCCTTATCATAGGAGGTCAGACTTTCACGGTTCCCATATTTCGTCTGTCTTTGCTTGGCGACATAGACATAGATTCTTCTGGGGAAACATGCCAGTCTCGAAGGTGAGGCTTTAGCACCTCCTCCCTGATTCTAGTTACAAATTTCGGTGTTGAACCGACATTACCGAATGCTAGATTATATTTAAATATAAAATCTGTGAGGCACTCACTCAAATTGATGTCGCTGCTGCCCATATCGAGTGGTGCGCGTTGGCATCCGATGACCACCTTTCCTGCTTACAACTATAAAGACCGCGCGCCACTACGGGAACGCAGTGTCTAGTGAGGAATTCTGAAAGGATAGTAAAGTTAATACTTTTCCCCACCATAATGCATGCTGTGGGTACTGGATCTCCAAACCCAGATTACCTTTGAATCAGCCATATCCAGACCTTTGATGCCACTGTTTACACATGGGTACTGTACCAGGGCTAGCCCAAAAGTGTTGCTTGGTAAACATTCTTGCTAAGACCGCTGAGGCCACATTATCGCAGTGGATGTTTAGCTGAGCCAACCCTGTATCGATGACCTTAGTCACCTACTAAAGGAGGGGTTCCAGCTGACACGGTGAGTTGGAGTTGCCCCCGTCACCGCTGACGCCAGCTTCTTATGCCATCTCTTGCAGTTCCTCCTCCAGCTCCTTGGAGGACATAGGGATGCCCTCGTCTCCGTGAACGGGCGTCACCTCTGCCAACTCCTCGTCCTCTGCGAGGTCCTCCGACAAGTCGGCGGTCTGCGCTGGGTAACTGCTCTGGCCTTTGATGTGGTGGGAAAATCCATCACGAAGATCTCCTTGCCTGTAGGCTCTTTGGCCTTTTTCAGGAATTCGTTGGGAGTAAGCCCTTGCTGGAGTTACAGCAGCTACCACTTGACTCTGGAACCGCAGAGGTTCAGGTCGTCCAGCCCACCGGGTCAACCAGGTGCCTTTTTAAGGAGTTGTGCGTTTTGAGTTTTGTGTTTTTGAGCTTGCTATTTGTCCGCCCGGGCAGAGATCCGCGTTATCTGGGTAAGGCTAATTAGAAAAGGCAGTGATTTGCCTGAGCCCGCCGTTAGAGACTGAGCTAGTTTTTAATTCAAGTAACACCTTAGTCCGATAGGATAGGAGGGGGTAGGTAAGTAGTGCGGGGAGACAGGGGTTGTGTGAGGCTATGCTTTTAAAAGGCGACAATACAGGCGCCTTGTCAGACGATTAACGTTATCGGACCCGCTGCTTTTTATTCACTGCTAATTTTCCCGGGGGAGGACGTTCGCTATCCGTAACCCGCGACCCGCCTTTTGGCCTCAGCTCAGCCCCATCCAAACCATCCCACAAGTTCTTTAGACCAGGATTTTTTATTTTTAAAAAGACTTATCTATAATAAACTTTTAAAATTTATCCCCAATTGCAAAAAATATTGTTAATGATTAAAGCAGCGAATTAAGCTGGTTCACAACACTTTGTGTTAGGTTTTCATGTTCGGCACTAAAGCGCGATTTTCAAAAGCGACGAAATCCAACTGACACTAGTTTTAGAGTTGGTAGAATTGGTAAATTTAGATTTTTTAATTTAAAACATTCTTTAATGTCAATATCTAAAGTTTTGCTTAAAAAACTGCAATATTTGTGTTGATTGTCGAAATTACTAAGTCGATACAATAGCTTGAATAAATGTAAGAAATTATTTAACAACATAAGAGTCCTGCATATGTTGAGGCAGGTCAAGGCAATTCAAAGTCAATTGCTACCAATGCAATGAAACAAACATCTGTTCACACGTGTAAATATACAACTCTGCGAATATTTCGGAAATCGAAATTGTTTTCTTGATCACCACCATCAAAATGAGAAATACATACATACACACATACAATCACAGTAAATGTGAATGCGCGTAGACACAATAATATATACAAGCATAAGCATACTCGGCATTCATATGCTTATGGGCATAATGTAAATTGTACAAAACCAATATACTGTTATATGCTAATCACACAGAGCCACATCTTGCGGGACGAATGGGAGTTTTTCAAACATGTTAAACGCTGTTCACATAGGCAAAATAGAAATCAATATCAGTTTCAGCTGTTTTTTGATTAATAAATTGTTACGCAAAAAAAAACTAATTCAAAGCAGGAATTGAATATTTTATATATTTTAATGATCTACACTGTTTTATAGAAGGGATGGGTTCAACTGATATGTGTAGTAAATGTGCAGCAACATAATATATTTAGGAACATCCCCTACTGATGCAGAAGTGACGCTGAATTTTCGGAACAGAAAAACATTACGGAACATAATCAAAACTGATGAATTCAGAATTATATGTTTAAAGTATAAAAACACAAAAATATAACATTTTTCCATACGTCGATGAAGAATAATAAATAAGCCCTAACTGGAATTATCTCCTAATAGACTCAGCTCTTGATGCTAATAAAAAAAAATAACTACACTTTATGAGGGAAATCGATGTCTCCTTTAACATTACACGCATAAGGATAATATTATATGGAATATACATAGAATAATGCTTTTGGCATAGAGCAACATAAAGCATCTTTCTATAAGATGCTTCATTATACCCTAAACCCTTTCATTATATTTGTTATTTTGGTTTATATTATATTTATATTGGAGATGTGCAAAGGTATACCTACTCCACACGTTGAAGGAAGCACCTGGAAAGTATACGCTTAGCAAATTCCTTCGCGCCGTCCGTCCTGACCATCTGTGTAAGCCCGCGTATATTTCATTTGAAATATAATTTCGCGTATATATCGTATTTTCTCATATATCACTGAAAATCGCTCATTTCGCGAATATCGATACAAGTCGATTTTGGATAATGTTAACTAAGCCTTGGACTACTGCAGCAGGTATAATGGGATTTCTTGATTTGTCCACCAACAGAAGTTACATTCAATATATTATTATATATTAGGCTTGTGTTGGATGTAATTCTGTATCAATTAAAAAATTAAGTGTAGGGCTGTTCCCCGTTCTACAATTCGAATAGGGTAGTGGGGAATTGTTTAATCTAAAAAATGAAGCACCGAACATTGTCGAATCAAATTCGAAGCCTACTTCGCTAACAACTTGTTCAGGTAAAATGCTTACTATTAAGTATTAATGGTTGACATATTATTTAGTCTCCCAAAAGCTTTTTATTATTAGAGACTCTATAATATCTTTCAGACTCATGTAAGGGACATTATTTGATTGTGCACTTTTCGATGAGTTAGACTAGCGATTCGCAGTCTCATATTTGGTAAAAATTCAGAAAGACCTTCCTCTTGAATCTTCGGGTTTATTTATTTTTTTGTATACCCAGAGGAATAATCTAACAAAAATTGTTTTTGAAATCTGACTATTTTAGGCCAATTGGGTTAAGGGTTTCGCAATTGTTCAAAAATGAATTCACAATTTCAGTTAAAGTTCGAACTTAAGTAAAAATGATTCATTTGGAAAAAATGTTAAATTAAATTAAATTAAATTAAAATTTTGTATTTGCTTAAAATATTTTATTACTCTTATTTTCTTCCGTTTAAATTCAATACTTACAATATAATTAGGATTTCAGCGAATAAACCAAGAGGATTTATTCGGATTATTCCCGTTTGTCCCAACACGTCGACGTTGTGGTACGCTCCGGACACTACGCTCGTTGGGCATTATCGGTAACATCGATGTGGCTATTTTTGGTTATCGTGTTCGTTTTTGCGGCTGTATAGGCGCGATTAGTCGAACGTGCCTAATTTTAAAAAATGCTCGACTGTTGCTGCTGCTGGCGTCCTGGAGTTGTTGTTGTTGCCGTTACCCAATGAATGAAATTGTCGGTTGTCCCGTTTGAGTACCAGGGTGTAGGATCCCATGGTAGTCACCTTCATTGCATGATAATCGAATTGAGCGTGTCCATATTCTGCAGCGCCCCAATATCTCCGATTGCGTGTACATTCTTATGTATGTATATGTACGAGGTAGTCGCAAGCCAGTGATTTTAGTTCGGGCTTGTAAAAAAAATAGGGTGCTTTTTCAGTGTGCAAAATATAATAATATAATAATACATTTAATAGCTAGGCTTAATGTATCTCATAGTTGACTTTACTCGACTAGAGTTAAGTATTATTTATTTTAATTGAGAATGCCCCAATGACCCCATGCGCTTTCCAAAACTCGTCTGGCTGTGACAATTGTTCGTGGCTCCCTGCGCACAGTTGCCAACATATCCGTTCTATATTAATCGACAAACATATCTTGCAAAACAGTGCAGACCATTAAAAATAATACCTAAAACATCTAATTCCTTCTTTAACCTTTGTATTTAGTTACATTTTTTGCAATAAAAATTGATCAATTAACAGCTACAACTGATACTGATGATGTTAACCTATGTGAAAAGCGTTTCACATTTTTGAAAAATTCCATTCGTTCCGTAAGATGTTGCTCTGTGTGATTAGCCTATTAGCATTGCATGGAAAAGTAAAATCGACTCAGAATTGTATTTTCTCAGCTGTGTGCTGGAAAGGAATTAAATTTTTTTTTTAGTCCTTCTTATATTACTCTTGATGCCAGATAAGAAAGAATCTGGTTATGTTGTATATATACGGCTATTGCCAAACGTGTAAAATGCCTTACTGGGATTGCTCCTATATCGAAAAAAAAAAATCGTTTTTTCATATATATTTGGATAACTCAAAAAAACGACAGATCCGTCCGATAAAAGGCCAAAACTGCAGCACTACATTATGACCCGAATTAGTCATTTAGAAACTGCAGTAGCCACATCGATATTTTTTTGGGAATGACATCGATATTTTTTGGGAATCTGTAAGATCGATGCTTCGTGCAGCACTAACTTAAATGGAATGACGCTTATTAACAACAAAAATGAGATTTACAAATTGCTCGTGGAGAAAATATATAGCAGATGCCAGCAAATACAATCGGAAAATGAGCGCAGCGTTATGAGGTGAGTAATGAGCCCGCAATTTGCTTCATCGCTGAAAGGTTAGACCATTAATTGCAGAGTAAATTGCATAAAGAAGATACTAAGCCGACGCACATATGATGTAGAGCTGTTAAAAAAACGGCTTGACAAACATGGTGACAATTGGCGCTCAGTACCAATGGTGACGCCTCAGGCAAGGGGTAAGCCCGAGCAGAAACGTCGTGGACCGAAACCTAAGAGCATACCAAATGCAACAGACCTATCAGCTGAAATAGAACATAAGACATTCCGCAAGTCCAGGAAAGAGCGCGTGAAAAAACAACACCAGCAGCAAACAGAGCTCGGCCCAACTACATCCACACATCAATAATCATTTAACTTAGGCTGGATTGATAATCGATGCGAAAATTATGGCTCATTTGATTCCTGAAAATCAAAAAATTGACAAAATGGGTAGTTTTATACACATATTTTATTATTCTTATAGAAATATAAAACAGCAAGATTAAGAGAATTTTGTATGTTTATTCGGCCTGACGCAGACGGGCCAGGCGTTGTGTCAGCTCATCCTGCTCCTGCGACACTTGAGTGGAGGCACCAATGGTAGTTGATTGCACGCCGCTGGGCAGTTCCATATTCAGTTCGAGACCAGCCTCGTCAGCCACCTGCTGCAAGAGGTTATCCACATCTCCTTGTGGCACAGATGTGGTCACCGTGTCAGACATCGTGCCCTCCATCACTGAGCTTTGTACATCCAAGTCTTCGAACTGCGATTCGAATTTCTCCATCAACGATGAGATTTTTTCTAGATTCATACCTTTCATGGCAGCATCCATGGCCTTAACTACACCGGCCATTGAGCCAGTCACTTTACGTGTTGTTAATGCTGATTGTACCCGACTAGATACTGCATCCACGCGAGCACTCATACGCAGATAATTGACGGCCTGATTCTTTTGCCTAATGGCATTCTCAGCGTGTATGCGAGCAACATCCATGTTACCCTTTTGTATGGCCTTCTTGGCTTTGGCCTTTTCTTGTTTTTCCTCCTTTTCACATTTTTTGGAATTGCGCTCCAACTCTTTTACGGCAAACTTCAAATTAAAAAGGTGCCCTATGGGGAACGGTGGGTGTGTTATCGTAATTGAGTGCGACTGACAAATGGCGTCATAGTTTTTACTTACTTTCCATTGAAGACGTAGACATGTCGTTACCCAGTTTGAAGCTTGTATTTTTAATGTTAAATAATCTTTGGTAGTCCTTTCGGTAAATCTTGCTCGCTTTTTTATTTCAATAATTTTTTCGACCTTGTATGAATCACTTGTGTATTTTTTTCAAACAGCTGTGTTTAGTGAGAACATGTTAACATATCGACTCGATAATTATGGTACTTTTCGTTACAAGTCCCACAAACGTAATCGATATGCGAAAGTAAGCTATCGTATTAAAAATTTAATAAGAAGAAATACTAGTTGTGACAATAATGCCAAATAACTACAGATAGTGGCGAGAAGTGTAGCAATTAAAAATATGCGTCTAATAATTCTAGACTATCGATATCAATTTGTCCATAAAACAGTATTTTTGCCATACTTGTGCTTTTTGTTAATTAGTGAAATTTGTTTTCCAAGAATGATTTACAGCTAATAAGTTTCGACATAAGCCTCATAGTCAACTGAGGTAATTTTGAGGAATTTGATGATGTCGCTTCTCTGATCTGGTTGTCAATATGCACATGATATAAAGTCGGTTTTCCTAACAGATCCGGCCGTTTTAAAAATTGCTTAGCACAAAAACCCTATCTTTTCATATTATTCGTATGAAAATTCAAGATAAACGTTGAAATTATACAATATACACCAAACCCACTTTCATATTAAAAAAAAATGTTAGGAAATACCATTTCTCGGCATTGCAAAGGCCTAATTTTTCACATTTTGAATATATTGAAATTCAACGAAAGCTTATAAAAAATATAAGGGTGAACAGCTCTTTGCTACCAGAACTCAACAGGGAATAAACAATTTTTGGAGATTCCAATATTTCCCCTAAATTTGTGGTCGTTGCCCTGGTGGGTCAGGGAAGTTGTACGTCTTTTCAGCCAATTATCTTTGGTGCAAACATTCATTTTTGTACCAGTTAAAGTTTGCTTTGTGATATTTAAAAAATTGTGTAACTTTTCTGCCTTAGAAGAATTAAGTTTGTTGTCATTATTGCTGTTTTGTTTTAAGTTAATCTATCTTTTTCCGATTTTGTTGCTGAAATTACTTGAGAGTGCTGAGCAATGGACAAATAATTACAATCTGTCCAGACAATGCTTTCCGACTAGTTGGTTATTTTGTGATTCAAATAATGTATAGAGTTGCTCCCCTGCAACTGCAACGTTTCTGAAATTTCGGCATTCCAAAACCTTACAGACGCATACAAAAAATTTTGACGTAACTCAATGAATCTAGCATAAGACGTATCTCGGGTAAAAAACAGTGTTCGGGGTATCTCCTAGTCAAACGAGGGGATATATCCTATGGCGTTCTTATTTGTTTTCATGTCTAATGCTTGGGAGTAATTGAAGGTTATTTAGAGTATGGAATTTCCCACAAGTGACGAAAAATACTGGGATATTCAGGTAGAAATTTTACTATCATATGCATACAGTGTCTCACAGCTTATTTCGGCAGTGTCTAGCAAAAATTTTAAAGTGCTATAAAGTTTAAGCAAAGAAACAAACGCAAAATGTATAAATGTCAATTTGTTTTATGTTATATCACGTTTGAAAAGGAAACTTCAGTTTTCATTAAAATATTAATTAATTAACTAAAATTAGTCAAAAACTGAAATCTTATCCAAAATACAGGTCAAATCTTATTTCGGCAGTCTTAGAAAAGTAATATATTAGGCGTATAAAAACTTAAATAAGGATGTTAACACTTAGTATGATATCATTTAGCCTTAATAACTTCCCCTAACCTATTATTCATGGAAGATACCAGCTTCCGGGTCGTTTCTGGACTGATTTTGCTCCACTCATCCAGCAGAGCATTCTTGAGATCGGATCTGTGATTCCGGATGGTATTTTCCAGCAGAGCCCACAAATTTTAAATAACATTTAAGTCTGGAGACTGGGCCTGTGGAATTATCTTGTGGGGGCAGTTCCAGATATGCCAGGACTGCACTGATCCGGACTTATGCTTGGCTGTTGTCCTGGTCGTTGTCGTGGTAAAAAATCTTGTTTGGTGCATTTCTGCCCTTGTCCTCTATCCGATTTTCGTCGACGAAGCGCCGAATGATGTTGAATACAGTTGTGGTGCTTAGATTTACCATTTTAGCTATTTGGCGATGTGAATATCCAATCTTTAAGTGTTCCAGGATGAGATTCCGTTGCTCAATGGTAGTCCGTTTGTCCATAGTCCTTGGTGGCTGGTGGCACCCGAGATGCAGGATATAACTAAACTGACTACGAAGGATTGGTCTACTTATTCTGAAAATAATCAACCTTACGTAAAAAATCCGGGTTTTATGGCACCCAGGTGTCCATAATGCCACTATTGGAAATAAGCCGTGACCATAAATTAAGGTACTTTTTTACATAACCCGGCCCAGCCGGCGGGAAAACCCCAGTTTATGGGGGTCATATAGTCATTATGGTGGTTAATATATGTACCTGCAATAGGTCTTTGGAATTTTTGAAAAATATTGTATTATTAGTTTATGGCAGGCAATTAAAATTTTTGCTAAGACACTGCCGAAATAAGCTGTGAGACACTGTATATCCTAAAGGAAAGAATTTGCAAGGTCTGGCAGGTAAAGTGACAAATATGGTCCTGAGCAGGTACCTCTCATTATTTCATATCAGCTTTGTCGGCGTATGTAGTTTTGCGTGACATTTCTATACAATCTCAATATCACATCACATCCTCATGTCAGTCAATATTTAATTTTCAGAATGTCAAGTCGCAACCATTCGCGCTTCATATTTGAGATGATGGAAAATATGCGGATCTTTCGCCATCAGCGTTTCGGGGTAGAATGTCCGACCTGTCTCAGTCGCGTACGGGCAGACGAGCCCTATAGACATCATTGGCTGGATGACAAAGCTGATCAGCACATTAAATTAGGATTGACAGAAAAGCTCCTGCTCAAGCGCATCGAACGGGAGCACATTGAGACCTTTTTTCTGTGCGATGAGAGTGCAGTGGGACGCACTAATGAATTTTTGCTGGAAGCTGGTATGGAAGCCGTGCCACAGCTATTGCGCTTTCTTAGCTACGAGGCCACTCGGCTGGAGATAACCGTTGGGTTCTATGTAGAAGCGACCAAGCAGCTTATGTACTACGAGAGCATACCTGTTGTAATAAACCATTATTTGGATATAAAAGATACGGTGGACATGGTGTTTTCGGTATTACTTGAGAAAATAAGCAACTATGTGCTGATGAAGCAACGAGTTCCACTGGAGGCATGCACCATAAAGCGCATAAAACTTCTTGTAAAGCGGCAGTGGAACGAAAAACTCGAGCTGCCATTGCAATACCGTCTAAAAAACGACACAAAGTTTTTAAATGCCAACGACGCATCAGCTGTGGACCTTGCGTTGCTCACCGACAGCTACATGAGCAATGGACTCTTCACCGACTCATTAAAAGTGAATTTATACTGCTTGCGTGTGTGCGCAAGCACAAAGGAGCTCTATGCGGTTCCATATCTGCTCAGGAGCGAGGATGTGGCAAACACACCAACATTTCTTATTCTATCAGATGTAGAAGGTGAATTTCGCGGCATGCATGAAATTCGAAATTTGCGCCGATTTCTGAGAGCAGATTCACAGGACCATTCATTTGAGTGTCGAAAGTGCAAGATGCATTTTTCTGATCGCTTACAGTATACATTGCATAAGCAAATCAATTGTGGGAGTGGCTTTATGGTTTGGCACATTGACCGGGATTCAACGGAGTTTTATGAAAATTGTTTATTGCTGCCCAGACAGTTCTTCAAATTCGCATGGTTTGGTATTGGGAATGAATAACAGGAATTTATTATATTATTTTTAAATTTGAATTGTGTCAAATAAAATTTATATCAAATACATATTGAAACACTTAATTGCAATATTTAAACAAGTTACAAGCACGCCATCAATTCGATAATTTCGGTACATAAAAAAATTCAATTCGGCAGTCTTTTACGAAATTCGGACTCAACTTTACGAATACATTGTTAAGCAAAAAAAAAAAGAGAATTCAATTTTACCTTTGAGAAGGAATTGGATGTTGCTTATGTGTGCTTATGCTTATTACTGTTTTGCATGCTCTGATTGTCGATTTGGACAGGACGATAGAAATCGGAAGCAATAAAGACGAGGAAATTAAAGAAAAGAGGGTTGAGATGATTAATGTGTATACAGAGCAACGGAGAATAAATTATAATTAGCCAAAAGTCATGGTATACAAATTCGACCTTCTTAAATCAAATAAGTTATAATTATAAATTTTTTATTTTTCAATGAATGGTTTTCAATTTTGACATTTCTACCACCAGTACTCTTGGCATAATCTTTTTCACCAAATTCGGCAGACTTGCTCGAAAAACTTCTTGGCTAGACGAAATTGTCTCTTGTTGCATTCGACATCCATTTATTTATTTTTTTTTTTTGTGTCATTTAATGCAGTTTCTTGTTGCCTTCTTAAATACTGTTTATTTAAAATAAAATAAATAATAAAATTGAAAACAATATTTTCTAGTTACATTCGTGATTGTCCGCGATTTAAAATTTTGTAATTTGTATTCTCCGCCCTGAGATTGTTTACATTTTCGCAGTGAATGTCCAATATTATCTGTGGTGGTCAGAAAATATCGTTAAAACTGAGTGCATCCATATGAATTATTAACATCCCCTAGTGATGTGAAATGTTTGTGTAGCTTTTTGTGTGGTCTAAATTTACAGATCATTATTCATTATCGAAAATGATTAGCTTCGCTCTGTGTGAATCCAGAATTAAAGTGAATGACAGAGGTACATTCAAAGATGTCGGCGTAATGGGAGAATGGTCAAAACACAAATTATAAATCTGCAACACTTTACTCAAAAGTGATTAAAAAAAAGTAGAGTTGTCTTCATTTTAAAATGAATCCATTGGACAAAATACACGCATTAGATGAAATCGAGAAAGACATTATACTATGCATGCAGAGTGCAGGTAAGACAGTCAAATGTGTATTTATACGGAAATCTAATTTGGTTATCTCAAAAAGGGCAAGCGTTGCAAGAGCTCGGCAAGGAAAAGTCTTCACAAAAGAGTGCCGAAACGCAGTCACAACAATTTTTAAAAAGCCTATCTAGTGTTGAGTCCAAGCTCTCTGAACAAATCAACTACCTCACACAAGTATCCACCGGTCAGCCGCACGAGGGTTCCGGATACGCGTCCGCCAAAGTCTTACAAATGGCCTGGCATCGCATACAACACGCACGCTCCCGGGTACGAGAACTGGAAGAGACGAAGGCCAAACACTCGCATGCCGCCAGACAACAACAGAAGCGGCAGCAAGAACATGCAGCCGCACAGCAACAACAGCAGGCTGCCGCTGCAGCCGCGGCTCAGCAACATCAGCAACATGCTTCTGGTGGTGGCGTTGCCGGTGCAGGAGCTGCTGATGGCGGTACAGCGGGTATCAGTAATAGTGCTGGCGGTGCAGTTAGCGCAGATGCTGGTGGTGGCCTGCCAACAAATTAATTCAAAACGATTTCAATTAAATTTATATTTATTTTTTATACGCATTACACGTTTGCTTAAGCGTTCACATCTTTGCTAATATTAATGGTTTCAGTCGTGAGAGAAATTGCGCTACTGCCAATGTCAAAGAAGTTTTGTTCGCATACGTATCGCACACATTGCAAGAGGACATTCCGTTCGTGACGTATATCAGACGCCAGCAGCTTTGACAACATTGTATTTTGCTTGCTCGTCTCACGCGCTCGCTTGTAATTTAGGCCATAAATGGGTTTCTCGCGTCCAGAACTATGCCTAGTCGTTGGTCTTGAGCTCCGTTCAATTTTATCAGTTGATGATTTTAGTTTTTGCGGTGCACTGGGAGCTGAAAATGCTTCAACTTTTCTTTCAATGGGTAATTCTTCAGGTCCTTCATCTGATGAGCTGGAGACATTCATTGAGTCTGTATCTACTAATGTCTTGGCAGAACATTCTTGCGTAAGCTCCACCAACATTGTTTTGATTTGTCGTTGCTCTTTCGTTGTGTCTATACTAATAATTGAATTTACTACAGTTATAGGCGAATCAACTACTTCTACAGTATTCTCTGCGTCTATCGGTTCATCATCATCATCGCTGTCCGTTCCATACATGCCCAACATGTTACTCAATGCATTTTGCTTGGATTTGACTTTTGCCTCAATGTGCTCGTAGTCTGTCATTCGACTGGTGCCTGGGAAAATGGGCACTAAGGTTGGATTAAGATAGACGGCATCCTCGAGTAGCGAAGTATCTCTTTTTTCCTGTTCCATTCGTACCTTTTGCTGTTCAATTTGCCCAACTGCCATTTTTACAGTACGCCGTTGCCTTTTAGTTTGCGTTTTGCGATCATTCGTATTTGTTAGTGGACCGCTGCGTCGTCGGTCGCCCGATTTAGCAAAATGTGGTTTAGAAGATTCCAATCGTTCACCTCGTTTCACGCGCTGCTCCTTTGCGCGTTTGGCTTTTTCAACATTGGTCGCAGTGGGAAACCTGCAACGCCATAAATAGTATTTAATTGTGTATACACTTAATCTAAATCTTAATAATAACCGTTTGCATCGTTCTGCACGCCAAGCAGAAATGTCCTCAGGAGTCCACACTTTCCTTACGGTTTTGTATAAGCCTGTTATGTGATTTGCCTCAATATGTCGCTCCATGACACTGGCCAAGGCCACAAAACTACAATCCTCAGCGGGACAGAACTCATGCTGATCCAAATGTCGCCTCATGTCATGGTCTGTGGCCAACTCCATGCTACAGTTGGCACAATGTTCGGGTGTCGGCGATGGTGTATATAATGTTGTTGGAGCCTTGTTGGTATCCTGTGATCAAAGCTGAAGTAACGCATTTTTACTTAAATGTGAAATTTGTCTTACTTGTTGATCATGTTTAATATATTTTGCGGGCACAGTGCTGCCACGTGCTCCATACATGGGGGGTGGCTGTTTGGTGCGTGGAAGCAGTGTCATACCACATGGAGTTAAGTAATGCAGGTTAATCCTTTCGGGTTCTTTCTTGTTTCTATTGAAATTTGGCGAAGGCAGAAGAAATTTTGGACCCATTTTGTCTTTAATATTTATGGCATCTCGTAGATAGTGATGATTATAAAAATCAAAGTATCGATTTGTTCGATATTTGCAAATTCGTACTCGATGTTTTCTTTCTGTATGTATCACCACAATACAAGAGACGTAAAAACGACTATGAACTTTCAGGCACCAGCCTCAGGAATACACGAGTGCGATTGAAATAGAATGAAAAATAAATAGGGGTGGTTAAAGAGATTTGCTGAGTGTGAAAGGGATGGCAGACGCTTTGTTTTGTTTTGCCTGTCTGACAGCACTCGGCGGTAGTTCAAATCACTGAAGAATTTGTAAAATATATAATAATGAAATAGATTCTGCAATCTTTATTTGCAACTACGCATATAAAATATATTGATCGTATTGTCGTCCTATGCTCTCTCCTCTAGGTTGCCTGTGCTAAGAGTGATGACATGAACCCAACGCAAGGGCAAACGCAGGTCATATTTGCCTTGCTTTCACTGCGACAATTTTATCTAGTGAAGACCTGATCTCATCACGGGTGCCACCAGGTAGAGACTTTTTCTACTAGGTCCAAAAGATATCTTAATGTCTGCGATAATAACAACAACAATGTTAGTGGACCGTGCACAACCTTGGATGAGTGTGAAGGCAACATAAAACTGTTTTATTTTTGAAAATTCCATTATGAGTCTCCGTATGCGATAATGTGTGAGTGGCAAAATGTGCACTTGATTGAAATTACAAAGCGGATCGGGCTATTGCGCAGACCTAAGTGCACTCAATTTTCATTCGACTGCCTCGTGGTAGGACCTCCAACTTATTGGTAGGTTTCGTAATTCGCCCATCCCTGAATTATAAAATTATTGTTATTATTCAAATGTATTTTAAAACAGCCCTTAATTCCTTGAAATATCAACTGTTCGTGACATTGATGTTCCCATACTTTTTATAACATCAATAAGGAGTCCGATAAGTCATCGCAAACACACGATACAGAGCGAATTTCTAAAATTCACTACATACTCTGCGAATGTTGAAAGTTCAGAATGTGTAGATACAGAAACTTTACATTCTGTACACGTTCCAAAATGTAACAAATGTTGATAGTGGAATCGGGCTACAAGTGTGGACAATTTTTGCTTAGATCAACTGTACTATTGTGATTATCGCAATAATTGGCAATATTTTCTCAAATGTATTGAAGTAAATATAGAGAGTTATCTGTTCGACATTTGGAGCATTGCCAAGAGCGATTTTGCAATTTTCTTTTAATATTCCTAAGAGCAAGAAATGATACACAATTTTTGAGAAAATGGACTTTATTTTGTGTTTTATCTATTATCAAGTATTGAACGATGAGTTTAAGGAGTACATTAATAAATAATTATATGGCTTAAACAGTAAAACGCATGATACTCTTGCCATCACAAGTGCTAAAAGGTATCACTCCGTGTCCGTGTTGAGTTGCATTGCCCAAACATAATTACTTTTTCAAAAGCTCTGTATCCCTCATTTAAAAAAAAAAATACTAATGTTTTATTGGTAACTATAACATATATGTAGTATATAACATCACCTGCCTCATAAGGCTTAGAACAATATGCAGACTTTGATATTTGACTTAATATAAATATTTTTGATATTTAACAGCAGCAACTCTTTTTTTGGGAACATATAGCTATTTTCATTATTGAATCTCTGGTAACACTGGCACGACTGCACTGCAGTGTTACACAGTGAACACGCATAGCAAAATAGAGAAAAGAAGTGAAATTAATAATACATATTTGCTTAGCACGCATTAGGTCTTACCGTAGTAGAAAAACAAAGCAAATACTCATATTATCAGCAATGCAAAGCGTGCTAAATACAGTAAAAGGCAAAGCGCTTAATGTGGCAGAATATTTGACACCAATTCTAAAGGCAAGTATTAACTTATGTTTGATTAGTTGAGTCCCAGGATTTATGTAGCTTTAATAAATAATTTACTTTGTGCAAACTCACAATACAATAAATACACAAAATATTATTTTACTTAAGTGAATTTTTACTTATTAATACATTTAGTGAGGGGCGCTGACGCGTGCGCAGTGTTCAACTGTCCATTATTGAGAAATTAATCTTAAAATTATTATTAATTAGGAATCGAAATTTCGCGAAACTGGAGTCTTAACACCAGAGGACTTTGTGGCAGCCGGTGATCACTTGGTGCATCACTGTCCCACTTGGCAGTGGGCAGCGGGTGATGAAAATAAAACAAAGCCATACTTACCAAAAGGTAAATGCAAATTATATGTTCTACAACAAATTATTCAGACCTTATTAAAATGTAGATAAACAATTTCTGATAACACGCAATGTGCCATGCTATCGACGCTGCAAACAAATGGAGTATGTGGGGGAAGAGACTCTGGTAGAGGAGGAGTCCGGCGATGGTGGATGGGTGGAGACACATCAATTAAACGATGACGGCACCAATCAACTCGATGACAAAATATGCGAATTAACGCTAGACGAGAGCAAGGTATCAAATTAAATAGTACTTACTAACAAAAATTAGAAAACTTATGGTCTTTATTCAGGACGAAATGCACACTCCAAATTCCGACAAGATGTTGCCTACAGCGGCAGCAAATGACGAGAATGATGACGATGATGAGGCCATTGACATGGATGCATTTGAAGAAAGCGGCATGCTAGATCTTGTTGATCCCGCAGTCGCCACCACAACACGAAAGCAAGAGGCAGAAACACGTCCATGCAACACAACAGCATCAGTTGTTGCAAGCGAGACTGCTAGTAGCGGGGACTCCGTATTACGCACGCGCACCTACGATCTGCACATCACGTACGATAAGTACTACCAGACGCCTCGGCTATGGGTGTTCGGCTACGATGAGCAGCGGAAGCCACTTAATGTGGAGCAAATGTACGAGGATGTATCGCAGGATCATGCCAAAAAGACTGTTACCATGGAATCGCATCCCCATTTGCCAGGTCCCAATATGGCATCGGTGCACCCCTGTCGCCATGCTGATATTATGAAAAAGATCATCCAAACTGTTGAGGAGGGCGGCGGCCAACTCGGTGTACATTTATATTTGATCATATTTTTAAAATTTGTGCAAACAGTTATACCAACTATTGAATATGATTTTACGCAAAACTTCAACATGTCCTAGAAGCTTGGTTATAAGCTACCTTCACGCAATACAACAGCAATATAATAAAACAAATTACTCATTATAAAACCATAATCCACGGTGCAAGTTCCACACGAATATTCTAGGTAGTGGTTAGAATTAGAATCAGAAAAAGTAGTAGCATCCTATATCATTGACAATATCTACTGAGTATCTACTGTTGACCAAGATGAATCGATATAGTCATACCCGTTCATCTAAGCTATGACAGACGTACATATTTTTGAAGCAATTATTGCAAGAGATTTTTATACTGACAAGTATATACTAGCGATTTTTTGTCCAATATGAAATAATATAATATTCTGTGAAGATTCATTATACTATATATATATGTGTTATATGTAGCTTGTGAAATGTCTCTCTTGTAAGAACGTGGGCGGTGAGCCTATGCATATAGTGGCTTACGCGAATCTGAACTGGGAATCTGCTGTCATATAACCACATGAAAAGTCGAGTGAGCCGTTGGCGTATATTTCTCGGAGCAGGCAGGAAAACGGGACTGAAATGTGCACTTTTGTCTTTGGCTGTAATAGACACGAGATTTTTAAACTGTTGTGCGAAGTCATTTAGTGTGTGTGTGTGTGAGTTCGAATTGGCTAAATGGTAAAAGGATTTGTGCCCGTTGTTTTCTGTGTTACAACTTAGATCGCCCATTATATTTTTGGAAAGTCCTTGTGCAGTACTATCTAAAATTTCGTTGAAAATTAGCAAAATACGAGTCACAGGCACTGGAAAGAAACAGAACCCCTGAACCGCGGAATCAGAAATATTTGTGTTCCACAGTTATCGGCAGTCGTATGAATAACAAAACGAAATTGTAAGTATCAGCATCGTTTTGTTTGCGTCATATTGGCTTTATTTTCAGTGGTCCAGAAGCAGCTGCTTCAAATACACACGCAGAGGGAATTCTAATTTTCTCATTAAGTGTGTAAGGCATTGAGGAAACGTTCGCGACTCCATTCAGTATAAATATATTGTTGAGCAACATTACTAGTCCCACAGCTTTAAAGCTACCTTAATAAAACTATAAACATAGTTTTGCTACAATCGATAATGATTTGGGTCGGCCACATCGGATAATTATTTCATAAAATTAGCAAAAGCAGTATTGTTTGAAAAATAAGTTATTTTGTGAAAGAATTGTTTGTTACAAAGATATTCAAGGCACTCTCTAATTACTTTTAACCTGTATTTTTATTTTACTCCTAATATTTTGGCATAAAATGATCAACATCATAAAAATATTATATACATTTTTATTACAATTTCCAAATAAGTACCCCGGTAACAGGATTCATACGTGCTACGGACTTGGTTAATTCAACTCGACCGCATCTAGATAAACCACTAATATATATATATATTCATTAGCTAAATATGGTTGTAAGTAATTATAAGTATTTTTATATAAGTAAAATCATTGTAAATAAGTGTATGTACCAAGAATGTTAAGTCTCCACTGCATCTTCTTTTACCTTATTCAAAATCCAAAGAGCAAAATTGTTATTTTGCATTATTTAAACTTGACCTTATTATTCAAAAGCTGCAAAAAAAAATACACAATTTGAGACTAATATTACCTGCTAGTATGGTTATACGAGCTTCAGAATGTCAAAAACGTTGTTTCTACAGAACAGCCAGATTTTTTTTATATAATTACTTTTTATTATTTTTTTTTTTTGTTGGTTGGTTGGTTGCTCGTTTCGAAACATCTCTGAGATGCTATTAATGTGTTAATGTAATAATAATAAACATAACGATTATGCATGTAGTTTTGTGTAGCTAGTGGTGTTTTGTTTTTATTCCTCTGGTTGGTTGCTTCAACAATTTAAAAACTTAAAACGGCTGTGTGGGGGTATGTGGTGTGTACTTCAATATGCATAATAAGCTTTTATCCAAATATAACTTCCATTTATATTTGTTATACTTTGTTTTACATTTTTTATTTGTTTTATTTATATAGATATATATGTATTATATATATAAATAAAACAAATAATGTATATTATATATTTATTTTATTATATTTATTATATTATGTTTTCTTAATAATTAAAATCACTTTTCATTTGCAATAACAGGTTCACATCGTAATCAATTTTACAATAAACATACTTAACGTCATTGCCTATATAATAAGACCCATTACACATTTTTACTTCATGCAGAACCGCACAGTATGTCCCATATATATATATATATATATATATATCTTTCTTTAACTTGTTTTAAAAAACACGTTACCACTTACGTTAAACGTAGTACATATGTACATATACATAAATATGTATAACGCTCAAATCTTATCCTAACCCAAATTTTGCTCATTTAATTTCACTTAATGTTTCCTTTAGATATTATACATTTTACAATACATACAGAACTAACATATACATACATGAATACCTGGGGAGGAACCTACAAGGATTTTTATCTTTCGGTATTTGTATGACTCGCTTCTTATGCCCACGACTCTTGCGTCTAACAATAATATTCAAAACATGCATAAATTTAGCTTATTTATTATCTGTTAAAATTATTATTTAAACATTTTTTACATGCTGCCTTTAATTTTTTAATTTTACTGCACTTAATTTATGTATGTGGGTTTAATTTTATAAGGTACATTTAGTTTAAGCGCAATGCCAAGAAAACTGAGGCCTTCATAAAAAAATTAATTTTGCAAAAAAAAACAAGTTAAAATACATTTTTAAAAATTTTAGCTAACATATATAGAATAATATTCGATCCAAACAGTTTAACTTGATTTTTTCAAACTTGTTTGTTCTTTCAAGCTACTATCCCCCTTTTCTACTCATATTTCTGAACTGAACTGAACATCCAGTTGTTATTTCTACTGAAAAGAATTTCGATTTTTATTATTGCCCATTTATTGGTTTTAGATTTTCAATATTCTTTCAGAAAGAGCATCCATAATTTTGACATTAAATGTGTAATAAATCGAAGGAGATATACATGAACTTAAACGATTTCAAAAAATGTTGGTACTAAATTTGTTTTCCATGTAGTAAAAACAAAAACAAACAAGATTATGTTGGTTGGAAAAAATATTTTGTAAGCTACTTTGCATTTGGCATAAATTTTTAAACATGTAATTACTTTAGATTGGATAACGGTTTCATATATATGTTCAAGGATATTCAAGCGCTTGTACTCTTTTAACATGCATTTGCTTCTCAGAAATAAAATACAATATGTTATGGGTTTACGGTTAGTTTCTTCTTTTTTTTAGAAATAAGCAGCTTTATACGTTAAACATTAAAACAATAAAATTACAAACATTCAAACTTTGTAATATACCTATGCTATAATTATTTATAATATCTCATTGTTTTTTAAAGAGAGTTTCTTGCTCTGGTTTTCGATTTTGTTGTTGTTTTCCTTTGATGAAGGTAGTTGTTTGCATTGTTTTTTAAACATTAGACTTAAAGACAAAAAATGTACAATAATTCATTTAAATATAGGTATATGTGTATTTGTAGTTATACTTTAATGAACACCTAAAACGTTTTTTATTTATCATATTCTTTGCTTTAGTTTTTCTTTTTAGAGTAGACGCAAATACTATGTAAGACAATTGGCGCGAATAATAGCAGGTAAAACATATAACAAAAGTTTTATCTGTAAGAGATATTTTAACATATCTTACATGCATATAAAGAAAGAGGGAGGGTAGGGGACAATGTTAAAATTACTCAAATTTTCTTTACATATTATTTATATATACAAATATATATATCTTTAATTAATTCAATTTGTTATGATCTGTGTTATGTTCTAAAGAAAGGTAGTTTTGCGTAATTTACTTTAGTTTTGTTTTTGAACTGCTTTATCAGAGGACACGGCAAAGAATTAAAACAACTTAAATTAAGACAAATTAATTATTTAAACATACAAATAAAGCTAGTCATAAACATAATAATAATAATAAACATTGAATCAACAAATGTGTGTATGTGGTAGTTGGTTGTTGGTGGTAGTGATGATCTTTCTTCCTTATACATACAAATATTCATATTTCCATCATATATGTATAATTCATGTTCTTCGCATGGCAAACAAGACTTCATTCTTTTCTTTATATTTTTTGCGATTGTTTGCCGTTTTCTTTTCTTTTTTTCAAATTTTTTTTTTCCTGGAATTGATTAAGCTTGCTGCCTGCTTACACTTTCCGCTTTGCATGCAGCATCTCCATGAGCAGCGTCTGTGTGGGCGCACTGCCAGCACAATGCTTTGAGTAGAGATGTTCCTCTCCCCGTGCGGCCATTGCGTGAATTTCTGGAAGGATGTTCAGTAGCCTCCTGAATTTGTCCTGCAATAGAAATGTACATTTTTGTTTATATGACCATGGCAAAGGCAGTGAGAGTTAACTCAGACCAAACATTTGGGTACATGCACAATGTTTTGAAAAGAAAAACCTTGATAAATGTCCACTCTTCTTATTAAGTTGCGTAACATGTATGTAACAAAAAGTAATAGAATCTCCAATCTTATGGTATAAATCCATTTCAATATAATTATTATCGGACTATAAGCACAAAAACTGATCAACAATCAATAAATTTTGTCAGGTAAGAAGATGCACACCATTGACTAAAGCTCTCCGCTTGAGTATTTTTGAATGTATGTATTAATATAAAAATACTTATGTGCTATTATGAATGCTCTTTATGGCTGGGTACAAGTAAAGAGTGCGTGGCGTATGTTAAATGTTTGAAAAGTCATGAGTATATGAGACGGGAAAATAGAAGCTTTGGATTGTGCAGAGCATAATCAACAGAATCAACTCGATCTTGATAGTTATTATATTGAGGAAACCATAAATCAGGGCAGTATTCAAGAATAGAACTGAAGGAGAAAAAAATTGGAAAGGATATTTTTAATAATTTATTTGGTATCAAAAAGAACTCCAAGATACGCGTTCAAATTGATATTGTTAATTATATTGGGTGGTAAAAATAGACTGACAATAAACTTTAGAAAGAATCAAGATGCAACTGTTTGGCAAAGCAATAAAACTGCATATAATTGAAATCATCCGGTTGATGAGTATAATAACCAGGCGATCGGTGTCTGGCAATAATATACAATATATATAACAATATGAGAATGTGATAATATGACGGAAGGTCAATAGCTATCGAGAATCATTTTCGAGGTAGTTGACCAAATCAGCGCTTCTTGAGTCTGGCCTCTTAAATAGGAGGATCTGAACAAGGAAGGGAATCTTAACAATTAAAAGCTCATGGTTGACTGGGTTTAATACTGATATCAGTATATATACACATAATCTGTATGGGAAATGTAAAATTCACCAGCGAGATAAATTTCAGAAAATGTCTCAAGCTGGAACTATTCGTAATGGAGCCAAGTTCGAGAAGGATGCCAAGTAATTGAAAAAAGAGTTTGTATAAAAGGGAACAGCAGATAAATTTCCAATGTATCTGTAATTTGAAAGGTAAGACTTACAATATCCTACGCCCAAGATAAATTTAAAAGTATAAAGAAGATAGTTAGGGAAATATAAAGCGCTTCAAATTAACAAAATTATTATCTTCTTCGAGCTAAATTATTCTCGTAGCACATGGAGAGTTAGAACAGAAAGGATTAAATAGGCTACAGAACATTTAGTCTCAGAGATCGGCATATTCAAGCAAGTGGATAGACAGTCGGAAATGGCTTTAACGAATCAGCAGAGAATAATGGTATATTTATATGTGTTTCTTATGAATCTTATGATTCGTCCATCTACCTGTTACATAACTATAATTTCCATTTCAAATAAATTATATTTTATATAGTTTTTAATAGGTAATTAGGAAATAACAGAAAATAATTCCTGTGCGATGTCAGCAACAAAAATAATGGGATTTGACTTTTTTAAATATAAATGTTGGTCAGAAGACTCCAATCTGCAGGGTGCTTTCTTGATTAAACTTAAACTACATAATTGTTGAAATTTTCTGTTCATAATACACGAATACACTCACATTAACTGAGGGATAACACGTCAGTGTATAATCCAGCAGCGCGGCCTGAACATTCTCATGACCCTCCAAGACGGTCTTCTTGTTCACAATGCCTCGCACATCTGGAATAAGAAGCAATTTATGACAACCCGTGAGCGGCAATCTGTCGTACAAAATACTCACCTGGATTTAGCAGTATTAGGAATTTCATGCAAACATAGTCGCCCATATCAAACTTCAGTTCCTGCAGCTTATTCTGCAGTTCGTTGAAATAGTCACCAAGCTGTGGCACACCCAGTAGACCAAGACTCATCAAATTGAAGACCTGACCGTTATTCAGCTGAGTCTCATCGGGCAGACCGTTATGAATGCGATGATGCAAATGATCCAGCACGAGCATATCGGACCAAGAATGCTGAAGCAGCTTCATCTGATCGTCAACCTGCAAATAGTGGATCCAAGTGAGATTGAAATATTAAATAAATGTACTTGATTCTTTAATTAATGTAGGCTACTTATAATATATATATCACCCTGAAATTGTGATTCATACACTTGAATGTCATGGAGCAAACAGAATGATAGTTTTGAGCGTATGTGCAATCGATCAATCCGTGCTTATGCACATAATTATTGGGTCACATACAAACACAATATACATTCGGGTTTGAGTGAAAATTGTGTGATCATTGCAAACAGCTCTGTGATTCGGATTCTCAGACGGACAGAGAGCATGGCAGACATTGCACAAAAGTAGAGTATATAAACATATTCTCTCTATCGAAAGTTAGTTAATTAATTAATACGTGTTAATTAATTAATAAGTTAATTAATTATATGTGGGCACAAGGGGCGTGGTCGTCTTACTATTATACATTTGATGCCTCTCAAATGTGTTAAATAATGATCTGGCCATCTCGATTCTTTCTAATGGATTTATATATTGTACACACTTACCTACTAAGTAAGTAAGCGCTATTATAAACAAAAACAATTTGTGATCGAATCACAATAAAATTTACTTATCATAAGGATGGAAATTCATTAAATCAATTTCCTATACACATTTTACAGAAACCCGCTTTGCTTGATGGGGCTGGCTTTTGATTTCAGCACGCGTTGCGTTTTTCTCTGTCTTGGCTGTGTTTCAAGTCGTTCTTTCTCTTTACTTTTGTGTGAGAGCGGCATCGCTCAGTTGCGTCACTGACGAGCAACATCGACGCCGACGTCGCGTCGCAGCCGCTGTCATCGCTGCTAGGTCTGACTGGTTCAGCTTTGGTTGCTAAGTAGGTCAGACGCCAAATGAAATCGAAATTCAATGCAGATTTAAGTACCCGTCATCGCAGTCACAGTCGCGGCCGCAGCGCTGCTGCTCCGTAGCCGTGTGCGTTGTTGGTTTACGTTTTACATAACTTGCTGCAGACTTGGCCCCTAGCTTAAAAACTGGTTGTGGTCGCTTGTGACTGGCGATTGCCCGGTTTGTGGTTGTGTGGTTGTGGTTGTAAGTAGATATATATGTATGTATGTACACGTGTCCATGTATTTATGTGTCTGCATGTATGTTGAATCGCATGTGTATGATTTATGTTTGGCATACCTTTAAATCCTTAAAGAAGACGGTGTTTCTTGCCCAATCCACTTGTGAGAATAGATTCTGATCAAGCACTTTGCACATTAACTCAAAGAGATCCACTTCAACTTGATTGTACGTCTGCTTCTGCAGTAGCGCAAAAAGTTGCGTTTGCCATTCCCGATCATCGATCGATTGCACAAACTCGCGTATCATTGGTGAGACCCTAATAATAATAAAAACAAAGCACTCTTTTAATAAGAAAAAATCCATCAGGAGCTTTCGTAACTTGCAACTGCTCACCTCAGTGGCTCAATAAGCGCGTCTGCAGTGCTCGATGGATGTGTGCCAGAATCGAAGCTTTAGTGTGAGGTAAAAATACAAATATTATAATAAATAGATGAGTCTAAATTTGCGTTAAGAGAGTTTACTGTGTCAATAATGACGATTCTCAAATAACTAACAGTAAATATCACTCTAATTTGAGACAATTAGGCAATAAATAATATTAAGTACTAAACAGTTTTAAGATTACTTTTGGAGAATAAATGGCTAATAATCATGAATTCATTTTAGAGCCATTCCCGAAATTTTGATCTTTAGTCTGTTCTCAAATCAAAGATGTTGTTGCACTTACAAAAAAATAAAAATAAAACTGGACTTTTTCGGTTGCTATATATGTAGACGTGATATATACATATATACTAATTATTTGCGTGGATTCGGTTATTCTGAATAATAGTTAGATGTAAATACCACAATTTCGCTTCGGCTGAGTTCTGTAGAGATCCAGTGCCGATTTCGTGGCAGCTGCTGTTGCTGTTGCTATTGCTGCTGTTTCCATTGCGTTGCAGGCCATCGGTGACGTTGTTGTTGCCACCAGTATTGGTGCCTCCTCCACCACCACCCCCTCCTCCACCGCTTCCGCTGCCTGTGCCGTTGTTGTTGTTGTTGGTGTTGCTGTTGCCATTGCCAAGTGAGGAGCCACCATTGCCGTTGCCGGCATTGATCGGCGTGGCTATCACACCGCCCCCGCTCGCATTCACCTGACCCAAGGCAATTGCAATGGGGCTGGGTGATGAATCTGGCGATTGTGTGAGTGAGGATACCTATATAAAAAGAAAAAAGCATATCAGTGAGTCTGTTTCAGTTGCTTGTTCGATCCCACACTTACCTGAGGTATTTGAATTTCTTGCTTAATATTCATATTTGGATATGCTTGCTGATAGCCCGGCGAGAGAGGCGTCGGCTTTATGTCCGTGCCCATCGAACTGCGCAACGCCTGCAACGCCAATTGCCGCTGACGCATCACTTGCAGTTTTCGCGCCCGATCCCGTTTGTACATGGGTCCAAATTTATTGCGACCGCCACGCATCCGGTCCGCTCGAACCGCTTTAAGAATACAGCATATCAATAGATTTATTAAATAGTCACACATTAAATATATTAAAGTATTTAAGATTAAAAGTTAATAATAAGTAAAATGACTTGCACAATAATTTTGAATGTACCCACAGTTTCCATTTGTGTTTTGGAAAAGACTCTCGAGCTCATGGAAGGCAATCAGAGAATACCGAGCAATTTTGAGTTGTAGCTTTAGGAGTCATGGATCTGAATTTTCAAAAAAAATATTCAACGATATAGTCTACTACTACCGAAAGGATGTTCTGCTGTTATTGTTGTACCCATCTAGGACTTATAATTTTTTCATTTATTTCTACCGCAAACTAATTAAAAATGGGTAGAAAAAAATTAAGTTGTGCAAAAGTATGTAGCAGGTCGAAGAAGCATCCGATTATATAAGATAATAATAATAATAATTAATATTGTTTATGACGTTCAAAAGCAGAGTCGATATTTATATGAGCCCGCCGATCTTAAAGATTATATGAGCCAGAGTATTCAACTTTTTTTGTATAAGACGCGCATATTAAGTTTATTTCGTTTTTGGATCAGTTTCCCCGTTTGGAGAATATCGGTACAAACCGATAACAATTCGTAAACATATATTCGGGTGTACATAACAATATCCATCTGTAAAAATTTAATCAAAACAGTTGAGAAACACGGGTGGAATATTCATATCACATTTACATATATACATATAATGCATGCAAGCATAAGTTCATTCATACTTGCCTACATCATTATTTCTAATAACTAAATAAAATAATAAGTAAGAGCTTCGGTTTCGAGATATCGTAGACAAGCTCTCCCGACTAGCGCATTCTAATATTAGGCATACCCCTAGGTCTTTAAAGAAATCCTTTAATTTAAAGTGAAGGAAAGTTATTAGTAGGTCGAGGAACACTTGGCGAGATTTGTTTTAAAATTTCGAAAGAAATATAGCTTTTTATCCATTTGCCTGACATCCAGTAAGCTTGGCATAAAAATCGAACACTTTTGCCAGCACGGACTTATGCATATATATCAACTTTCAAAACTCATTGGAAATATGTTACCCTTTTTTAACAAGGACAAGCTAAGAACGAAATGCAGATACGTGTTAGTAAAAAAAACTACAACAAAAGTGAGAGTTCGCGTACTTATACAGATATCTTATACAAAACCCTATCTTGTACAAAGGTCTAAACGCAACAGCATAAGCCACATTTTCCGGAAAATCAAATATGTAAAAAATGGAAATGCATCTATAATTTGAATATCTAAAATAAATGATATGTATATAACTATAATTTATACATATTCACGTTTAACATCGAACAAATTAACTTCAAAAGACATACAAATAAAGAAATAAATAAATATAAAATTCATTTTCTATTTGTGGCGCCATTTCTGCTAGTTTCTTTCGAATCCCGTCTAAGATTTAAAGAAGGAATTCTAAATCTAATCTAATCATTTCTCATTTGTTGTTGCTAATGCTCTTAAGCATGGACTAAGTAATCTAGCACACTGCTCTTGCCCACGTGTAAAAAATGTTGGTATTATCATTTCTTTTTTGTATTTTGAGAAGCACTTGCAAAAATTATTGGTTGAAGTTTCAGATTTACACGATTCTAAATTTAACAGTACATATCAAGTCTTCAGAATAGAAGTGGAAATGTAATTTTTGTTTATCTCCACCTTTTAATACCTTGAAGCACAAAGTGTTATATAAACTTCTGCATTATTTGAAAGTTTATATAACACTACGAATACAATTTTGAAAGGCAGCTTAAGACAGAAAATAAATTGCAATTTTTTTCCAGTACATAATGAAATACTTTTTTCTTTTTACAATAACAAACTTTATGTTTTGCTTTATAATGTTTGCTAAAGCAGAAAAACATTTTGAGAGCCCTGATCATTTAAAAAAAAAAACAATATTTTTTACATTGATCACCTTATAGAAAAAGCCCCAGAAATTAGTTGTGTCATGCATATGGAGAGATTGGCTAGCTCTTTGGTTAGTAGATTTCCTTCTCATTTTTCGACTACACTATACTAAGGTAGATCGGATAGGGGGCTATCGGCAACAATCTGATACAAATTTAGAACCATAGAGAATTTGTAAAAAAAAATAGGCGAATAATTCAATGAGATTAAACTCAAATTAAAAAACACGGTGATCAACGTAGAAACCATGTGATAAGTTTTTTACTTCATCTGTAAGACAATGCTGGTGTGTGATCACAACAAGGGTTGTCATTATTGCTCTGTTCCTAAAATTTTGTTGTAGTGGGAGTTCCATATATATTGTCATAGAATGAACATCTTGTAATATTTCATTTTTGGATATGGATCACCGATATCACCATATATGTAAGAAGGTAATTCCTGACTTTGAGCACGCCCAGTACTTTTCCGTTTTTACATTTTCTATATTCAGTTAAAAAAAATTGGGAATTGGAAGCAACGTACCCAAAATCCTTAAACTGAATGAAAAACTAAAAGGTCAACAATTCCAGCGCTGTTTTCAATCTTAGAGATGATTTCAAAAATTTAAAAATCATGTCTTTGTACATCTTTCGAACACCATTACGGGTGTTAGGTTAATAGGTTAGGTAATATTTTCTCCAGGAGGTCGAATTTATACAGATGTCTGTTGGCCCTTTATGGTGCCTGGTGTCCGGCTGAGCAAGACATATTTAAAACAAATATTTCTCAAGCATTACGTGTCGCTTATTCAGGAAATGTTGGATGCTTTTAGTCTTCTCTTCATTTGCTTTTACAGAAGTCATGGTAGACAATCTGCACCCCCTTCGCCAAGTGGCCAATGACGCTTTTCTCAGAGACGATCCTTTTCTTTGTTAGTGGTTGTATCTTTGCCGATGAACCTTTCTGCTAATGCGATTTTTGTGTATTGCTTTTGGAGATACACGACGACAGAGCCATAACAATTGTCAGGCAATCGATTTATCAATTATTATGATCCGCATCGATTTCCACCTGAATAACGCTCTAATATGTCAAGAAAGAAACATACTTATATGTGGTGATAAAGATAAAAAGCTTGTTCATTCTTTAAGGAGAAACAATGGTCCCTCTCCAGTAAATAATAACTCGAATCGGCCGTACAGGATCAATAAATACACTTTATGTGATTCTTATTTCCTGACAACATTATGTTATCCTTTGCAAAGCTATCAAATTTGCTGAAGATACATTTTCGCTCGATTGTTTTTTATGTTTTATCCTCGAAATACATATTAAAAAATTATAGAAATATAGTACAACGTTCACAATAGCTCATCTAGTTCTAGAAAGCCACATTATGGTTACCCATTTTAAGACAAAAAATATTGTACCCTGTATGGATTTAAATAAAAAGCAGATATAAAAAGGAAATTAATGAAAGACGTTGAAAGACATTGTGGGGTGGGTTTGACGGCAGGTGGTGTAGTTTCTAACATACTAACGCTGTCTCACTCACACAACAGACAAATGCATATGTATGTACGAACGAGACCATTAAATATGCATTTCATATGCAGCAGTGCAGCAAAACAAAATTGCAGTCGTTTTTGTTTCTCCTAGAAACAAGTAACTGTAATTTAGGTCAAGCGTATTGTTTACAAATAATCACGCGCGTGTGTGAGTTTGTGAAACAAATACATATAAACACACACACACACACATCAAACAAATGCATAGAAAATTGGCGCTTGCTGCTCGTAAGCGTCAGCGTCAACGTCGCTGCCATCATCAGCGTCTGCGTCAGCGTTACAGCGCACAGCGTCACATGTCCAAACGCACGAGAGCGCAAGAGGGCTCTCTCTTGTGTTGTGTTCGCGCGCTCATTATGCGGCTTGCGTGTTGCGGCTGGCATGGCATGGTATGGTATGCCATGGCATAGCAACTCAAAAAGCTTTCTATTACGACATTTGCTCGCCAACTCTTTTACACGCATACAAGCACACACATAAACACACTCTGCCGCATTAGACAATTTTGTTGAATGGAGTAGGTCAAGGACAGTTTTGTGAAAACTGGGACAACATGCGCATTGTTGTTGCCGTCGTCGATTGAAACTCTTGCTCTCTCTTTCTCTCTCTTTCTCTTTTTCGTTGTAAAACTCTCACTCTCTTCTTGTTGCTTGTTGGACGAAAGTGAGCTTGTGTTTATTTTGTTTGTGGGCGCGCTTGCAAAGCAAAGCAAAGCTAGGCATCTTGGGGCAAGCCAATTTATATTGAGTCTATGCGGTTCGTTACGGATTTCTTCTCTCAACGTATTCGTTTAGTGGGCTGCGTTTACTTTTATGCAACGCTAGCTAATACACAATCATTTTACTATTGGTGTAGGCGGCAGGCAGAGCTATTCTTCTGAGCTTTGATAAATTTAAATATGTTTCACATAAATATATGCAGCAGTTGTAAATGTGTTAACAGCACTCTGGCTAAGCTCCTGATAAAGGGCATCTCCTATCACCTATTATCATATCATAAGCAGTGACTTCATCTCCTGAGCGATTCACGAGTCCAGCGATTGACCAGCTCATTTCCGCAGATATCTTTTTCTTTTCAATCGAATTTATTGCCATATTATATACGAAAATTGTTAAACTATCGGTGGTCTTAGTAGCAGTTTTGCTTGTTTATTTCTTTTCCTTCTATATCCTGACCAGGAAAAAATCAATAAATGAATGGCCTGATAGTTCTTATTCGTTTAGTGCTTGTGCACCCACACTCCGGCAAAGCCAAAAGTATACATTAATGTAGGTCAATGGTGCGTATGAGTAACAATTGTTGTACTTCTTATGCTTATGTTTGCACATATGTAAATTAAAGAGGACAGCAAAGAAAATAGGATTTTAGGTCTTTAAGTGATTGGAGAATGAAAACCGTTTAAAACACACTACTATGGAAGTAATTTGACATTTGTTCAAATCGTAACTGGTTGAAAATCGAATTGCCAATGGCTAAGTAGCGTACAGTTCAAGTGGCAAATGCAGACAGACAGAAAAATATGCAATAATAACAATAACAACCAGAGCAGCGCACAGTAACAACATGTGGCCAGCTAGGCCATGTGAGTCATTCGTCGTCGATTTCAGTACCGAATTTCCATCGCTTGAGGTTGACAAAAGGCAGAGGGGCACAGACACTAAACCAATTCCGTGCCGTCGTCTAAGTTTAAATCAAAGCTGCCACAACACAACACCAAAAAGTGCCGTAAATATAAAAGCGTTGCGCTTGGCAAAGAGCGAAATGACTACGCTCAATGCTCAATGCTACTGCTATTGCTGCTACTGCCGCTGCTGCTGCTGCCGCTGACGAAAGCGTCAAGAGATTACGACAGAGCGTCAGCTTCAGCAGCAACTACAACTAAAACGGAAGGACGGAACGAACGAACAACGACCACTATGGCAAATCGCTTGAAATAATTCACTGAGTATTAAAAATAAAAAATATAAAAAAAAAAACGTGTACAGCGACAACACCAAGTACAAAGCAAAGCGCAAAGCAAAGCAACACAGCGCTCTCTACATGTTGCATTGATTGCACTTATACAGTCACAAGTTTATATTTATATATCACGTGCACGCACACACACAGACGCTGCGGAATCTAGGTCATGAGCGCAAGAGATGGCACTATGGTCCAAGTGCGCCAAAGTGCAAAGGAGATGGCAATACGACTAAATACATACATATGCATGTTACAAATAAACTTATGTGAAGCTTTTATTCATGTCTGTATGTGTGAGAATAAATGCGAGAGCGAACGCGCTTCTCATTGCATGTGTGTGTGTGTGTGTGTTTGTGCGTGTTTGTTTATTTGTTTGTGTGTGTGTTTTTTTGTTTGTGTGTGTGTTTTTTTGTTTGTGAGTGTGTTTGTGGGTTGTGTGGTTTTCAGTTGAGGCAGAATGGGCAGCGGCAAAGGCTAAGTCAAACTAAAAACAAAACTAATTTTTGTTTTTCATTTTAGAGGAGACGGAGGACGGGAATGGTTGGTATACAACCGTTACAAAATAAACGAGAGGGAAAAGTTATTTTCAATGTGCTGAAATTTATATTCCAATCCATTCAAAGCATTTGATCTAAAAAAAAAACAACAGAAAGAAAAAAATCTAAGCAAGACTTTGTGAGAAGAGCACGTTGCGAGTACCTCGCAATATTGAGTCAAATATTAGATATTTTTTAAATTATGTGGAATACAAGGACTGAAAGTATTGATTATGGAATGCACTTTCAATTCAGAAAAATCGTCAAAACAATTTTCGTTAGGAATACGGGATAATTAAACATTCTTATTTTTGTCGCCTATGATCATGTCTACTCTTGTTTACTTTGGGAATAGGTAGAATAACATAAACCATAAAATCTAATAGAGATCATGCAATTGAAAGAAGCAACGCATATTATTACACATGCGATTGTTATCTATAATGACTCAGATATCTCCACTCTATTTAGTATAGATATATATTGTGTACATATATTTATTTATATAAACACTTTTCACACTTTTCCACACTCGATATTAAGAGCACTTTGCATAATAATTAACGGCAGTTGGTTGTCAATTTTTAGCCCCCCCTTCCACTCTCCTCATCCTCTCTTGGCTCACTCTATGGCCTATTTGCATAGGCCTCACACTTTGAGCAAATGATCGTACAAATGATAAAGTACAAAAAATTGCGCAAAGCATATGAACAAAACTCAACAAAAAAATATTACAAAATTCAAACAATGTTAAAAGAGCACGTACACAGACACAAACACACACACACGCACATCGAACAAGAGAGAGACAGAGAGAGAGAGAGAGAGAGAGAGAACGCTCACTCACTCACACTCACTCTTACACTCTCGCAAACGATTTTAAAAGCTTGAGCAAAGTGAACACACTCAAAGCGAGACGGAGCGAAGCTTACAACAGCAGCTCAGCTCAGCTCGCATGACTCAACTCAACAAGCAAGCGGCCCTTTTGTATATTCTTTTACACTACAAAATTTTTATTTCAATGGAAATCCTTGTGATATTTATATATCAGTCATTAAATAAAAATACTTTTAAAATAAGAATAGATTTTTTACTAAAGCGCTTTAAAGTTTTCATAAATATCTTTTATTTAAAAAACTTATTGACAATCGTAACAATGTTGAAAAATTATTTCTTTTGAGGCCTATGCGAAGTCGAAAATGCTTTCCACACCATACCATAAATTTCAGCGTCCGACACTCCAACTCATTCCACTCAGGGTAGGGCTTGTCAATAGTCACGAAGACGTTATCGATAAAATGGAAATAAACTCGATATGCGTATAGTATAGGAGAACATTAGTTCAAAATTTTGAGTCTCTAGCTATTATATTCACGGAGGTCGGTGTGTGCACACAGCCGGATAAGCGGACGCACACACAGAGGACATCTAGAACTACTCGGCTTTTGATGATGATCAAAAATATTTATGTACTTGTGGAGTCGGATATGCTTCCTTCTGCCTGTTAACTACATTTGAACAACTTCATAATCCACTTTTTAAATACTTGCAATGGGTTCAGAGCATAAAAAAAATAAAATGAACTTTTATCTCTGCTTAAAATGTATTATATACAAAACATCAGAGCTGAGTACTGGGTATACCGGGCGCACTCGCTAATGATTTCAGACTTTATCTATATATGTTTAAAAGATACTTTATATTCATACTGCTTTATTTTGAAATGAAAATAGAAATTATATATTTTAAAAAAAGTATTACATTAAAAAAGACTAACAATTTCACTTAAGCATTTGAGGATTTTTCTTGATTTTCTATTTTTTGTTTCGTAAATTTATAAATAATAAGGAATATCGATTTAATTTCATTGGTCGCGTTTTGTTCGGCGCTGCCTATATTGCCTATATGTATACATATAAATATATATAAATATATATATACATGTACATGTATAGATATACAAATACAAACACATATACATATACATATACATATACATATACATATACATATACATATACATATACATATACATATACATATACATATACATATACATATACATATACATATACATATACATATACATATACATATACATATACATATACATATACATATACATATACATATACATATACATATACATATACATATACATATACATATACATATACATATACATATACATATACATATACATATACATATACATATACATATACATATACATATACATATACATATACATATACATATACATATACATATACATATACATATACATATACATATACATATACATATACATATACATATACATATACATATACATATACATATACATATACATATACATTAAGCCAATGCTGATATCAGTTGAGAATTATAAGCTTGAAGTAATTGTTACAATATCCTTGCGCACTTATCATGTAAATATTTGTAGCTGGAAAAATTGTTGGCAACTTACCCTCTAGTTTCATGCCCACCTCCAGGCACTTTTGGAATCGACAATATGGACAACGTTTGCGCTGCGTCTTGTCGATGTGACAGGAGCGCTCCGCTACGCAAGTGTAGACCTTTTTGTTTTGAACGGTGCGCTTGAAGAAGCCCTTGCAGGACTCGCAAGTGAGCAGGCCGTAGTGATAGCCGCTCACCTTGTCCCCGCAAACGGGGCACAGCTCCTCGAACAGATGCTTAAAATCGATCGCTTCACCACTGCCAGAGGTGGCGCTGGTGCCGCCATGATGACCACCGCCGGCAGCAGTTCCACTTACGCCCGCGGCTGGATTGCCGCCCACATTGCCGGACATATGGGCAGCGGCAGCAGCTGAGGTTCCACTAGCGCCTGGTGGCAACAGCATGTAACCATTACCTGTCGAGCTGCTGCTGCCACCGTTTAAGAGCTGGCCAGAGTTGCCAGCTGCTGCGGCATTGCCAGCTCCATTTGCACTTTGCTGCGAATGGGATGAGTTCGTTTCCTGATAGCCTGTCGGGAATATGTACTGTGAATCGAAATTGTATATATACGAATAGGAGGAAGCATTGAATTGGTTCGCCGCTGCATTCGCATTGTTGGCAATATTTTGTTGTTGTTGCTGTTGGTAATGCTGCTGCTGTTGTTGCTGCTGCTGCTGCTGGTGATGTGTGTGATGTGAGTGTTGCTGCTGCTGCTGATGACTGCCCAGTTGCAGCGTGTATGCACTGTAATCGTTATCGGAATTGCTCAATGCATTTGTATCGTTATCGTTGTTATTGTTGTTGTTGTTGTTGTTACTGCTGCTGTTGTTGTTGTTGCTGCTGCTGTTGTTGTTGCTGTTAGCGTTGTTAGTGTTGCTGTGCGCCGGACTCGCGGGCTGCTGTTGTTCGAGTTGCATGCTAAATGGCGACAGATTCAGCGACGATATAAACTGTACAGTCGCCTGTTGTTGATCCATTTCTAATAACATTTCATGAATTTTTATTTTTGTTTTTAATTTTTATTGTTAATTGGTGTTGTAATTGTTGTTTACGATTTGGACGGTTTTAGCAAAGTTGATTGCCTTTTACTTTTATTTGAATTTTTTTATTTTATTTTATTTAATTTTTTGTATGATGCGATATTTAGAATTTTCTTCACTTAACTTTATTTACAATATTATTCTTAATATTTGTATTTATTTATATCTTTGCACGTTGTTGTTGTGGTTGCTGTTAAAATACGGTGGTCTACCCCTTGCACTCAACTGTCGAATTATTTTTATAAACAACATTATAGTTGCAACAATCGAACATTTAACAAATTGAATATATGTAACACTTTTACAACATACAACATTCGGTTTTACCGATATTTTAATTATTAGCTATTTACTCAACAATTTTATGTATTTATAAGCAACTGTTTGTGATCTTTTAAAATATTTTCTTGTCCTTTTTTATTTTTAATACTTCGTCCATTTTTGTTTTAAGATATTTATCGTGATTCTGTAACGTTCAATAGTTGTGCAACTTTCGAATACGGTCAAAACTGTTTTTGAATTCGTCTGTAATGTTTGAAAATTAATACGTTTTTTTTTAATATAATTTTTTAAGCTGTATTTTATTTTTATATTTATTATTATTGAAAAATCCAAGTTGAAATGTGTTTAAATTCTATTTCGTTTTTTGCAGGTACTTTGTCGAGGTGAGTGAGAAGTATTTGCTTGCATACATAGGGAGATTTGAATAGATGGGTTTTTAAGCTTATTTTTACACTTTGTAAAACTTTATACTTGTTGTTTGAGTGCAGGCATTTGAACACCAACACCCTTGAGTTGTCACTTTTTTTGTAGTATTGTAGTATAGTCACTTATTGGTCACTTCTTATTTACATTTATTTCTCAATATTATTGCACCTTTAGGCAGGCAACAAAAATGTTGCATTGCTCTTTTACTCTCTTAGCAAGTAGACAAAACACACCAGAGCAGAGAGAACATAATCCTTGGGCTGTTCCTGCTGTGGGTGCAAATTGCCATTGAGAGAAGTAAAAGAAGCAAATGCAATTTTTTGTTTATTTGTTATTGTTTTGCTGTTAAGTTATATTGATGAATTGAGGCATTCCAAGTTTATTTTTCTGTTGTCATTTGGCTAAGACAAAAGCGTACGCAATATTTTTTTTCTGATTTCTACACACAAACAGACGCGCACACACACACATTTGTTGTTGGTAAGCACATTTGATTTTGCTGTTTGGCATATGTAATATATACTATATATATATGTATATCAATTATAATATTTTTGTATGTAGGTTAATTGCTATGCGAAAAACACGACCAACATCAACCACGTATCTCGATTGACTAAACCCAAGCAAATGGCGAGGATACCCGCCATACACTAAAGCGTCGCTGTCGCTGCCGCTGCTACTGCTACGTCAGCGACGGCAGCGACAGCACAGTTGGCGCAGACAGCGTTTTACTCTCGCTCTCAGCAGCAACATTGCAATATTACGTATGCGACACTTGTGTATGTGTGTGCCTGTGTGCTTGTGTGTGAGTGGGAGCCAGTTTCACTTTCAATGCGCGCGCTCGCCCTCTCATTTTTGTTTAAGCTTTTTTGCTTTGCTCGGCTTGACTTAATGCCCTGCTTTTCTGCTTCTTATTGTTGCTGTTAATACTACTGCATTAAAATTACAACTGCGTTGAAAGCGAAAGTGAAACTTTTTGGCATAGCTTTTGGACCACTGTACAGTACATGACAGCGAATCATTCTTTCCGATGTAGCACCGTTAAAGCTTCCAATGTTATGAAAGCGCTAAGCTTTGCTTAATGTGCCTGCTATTTTGTAATTGGTACTCACTTTTTACTTAATTTTTCAAAGTTGAAATTTTTGTGAGTTTGTATTGAGTTGAGTTAGTATCTCAATGCTTTTCTCTCATATTGCTAAGTTGGCGGCTGTGTTTGTTTCAGTTTTTGTTTTCTTGATAATTAATTGCTGTGCTTTCGCGTCTTCTCTTTGCACTCAATTATTTGTGGATTTCTGTTGTTGCATTTGTTCATGACACTGTTTCTTTATGGCGAGTTTTAGCTTCCTCGATTTGTTAATTTTTTATATGTATAAATATATATATATATATTTATTTTTTGTTGTTTTTTATTTATTTAAATGCTTTTTTTGTGCATGAATAAAGAGTTATTAAAGTTTATTATCTATTTTAATTAAAAAGGCATTCGAATTATAACCCCGACTGTAAAATGCCGTAATTTGATTTGTGTATACAAGTTGTGAAATACAGTTCCTGTTTTATATTGCAATTCAATTTACATATGCATATTTACACACGGTCTGGTATGCTGTTCCCCTTTTTAAACACATTTTAACAATAAACTCCAAAGAAGGATGCAACATGTATGACATACAAAATAAAAACACAAAAAAAAAAACATTTTAAATTACATAAGTCAACTTCAACGCTGCAAGGAGCGTAAAAACCAAACTTTCACTCAGCTTTGCAATGCCCATCGTAAAATTTAGTTCCTTTAATAACCGAACGGAAATAAAACATGGCGAACAAACTGCAACGAGGCCTACGCAGACAGTCAAAAAATTCGTTGAAAGATGTGTTTTGTTAAAAAATAATAATAAATATAAATATAAGACGCATCACAATCTTCGCGCTGCCTTATAAATGAATGCCGCATCACTTTCTCATTTTATTAAAGATCGTTTAGAAAATCTGATATATTGAATGTTTTCCTTAAAAAAAAGATAGAAAAAAATGGACTGCGAAAATGGTTCGCACTTTGCAGCGATGTATTGCGTTTTTGTAGGACCAAAAGACACAAAGCAGAGTTCAAATGCCGCCACAAGGGTACGAATTATAATAGATATATTATAATTAAAAAAAAAAAACATGTAGACAATGAAACTTTCTTTTGCCTTTCGTATACAAATTACATGATGACAAACGATGTATTCATTTTAAAATAGTTTTAAATGGATGCAGACATATCTATTCGATAGCCGCAGCTATGGGGAACCACTTGAAGGAAGATGATGTAGTGTATGAAAGTAAAAAAAACTATAACTGAATGTGATACTAAATAAGCAAGATTAGTTTTGTTTTTACTTTTTTTTATTAAGGAAACACGTTTGTTGCTGTTTTGACGGTACTCCGGGGATTATAAATTAGAGCATGCCCTTATTTCAGAGACTTGCGAAACTGCAATGCGCTGGAGATCCGATTCCCAACACAAAACCAAACGCATCCAAGACCCAAAGGTTATTTCAATTTTCTTCCACATATTTTTTATTACAGCCGTAAGACACAAAATAAAATTTCAGACTTTTCCATATGGCCAAGGCAAAGGCAATATGGCCAGTTAGTACCAAATCACAATGCGTTTCGTGAGTATGGCAATCACCCAGCAGACACATATACATATACATTTACAAATTTCACTCTCGTGTTCAGATGTTAAGTTTTTAAAACCTGCAAAAACAGGTTTCACAGTTTCGGCAGTGAAATAAACCAGATACTCAAGCAGCTAGAGATATGAGGCATACTGTGGCAACTCCGGTTTAACTCCACTTCTTCTCCATTTAAATGGAGGCTGTGTCTTCTTAGCGCCAAAACAACACTACAGAAATAAAACATCCATTCACCGATATAGATTCGATCCTCTCTTCATCTTCATCTATTTCTTGTACCCAAATAGAGGCAGGAAATATACAACTTTAACCGTACGAAAAGGAAATACATCTCCGACACAAATGTTTTTATATATTCCTTATCGGCATCAAAAGATGAGGCGGGTAGGCTCTCATTCACCACACAGAGTGTTACCGAAGTCGTACTAAAATAGTTTTCGTACTATTTTTTTTAACAATTAGTAATTTATTTTTTAATTTAGTATACAAATATTGAAGTTAGAACAAAAATGCACATAAATAGTATGTAAATAAGTATACATACAAAACAATTTCCCATTAGCTTTTTATCCCAAATTATACAATAAAGACAGTTCAGTATTCGTGAATATAGAAAACGGTACTTGACTCAAGTATTTTAAAGTGGATTTATCGAAGACACCAACTTTGGACCAAACGTTCCTATGACTGCCATATGACATTGTGAACCGATCCGGCCGACGCGAAGTGTGCATCCTGCAGCAAAAATTTGAATATATTCCAAGTTTCATTTTCATTTTTTTTTAATTGAGGGATAAGTTCACGTTGATGGGTCAGAGACATGTCATTAAGTGCGTTACTTATTTCTCGAAAAAAAAAAATAAAATTCTTTTGGGAAGAGTATACTAATTTAGTATCGTTCGAACAACTATTGATGGAGCCAATTTTTTACTCTAAATTTGAAAATAAGAGATGTGAGGAAAATAAAGTTATAGTTTGAGATTTGGCTAATATATTTATTAACATAAGTCCACCAAGATTTTTATTTTTTTTTTTAATTATCTCAGAAACATTTATACATACGTATTTAAATATGTAAAAAAAAAAATAATTTT